AGAGGTCACCCTGCTCAAGAATTATAGTCTAAACTGTCTGTGTTTAGTGGGATTTACAATTGATCTATTTCGGAATGCATCCTGGAACAAGGTTGGTTCTTGAGGCAGAATAATCCCATGGTCACATTTGCTCCAATCTTCAACACCGGCGACTGGCCGATGAGTATTTCATCAAAACTGAATGCAATTTTGTATTACAAAGTATTCATCGGCTGGGTGCTGGTCCTAAAAATCGTGGCAAATGTGACCACAGCATAAAAGGCAAAATATGCATCTTAGGGTAACCCCCCTTGCTTATGAGCATTAGAGATCTCTATGGGTCAAGATGCAACATCATAACACAAATATAATGGATGAAACCAATTACATTTATACTTGATGACCTGCAATTACATCACGCTGAGACTACCTAAACAAAATTAATTTTACAATATTGGTTAAATTAGTCATATTAATGAGGCAGTACAAGACTAAACAATTCATATAAGACATACAATTTATGATGGCCATTGTTAATAGATTACACTTTTCTGGGGAAACCAATCTGCAGAGAGGGTTCAGTTAATGTACACTTTTAAGAAATTTTATACCTTTGAAAGAAAGTTTCATGAACCTAGAAACCTAGAAATGAAATACACTATACTGACTTTGGTGAAAATAACTATCTCCTAGAAAAAGTATCTAAGCATGATTAATATAAATAAAATAATAAAAAACTAGCATCTAAAAGTCAAAATGTAATAATTACTTGGGTTAAATTTTAAAAATGTTCACATATGAAATAACTAAAGATAAGCCTAATGTATATATTATAATAGAATGTTAATGGTAGGCTCAGGGTCTAAGAATAACTTGACATTTTGGACTGAATCCAGGTGGGACTGTAAAAAGTTCATCAGTACCCGATAATTCAAACTTGCAATGAGCTTATTCAAATACACAAAAATTAATGTGATCGATAACGAGGTGGCCTCGTAAACACTTATCAGAAAAATTTCATATACATATTCTGTACTATCATTAGATGGCCTAGTACGTTTATAGTGTCATATCATAATCGGGAGACTGCAGTACATAGCCCAGAACGAATGACTTTGGTAAACAAATATAAGAGGCAGCTGGCTTGGTATAGAAAGTAAAATGATTGTAAATCACTTTCAAATTAGTTCAGTGTTCATGACCTTTATCTAGATTCTTTGCCGATTTGTGAAAACAACTCCATCAGTGCAGTACTATCTAAAATGTAATATTTTTATGAAAAGTATTATTTTGTAGACTGTGGGATTTTAATGTGAATCAACTGGGTGGTGTTAATTCATAGACAGATGGATTGCCATTGAAACTTATTGTAGTTTTTTAAATAACAAAAACCTTCAACCCTGCAAAGGATGAATACCATGCAAAATAAAGTACAGACCTATTTTATATAAAGTCTATTGATTTACTCGAAACGCTACACAGACTAATCAATAGCACCCCAGGAGCAACCATTAAATCTGTATATAGGGGATCTAACATTGATCTGAGGCACATACTTTTCAATAGCAAACAGGGTTAGAATCAGGGGCGGATCTGGGAACCAACAGGGGGGGGGCCAAACTTCTAGTCTGAGAAAAAAACGTCCGCGCTTGCGCGGAAAAAAAAATTTTGGGCCCCAAAAACCCAAAAGTGGGCCCAAACTTTGGAATTTAGAGGCCTATTTTCTTCAAAATTTGGCCTAAAATTAAAAAATAAGGCCTTAGAAGGCCAATTTATGACCAAAAAGGCCTACTTTTAGGGGCCTTAAGGCCTTTTTTGGCTCAAAATTTTTTTTGGGCACAAATTTTTTTTTCTGGGCCCACCCAAGGGGGGGGGGGGGCCCGGGCCCCTGGGCCCCCCCCCCAGATCCGCCAGTGAGAATAGATATCTAAACTATGCGTAAAAATACTTTGGGGCTGAATATTAAATGAAGAAAATATTTTTTGTTTGGATAAGTAGAAAATGGCTCTTTTTGGTATAGAAGAATTATGAGTCGAGATAAGACAAAAATAGAGTAAGGTACAATAATAGCTAATGGTACACCCTTAGAGTCCCCGTCAATAAATCAATAAAGTCTACCTGAAAAACGGTGGTGACGTCAAGGCCCTACATCAAATATGACAAGTCTGATAAACATGTGCCTGACTGGTACATGGTTAGTGATAAAATATGTAAGGGAAGGACCAGACATGCTGATGACTGTATTAAAATGAATGCAAGCTGTGAAACTCAATCACCTATAATTGCCAAACCAAAAATGAATTTTGTAAAATTAGTCTAACATCATTAATTAAAGTACACTGTGTGACATAGACAATGTGAACCATTACTTATTACATAATAATCACTATGACTGTGTTGTGAAATTGCAATATTGTTCCTTATTTAGGTAGATATAAATAATTCAGAACAATCTTACTGTATTATTGACTTGATGCGAGTAGAAATACATAATTAAATATTCAAAATTCAGTTAAAGTGGTGAAATCTACATGTAAAAGTATGTCTGGAAATATGATTTCAAAAATTGTTGATCAACATTGAAGATTTGATTTTTATTTGAAAATGTGACTTCTAGTTCAGGGAAATTCCCCATAGAGCCCATGTCATAAAATCACAGATACATTAGATAAATAAGGGTGTTATGAAAATTGAAACACTAAACACTGAACTAAGTTAAAGGTAACTTTTTACTATATCTGCCATGGTATCTGACCCAAATTATTGAACACTGTGTTGAAACTGGTGACTACCGAATCGCATCTGAGTTATTGCAATGTTATCTTACCCACATATAAATAGTAATATTGAAATTCCAAACATGTACAGAGGCAATAATTTCCTAATTTAATATTAATTATGACACCCGGTGATACATGTAATTTATATTTACCAGGTACAGGTAGACTACCTAGACTTATTTGACTGCTGGCTCCTAATATTATGTAGCCTTATGTAATATACCATGGTTACTTCATAAAGGGAAAAATGTATTTACATGAACTATGCACAAGCAATCCATTACATTTGCATACAAAAGAGCAATACACTGTTACAAAACTATCAAGACTAAACAAGTAGAAAATAACTCCCTTATCAAATCATGATCAAGAAACAAATACTTTTATAAAAATCATAACATTTTATAATGCAGGAGTCAAAGAATGACATAAAACATCCATGGGTCTATTAACTGTTCTGTAAGATATGGTTATCAACAAATGTATACTCCAGACAGACTGAACTGAAGTGAATGCAGCCATGCAAATGTAAAAGCTCAAATCCAAATTGTAAATACACAGCCAGGATAAGCCTCTTACATAAGATTATCTAAAGCTGCCCACACAAGTAATTGGTCCATGGGTCTAGACCCTAAAACCATGTACATTTCATATCTTAGTCAGATAAGCCTACCATGAAAAGAAACGATTGTTGGTCAGGTAAATGATCGAACAAACACCAAGTAATTCAATAGAGTATTACAGCATAGATTTAACTCAATATGAATCCTGACCACTAATATTACACTCATTAACCTCTATGCACCTATCTGCAAGCTAAACCTGTTAACGGACATATACTTATTGCAGTTGGTGGTTAGGTCTTTGCTTATCTAATTTACTTATGTTCCAACAGGTAACACTTTGTAATATCGTCTAATATTGTAGTAAACCCATGAGGACAAATTCTGTGCATTATTATAATAAGGACGATGTTTGAACCAGCCAAACCACAATGCTCCTAGTTCCTATCAAGAACAGCATGCTGAAATTCTTTCTGAGTTTAACAGACCGGCATATTCCATTCATATCTTGGTAAGTCAAATTTAGATCTATCTGCAGTCTCAACCAGAGATTTATGAACTGGTGAGATCAATGGACAAAGATAGTTAAACATATTTCTTTTTATATCCTCTATTAATTAGAGGTAACTAAACATACACAATATCTATACAATATTAGAATTTGACAATGTAATAATGCTCTAGTTAACTATCCACACCAATCACTGATTTGTACAATTACAAATGATTATTTTCTTAATATGATGTCATATACCTTGTGACATAACATCAACATAGATAGCTTGAATCAGAGAGATTACTTAATGGAGACACACATACCAAAGACTAATGATCTTTGTGACAAATGTAAGAGCCAGATCAAATTGGACATTTGCCAGAACTAGCCAAAGGTGAAGTTAAGATTATGCAACTTTATGACAAATAGAACAGGATTGAAGTACATGAGCTTAAGTCAACAATACTGACCAGCTCTTGGAGTAAACAACTTTTTCATTCATAGAAATCAACAGAATTCCAAACAAAGGCAAATGTCATTTGCATGACTGACAGACCTGATTCTCTCCTTATTAATTGCAATAATTTGAATTTCACATAGTCTACCCAATCAAATATATCTAATATCTCAAGAATAAGAATAATAATGTGTAAAATATCATCAAAACTTTTTTAATTTGCCAAGTAAACAAGCCAATATGTGATACAATAATATTTACATTTTCCATTGTTATCTCAATATTGAAGTTTTTTGATGAGAAGTCGGTGAGATAACATGGTAATCGTTTAAACAAACAAAGGAAGGGCTTTACATGAAAATAAAACCATATTAATAGTTAATACATACTTATGTTCCACAGTCTATAAACTTTTAAAAGAGTATCCAAATCATTACCTAATGCAGTTGTCTAGCATCACAGAGACAGGGAGGGGGATGTAGGTCTTAATTCAAGACTACTTAATGTAACTATAATCCTCTAAAAACCAATTTGTTGCGTGAATCAGTGAAAACTGAATGTTCGGCAAGATTTTATGTTGAATACTACATTTAGAAACAATGTAACTTGCATATAACATATGGATTCCTCATTTAACATTGTGATTCTACCCTCCTGACTACCTGAATGTTGCTGAAAATATAATGTTAAAGTTTTAACTATAACGGGGTCTGAATACAACTTACCTGTTTCCTTTTGTAGGAATTTGTCAGGTCAAAACGATCTTTCATACAATCTAATACATCATTTAGGCGATCACGATTGTCCTGATCTTTTGCTATTAGTAAATACGATCTCCAGTTAGCGGAATCGAACCCCCAATGACATGTGCGATTTTCTAGTGCCTTGTGGGAATGACACACAAACTTTTCTACGGTGAACATTCCTTTACAGTCTAAGCATTCAATGCATTTTGCATTCTGCGACACATAAACTTCTGGCATGAAGAGTCCTTTGCATTTACCAAAGCATTCATGGTAAACTTTAAAACTGTTTGGTGTAGGGGGGTCCATCGATTTCTCTGGGGTTCCATGTAATAATCGGTGACAAAGTCGCTCACCATCAGTTTTTGTAATAAGTCCACAACTGGGTGCGCTTCGAGGCAAAATGCCTGTGCATTTTAATATTTCCAACTGACTGGGATTGCACCGGGAACAGAATATATGTAGTTCGTCACATACAGTATTTATCTGTTGCAAGCTGAAGTCCCGAAGGACAGTGTTCAAAATCTGAGGCAAACATAGCCTCTTTTCTCCACCAACAACAAAACAGGCAATGTTCTCACCCTCCAGAACGGTCTCCGTTTTGTCGCTTCTCGATAAATCCATGGGTATGAACATGGGCATCTGTTGTATGGGAAACGGAGGAGGAACAAGCAAAGGGTCGTAATCCACTTTCGTTTCTCCTTTTTTGGCGTAAGCCGCCTCCATCATTTTTCTGTCCATTTCGCTCGGGCTCAATTTTGATGGATCGCCCCATGTGGCAACAAAACGGCTCGGTCCGCTTAAACTACCGGTTGCAGCGCTTTGTAAACTTTTCAATACCTTCTTCAGATGTGGATTATAATGTGCTGGTATAAGATGGTCCATCTTGGATCCACTAATTCTCGCAGAACTTAAATATCCGTGTAATTTTTTCGCATGTGTCTTCTTTCTCGATACTTGAATCGGTGACTGGGTGCAGACTGTACACAACTGCTTTGCATAAATATCTGGCTGTTCTGTCTGTGCTCTGCACCCCCGTTTAAATAAAACTTTGATATATATCTTCCATATACATTATAATAATCGATTATAGGTATGCTGTAACTTATTTTTTTATGCAAAGTGGTTGATATTGCAAATATTTGTGTGATAATTCCAGATACATATCCAGATCAGCGTTGTAAACAAACTATTGGGATCTTCTATTCACTCCCTCGCACGATTAATTGACGCCATGAATGAGGGGATCGATCAATCTGTTAATTGATTACACTTTCTGAATACAAATATTGGGATAATAAATAATAATCATGTCTCATTCTCTAATTATTGACGTTATATGTTTTTTATTATGTATTGACCTATAGATCTAAGGCGAGATCTGTTGTAAATTGTTATTTTATATAATTAGATTTTTAATAGGTACTTCTAAAAAAACAGTTTTGAAAAATTGCTATACCTGCACATGTTATTTTCTGGTACAAAATATAGTACATGTAGTATGAAGGCATGTTTTTATTTCTTTGCTTTTTTCAGGAAAGCATCATTACTTAACCAGAAAACAACATGGGCAGGAATATCATTTTTTCAAAAATGTTTTCTGGATAAGATAATATACATAGATAAGATATCTATATGATAACGAAAATTTCAAAAATATAATATCATTTACAATATTACTATCATAGATTGCAATTTCAATTATATTTTATACAAAGTACATATACACTGTTTGGTAACATTGGAAATGCAATAAGAAAGCAATCTATTGGCGAAATAAGTACAGTTATGAAACACATTTATAATATTACTTTCACGGACGTCAAGTACGTTTCTGGCGAAAGCTGGAGCATAGACTATTTTTATTATTTATAATCTATGCTCCGGCTTTCGCCAGAAACTTACTTGACGTCCGTGATTACTTTAGATCTTCCATTTTGTACCCTGATAACAGTATACCCCTTGATAAATCATTGGAACGTGTGAATTCTGTTCATTCATGTCATATGTTTATATTTTTCAAACTAATATAATAAGAAATATAAAGAAAAGGTTTGTATCAAGTCTGTTGAAGATTGTTCATTATAGCATCAGGAGATTGTACATTATAGGATCGGAAGATTGTACATTATAGGATCGGAAGATTGTACATTATAGGATCGGAAGATTGTACATTATAGGATCGGAAGATTGTACATTATAGGATCGGAAGATTGTACATTATAGGATCGGAAGATCAGAAGATTGTATATTATAGGATGATTGTACATTATAGGATCGGAAGATTGTACATTATATGATCAGAAGCAAGGCATCAAGTCCCTGTCTCAATTCAGGAAAAAAAATTCCCCGGGGGTTTCACTCCAATATACCTCTTAACTTAATACTATGTGCCGCTCCAAAAACCCCCTTTTTGAGCATTTTTTCCATGTCAATTTCCTCTCAAGAACTAAGGTTTCCATGTTTTATTCCTCTCAGACCCAAATTATCGTTAAGATTGATTAGAAAATCAACCTAGAGTGAACCCCGGGAAAATTTCATGGTAAAAGTATTGAATCTGATAGATTAATATTATATTTATAAAGTATAAACTGTCATAAGCCATCAACAGGCACAATTGTGTGATATTTAGATATTAGATGTAGTGTGCGTATAAAATTTCTAGATCACAGAATTATACATATATATAAGCTACCAAGAGCCATCTGCTCCTGCAACCCACACACTGATCTATAAAATCATATAGAGAGTAAACCAGGCATTGATGATTCAAATGCCAAACAAGGTCTGTGATTAACATTAATGGTCACTGGTGCTTCCTCATGATGCAAACTAAATGGGTCAGGTGAAAATATATAATATTTTGCAAAAATGAATAGACTTCCCTCCCTCTTTGTAAAAGCTGATAAACATTGAACATGTCCCCCATATTGTTTGGATGGCCAAATTATGTAAAACCATTATTGACCAGGTCCCTGTTCAAATTGAATATTTAATGAATCATGAGAAGTTTTTTTATTTTCAGCCATTTTACGATTTGTCCATCTGTCTTGTGAAATCCACTTTTGGACCATTTGCCCTAAAACCTCTGTCGATAGGATTCCCGTTTTTAGTTATTTTTGTTCAACATCAATACAAAAAACTACCTTATGTCTCCTGGTTCAAAAGCTTTTTGTCTCGCGAAATTCACTTTTGGCCCATTTCCTAGCTTTACAAATAATTTCAGGTGTCCTGCATTGTAAGAAGCCATGTCACTGTAAAGAGTAGTTGTATGAAATAATTTTGTTACAAAAAATCAGCAAAAATTATATCCGGTTTTTATTTTCAGCCATTTTATAGTTAACATTGATTTGTCCATCTGTCTCGCGAAATCCTCTTTTGGACCATTTGCTTTAAAACCTCTGTCGATAGGATTCCAGTTTTAAGTTATTTTTGTTCAACATCAATACAAAAAACTCCCCTATGACTCCTGGTTCAAAAGCTCGGCTATTTTCAAAATGGTAGCCATTTTTGTTTCGTGAAATTCACCTTTGGGCCATTTCCTAGCTTTACAAATAATTTCAAGTGTCCTGCATTGTAAAAAGCCATGTCTTTGTAAAGAGTAGCTGTATGAAATAATTTTGTTACAAAAAATCGGCAAAAAGTTATATCCGTTTTTTTTATATGTTGTCATTTTAGCCATCATTCACTTTTGAGCAACACCATGTGAGCCCAGTACCCATGGTACTATTTTTCTGTAAATTATGAAAAATTTTATAAATACGGTAAAAACTAAGAAAGGGTCGAGTAGAATATATATATATCTTTTATCGACTCTTTAGATGTCATATCATGACATATTAGTCACTTAGGTAGAGCAGTTCTTCCCATTGTCGAGTTGAAGAACTGGTATCTTTATCCTGGCTAGAACCATAGACAATTCTAGCCAGAGCCAGCCTTTTATCGAGATAGCAGCACTCTAGTAATCGCCGGTATAGGTCAGCAGTCATAGGTCAAAGACAAATCATAAGAAGTGCTGTGACAGAATGACTCACAAAACCCTTAGTGTGATAAAACTAAGAAATATGAATGAAAAAGTAATGGGGAGTATAAGGGGATCTTGTGAGACATCATAATTAGAATAGACTGTTGAGGTTAGAGCAATGCACTATTTTAGGCTTTTATCCAATAAAAGACTAGTAATATCCCTCAGATTTAGGAAGGGTGCCCGGCGGGTTCACTGTATACAAAATTCTGCTGGGGTCCTGCTGAACCCTCAGATATCAATATGAAGAAAATGGAAAAATCAGACCATTGCCATACTCCTAAAATTTGGGTCCATTGCCATACCAAATGTCAAAAAAGGTACCCCATGTGCGCCGAGGATCCCCGTCAAGGTTTATACACAGTGAACCCCCGGGGAAGGGTGTAACATCATTGTGCGATCCACAGCCTTTACTTTCCCGTTAGGTAAAGAAAGGCTCTGATAAATCAGAATGGGGTAACATCCCGGGGTAACATGTAAAGAAACTTGAAATTTTAATATAATTGTCAGGTCCATAGCCAGGGGGGGGGGGATTCAATGGGTTTGGGCGAATTATTTTGGCCATTTTTGGACCAAAATTGTCAAAAGTGAACCCCCCCTGGAATTTTTCAAAAAGTGTACCCCCTCGGCAAATCCTTGCTACGGGCCTGATTGTATAGGCTAACCTCCCCTGCATGCAGAGTCTAGTTAAACTACAAGACGAAGCTCTCTTTTAAGAAGCAAAGTCAAACGAATGCAAAGGGTAAGGCCAACTCTTAGCCTTTTAATGTAAGTTATGCTCACATTGATAATAAAGATGAGGCAGAGGAAAATACATGTATGTACTAAACATGACAGTCTGATTATTAAAAATGGGACACCAGTATTTAAATCCCAATATTTTTTTCTGGATAAACAATATTCATCCCATGTGTCCACACTGATGGTGGGTGTGTGGGTGTCTGAGACGTAACTATCAATATAATGTTAACTTTCCTACAATGATCTTTTGATGCAGTACCTAAAGTAAGTCTGTGTTATTAATAATTAGTGTCATGTTTTGAATTAATTAACCAGATAAGTTATATTAATTAATAGATAAAGTACACGAGACATTCAAAAATACAAGAATAATCTTATTATCAGTGTCAATAAATTGGCTATACTAATATGTGCTTCCAAGAATATGCAACCAATAATCCAGGGACTTTTTTTCAAATCCAGCTGTAGGTTGACTGTGGGTTGACTGTGGGTTGACTGTGGGTTGACTGTGGGTTGACTGTGGGTTGACTGTGGGTTGACTGTACTGCAATATTGGATTGCAATGTTTTGCCTCTACTAAAGGGTTTGAAATGCCTAGGAAACGCACACCCGACAGACTGCCAGTGGCAACCATTTTTCACTTTCGTTGATGAACTTGGAAAAACAAGTTGGCCAAGCTACTCAATGCCAAAATCGAGGCCAAGATGCTATCATGTTTTCCATCATCTTCCATCTTGAACCCTGTTTTAGTTAGACATTATGCTAACAGACAGAGGCATTCTCTATATCCCCTTGAACTTCATTTAATGGGATGAATAATGAAGTTGACAGATCAATGATGCAATGTCGGTAATGATGCAATAAGTAATTTCGCCATATTTATGATTTATAATACATATTAATTTTCAACCATCATACCATCATCTCATATCAAGGATCTCATATTGAATGAATCATGACATCACAATGTTTTATGCCAAGCCCTGATAAGCAAATGGCACATTACTATACAATAAAACTTCTCTAATGACTAGTTTGTCATTTCCACTAGGAGAGCTCATATCATTCAACATTAGTTTTTGAAGGCTACAATTTTATTGACAAATAGATAAAAATCAAAAACGAAAAAATCATCAAACATTTTGTGGTAATGAAAATTTTGGGAAAATCAGAATTATGTATCATTGTTTCTTGACCCCTCTCTTGAAAATATGGACTTAAGCCAATGGTTATACGATAAAATATTGATACTGTTAACAATTCAGAGAACTCACATACAGTTTTATTTATGTGCTGGAAATACTTTCATATCTTCAATATAACATGATTATATTATTATAAAATTGATGTTTATCCAAAACAAGAAACTGGATTTTAGTGTTCACTCAAGCACAGTGAAACCGGTATATCTAGACCTTTCTAATCCGAGTATCCTCAATGTGAACACTTTTTCACGGTCCTAAAGTTATCTCCCATTGACTCAGTCACATGTTTAAAAAGCTTTGAAATGTGAACACCTGCTAATCCAAACACTTTTGGCTGGTCCCAGAGGCATTCGCATAAGACAGTTTTACTGTACTATTAAAACTGTACCTTCTCCAAGTTGTTGAATTCATTGACACATTAAACATTGAGCAAATAAGTGAACTAGAAAACAGTGACTCCATGGAGGATTATTGGTTTATTGGTACATTGAACATTAGTGAGCTAAATGAACTGGTTGACAGACATATAGACAGACTGAGGACTTCACTCTATCCCTCCTGAGATTCGTTGGCAAAATAACGTCTGAATGACGTGAACTGATTCGACCCAAGTATGTGGAAAATTGAATTCTCCTCTAACTGTCTTTACTATGAAGCCAATATTAGTCTATAATGATTAAATCGTAATTCCCTGAGGTTGGATGTATGAAGAGAGATTTACCACACAGCATCATCCAGACTGCAAGAACGGTCTCCTTCGTGTGATTAATATTTTGTCTTCATTGATAGCACACAGATAAATGTAGAATAGACTTATCAAAAACCTTGAGACAGGTATTGATCTAACTGTTGTGAGATTGTGTTAATTCCATAGATAACCACACTGGCTATCAGCCTAGCAGGCCAACGACTGCAATTATTATGGACTTGAAGAAATGGATATGAATCTTCCATTGACTCAATGGTCTCACCCTATAATTACTTCTCAATACAGCTACTAGGGGCATGGATATCATATCTGAGCTTGTGTGTAATTCTAATGACATTTTGTGTATGTTCAATTATCACAAGATTGAGAAAAATTTTGAATGCTTACATAATAGCCCTCCATTATATTCAACAAGCACATTTATTACAAAATACACATTTTTCATTTGTGTATAGAAAATCCTATATTTCCTTCTACCATTTCATTTCACAAATATTCAGAATGCATGCAATTCTTTTCTTAACTCGTATCAAAATCTTTTTCACCCCTTTCATCTGATAGGACAGCACATCATAAACCTAAACCATATGAATTTTGTTAAACTAAAATCTCCAAAGACAAGTCTTAGAACAGTTTCCTATACCTCTCTTTGAAGCCCATGAGTCTATTTTCCATAACTGAAAATTCATTGTTGCCATCTATTTTATAAATTAAGATTTACAAATGTACTTTCATGAATTTCTGGGTTTCTATCTGGTGAGCAGATATGACGCAGATATGAGGCATTAAAGTTGAGTCTAAATGTCAGTTCAAAAAGGATCCAGTTCAAAATATAATCGTCTTATCACAAAGCTAATTTACATCATAAATATAGAATGAATTTTTAACTACATGGGTGTTTCAACTTCTTGTCTTGTCTTGAAGTATTTCCATTGAGGGTTCAGTACATCATCGGTTCCTATGCTCAATCTACTACGTTCTGAGGACTGGTCCGAAGCTTGATGAAGCAAGTTGTTTCAGTTTGCGTTTCCATGTACTTGTATCACTATATCACCCGTTTGTTTATCACAATTCACCAATTTGTATCATCATCAGCTGAAGCAAGACATGTTGCTATGTGACTATCAATCTCCATTTGGTTCACCCTGAAAAAAAGTCAAAAATATTCTGAAGCCAAGGAAATTTACATCTACAGTATAGGTCAAAAATGTCCATATATTTGGCAATAGTTTCAATGATGCATATATATTTTTATTTCCTTTGTATATAGATGCAGAAATCACTTTTGCAATTTATCCTGATATAGATTAAATAAATCTTCAGTGGTCTCTGAATATGAATGGTTAACAGATAAAATAAAATATTAATAGCCAAAACAACACTTTTATATCAATATTGGTCATGCCTCAAATAATAGTAACAGACATCTCATCCAGTCTGTAAGAAAGATACATGTACCATGGGGTTTCAAGAAAAGACCAATGTAATGATACAAGATGTCAACTAGACAACAGCAACACCAAAGCGTAGCAAATACCATCGAACAGCCATGGCTGGCATTTTTACAAACAAAGTATATAGCAAAAATGGCTGCCAAAATGGCCACCTTCTACCAAAAGTGTCATTAGACAGTGTGCCACGCTTATAGTATTCACATACCAAATACTGTACTCCTGGTAAATTTTGACGCTATAAAATTTCGCGATTTTTCAAAATTGCAATTTCGCGGATTTGAGTTGATGACATTTCGTGGATTGCACAAGTTGAATTTTTTCCTCCAGCTCTGTAAACTCCATATTGATAATATTAATATACTTACATGCCTTTTTACATATGCATGAACTTAGCAGCCAAGTACATCAATTGTTGATATAAAATTGAACAATACCCCATGATAACTTTAATTATCGCCGAACAACACTGGATGAAACGTTTTACAGCGAACGAAACATATCAAAAGTCCCGGGTCAAATCCCCGGGAATTTAAAAGACAAATTTTGAGACGATAAATGTTCGCGATTTTACTACATTCGCGAACAAAGCGAAATTAAATTGTACGCGAACAATACCCGGAGTACAGTATGAACAAAATCGCTCCACTACTTTTCGAGTTATAGAAAAATACGTTAAAATGGTGGCCATTTTTCAAAATGGCCACCTTCTACCAAAAGTGTCATTAGATAGTGTGCCATGCTTATAGTATTCACATACCAAATATGAACTAAATCGCTCCACTACTTTTCGAGTTATAGTAAAATATGTTATAATGGCGGCCATTTTTCAAAATGGCTGCCTTTACAAAAAGTGTCATTAGACAGTGTGCCATGCTTATAGTCTTCACATACCAAATATAAACAAAATCGCTCATTACTTTTCGAGTTATAGTAAAATACGTTAAAACGAGGGCCATTTTTCAAAATGGCGGCCTTCTTCCAAAAGTGTCGTTAAACAGTGTGCCATGCTTATAGTATTCTCATACTAAATATGAACAAAATCGCTCCACTACTTTTCGAGTTAAAGCAAAAATCGTAAAATAACGAGTAAAGACCGCCATTTTTCAAGATGGCTGCCATGTGCTTCTTTAATATCTACATTTCTAGCTTTATTAATGTCCTATATAATTTTTTTACGTTTAAAACATATTGCTATTACAGTTTTACATATTGCACCTAAATTACTGTAAGATCGGCACTTTTTAAATGAGCGACCATTTTGAAAATCGGCTTTCGAGCAGAATTTCTACCCCCATAGGGTATATGTGTACAAATTATGAACAAAATCGGGCCAACGGTATTTGAGTTATTACCCGGATGGACGGACGGACGGAGGCATTCCCTATATTCCTCCGAACTTTGTTCGATGGGATAATAAAAGTTTTTTTGTTTTTTTTTATATAAAAAGTTAAAAGTTAAAAAAAGAGAAAGTATGTATGTAGGTGTGCTCAGTTTATTCTCAAATGATTTAAAGACACAAAATGGAACATAAGAATAGGACAAATTAAGTAAAATGAAAAAAAGAGGATTTAGTATCAAGAAAAAGATGGTTAAGATGGTTAAGAAAATCTGCCAGTATAAGCAATCTGCCAGTACAAGCAAAAAAATATTCTAAGCCCTTATTTAATGTAATTAGCAATGTACTAGATTGAGCCCACAAATTAAAAAATTAAGTAAAATGAAAAAAAAGATGATTTAGTATCAAGAAAAAATGGTTCAGAAAATCTGCCAGTACAAGCAAAAAATTCTAAGCCCTTATTTAATGTAATGAGCAATGTACTAGATTGAGCCCACAAATTAAAAAGGTTTCTTCATTGTTCTTTGGAACTCAGATAAATCCTTTGCTAATATTTAATGTCCCTCACCAAAAGTAATTTTGACCTGTTGACTCACCCCTAATAAATAAAAAAGTTACAATTGGCCCACCCTGTATGTTAACTTTCCCCATTCAAATACCATTATAGATAAAGAGCATTATGATATAGATTGGTTTCTCCATCCCCTGTGAAAATATTATTGGAATCCATGTATTATAAAAGAAAAAAATATAAATGTTATATTGCCATACCCTGTGTACAGATTAGAAGACCAGAATCCACTTACTGACAAGATTGATAACTCTGTAATAATGTGAAAACGTGATTTTAGATTATTTAACCACTAATTACTGGACTCCCAGGCCTTAGGTCCTCTATGTAAAATAGACTAGATGCCAGTAGAAATAGTATTGAAATATTGTTGGCATATGGCAGTATATTTTAAAATCTTTGCCAACAAAAACAAAACTAATTGTTTCTTCATAAATGTCAACATTGCCTTTAGCATATACTTAAAGACCCCCTATAAAGTTAAACCACTTTGGCTTATATTGTAGTCTTATCCAAAAGTGGTTTTTGAAGGATTTTTTGGTAAAAAAATCATGCAATTTTTGAAGTTACAAGTATCTTTGAATGATGATTAAAAAGGTTCATCTTTTATTTGAAAAATGGCAGGAAATTTGAATAATTGAGAAATAAAAAACTGAGTTTTAAAGTCAAGAAAAAAGTAAATGAATGATATAACATATTATCAAACTTTGCATGAGGCCTTTAAAAATAAAATACAAATGTGCATGTACAAACCTTTCACGAGGAAAACCAAGACCACACAGTGGACAGTTCTGCAATAACATATCATCTTTGTGTGGACTAATGTGTGGATGCCCTGCTTTGGCATCTTCTTGCTTATGAGTGTCAGTGACATTGCTATCTATATCTTCATGAGAGTTATTTTTGTCTTTATCAATATGTATATTGTGACTAGGAGTTGGACTCAAAGCACCAGGATATGGGTCAGCCGTCATACTAGTAGATGCACTGGAATTTTCTATGGCATGGATTTTAGAGTCATAGTGGTGGCTATTGTGATGAGTCTTCCTCAAGAATGTACATTTGTAACATGGAGGTGGCAATGGTGTCCATTTGAAATGTATCCCTTCAATACTAGATTCATGTGATGCATCTTCTTTGCCATTTGTATGAGAATTGTCTGTATTGGCTTCCACCAGTCTCACTTTATCAAGCCCCTATAAAACATATAAGCCATTAAAAGCCAATCAGATCTTGTGAGGACATTCTATGAATATTCTTTTTAATTTTAGAATTCAATTTAGTTTTGATCTGAGACCCACACTATTCCTAATCAATTTGAGGGATTACCAGAGGGGTGGCAGGGGTACCAAAGATTCTTTCTTCCAGGAAATGTTACTATTTCAGATAGTTTTGATATGCTTGAATCAATGAACTGAAAAAAAGTTCCATGGCTGCAATTTGTTCACTCCAACAGTCTAAAGGGTAAGCTGAACAATTGATTATTCATAACAGTGATGACCATATAAATTACGGAATGTTATAAAAGCCCTGCACCCCTGCAACCCCCTGCAACCACCTGCGACCCTTTGACTTACTGGGTGTCAAGAAATGTTTGAGATGAAAATCAGGATGAAAATTTAAGAAAAACCCTTCGACCTCCATTTTTCTAGGCTCTGTCTACACACTGCTACTAGGTACATGGGCTTGTGAAGACATACAGGTGTCCCCAAAATAATTGTACCAAGTTAAACACTGAATAACTCTATTAGTGATGAAGGAATATTATCATGAACATCTGAAAGTTCCACTATGTAACTCTATTTCGTTTTAGAAGAAAGTTTGTTTTTGTACTACCACCCAATGTTTTACTGAGACAAACATGGGATAACTTTGTAAGTGATGTAGAAATATTCTTGAAATTCTGTCATCTGACGAACAATCAAATAATTACTACGTTCGAAAGTTTCATTAGGTAACCCTTTTTAGTTTTAGATAAAAGATTGTTTTAGTACCATTGCTCATTTTTCAATGTCCCAAGTAATTTGGGTTCAACTTTTTGGGACACACTGTAGAATTTTGTGACTGGTAATTGAGTATCTGGACTTTGATTCACTTATTTTCAGTGTTCTTTTTGGGCAGAGATAGATCAAATGAATACCAATAACTTAAAGTGTTTAAAGAGTTCAAAGAAGTGAAAATCTGTTGGGAAGGACAGTGTATACAAATGGTGGGGGGGGGGGGATAACTTACCTCACCTAACTGTGGAAGGGGTTTCAGCTTGTTTGCAAACTCTATCAAATATGCTGTGTCATCTCTTACGTTTTCTTCAATTTCTTCTGGATTTTGTACACTATTTCCTGAATCTTCTGGATTGAAGTTTTCACTGTAATATAGATATGACTAATAGGTGATGTGTTTAGTTTAGTACATGGATGTGTTTTGCTATTAGGCGAGTCTCCAGCAAGTGTTTTGGGAAGTCTGAGGGCCACTTGTTAAACATAATTTTTCTGAAAGATGACTTCATACAGAATCTTTTGATTTTTTCAGAAAATGTGTCTAATATATTGCTCTAAATGATACAATCTTTGAAATTTAAAAAAATCGTCTAAAACAATAATGGCTGTAGTTAAAAGGAAAATAGAATAGATGGATTTTAAATTCATTTTTTTTATTTTTCTAAGAATGAATGAACTTTTTTTAAATTGTATCATTTAGGGCGATATATTTGGCACATTTTCTGAAAAAGTCAAAGATTCTGTTCAGTGACCTTTCCTGAGCACCTACTCTAAGCTATTTTCAGTCACATTTTCAGAGGGCTGAAAAGGTTATTTCATCATGTTTATGGTCATTCTGACCATTTCCATTGTGTTCCCAGTCATGTAAATGATATGTGGAATTAGTTAAACTGACTGGAGGTCCAAACAGAACTCTGTTATCTTGGTTCAAAAAATTTTCAAAATCCAGCATGGTTTTGACATTTTTTGTTTTGACATTTCCTGTTAACTTCCATAGCACCTTAAAGGTTTATCAACATACTTCTAAAAGTGCTTTCAAATAAAAAAACATGTGCTAATCAAACATGTACCACTGTTGCTACTACACATACAAATAGTTACTAATTCTGCTTTTTAAAAAAATATATGTCTTCAGTCCATAACATACATTACTTTACATGTCAACAGTCTAATGTATTCATATATACAAAAAAAAACTAACAGTAAAACCTGTGTAAGTGGAACACCTTTGGTACCTCGAAAAAGTGTTCCAAATACAGAGGTTATTTAACAACAAGTCAGTAGTTTTCGGGACTTTGAAATGTCTTGCACTTATGGAGGTGTTCCACTTACAGAGGTGTTCCACTTTACAGGTTCTACTATTTATGTAAGGTCCTGGTATCAACTTATATTATGAAAATAAATGCATACGATTATTTGAAAATCAATACTTTTATAATCAATGCCTTTTGGGCATTCATTAAAGCATATTGTCTGTGATTAAAAAGTACTTTGAAATACTGGACCACACGTGATCATGCTGATTAGCAAGAATCCCTGGTGTTAGTCTAAATGTCATCAGATATGTAACTATAATTGATATAGCTAAGAGAGAGACATCAGATACATTCGAACATAACTGTATTCACGCCTTCTATGAACTGTAAACAAAGTCAATGCTTCAGCTGGGTTATATTCGAAATCAATAACCCAGTTAATACGTGTAATGTGTGACGTCATAACAGTGGGTCGTAGTAATGGCGGACCATGATGAATATTCGAAACAATTTGGTGAGTTTTCATGTTCGAATTGTAATATAGACCTCAGAGCAGGGGTAATATCGTCGAATACATCCCTTGGGGCTAGGTACAAAAGCTTTCGAACCCCTCACTCCCTTCGGTCGTTCGGGGTACAGAAAAAGTTTGTAGCCCTGCGGGGTGTATTCGACGATATAACCCCTGTTTTTCGGTCTATATTTCTTAATTAGATGGCAGTGTAAATAGCAATGCATAGGCAATGAAGCAGAAAGTAGAGTATCCCATTTAGAAAATCCATAACACCACTCTATGTGTACCAGGGAAAAATACCCTTTCCTTGCTACACAGAGATCGGGGGTGGGTTGGATTTTCATATCTGACAACTCTAGTAGAGTGAAACCTGTCGAGTGAACACCTCTTTCCAGTGAACACCTGTGTCTAGTGAACACCCCTTCTCAGCACATCTATTCCACTGACTTCTATAAAAGATCACCTCTCTAGGCTAGGACTAGGCCAAGCCTAGATCTAGGGGAGAGTACTGAAAAGTGAAATGCTTGATCCTTGACAGTAGGATAATCTATTTTACACAGTCTGCATAGGGTGGATAGGATAATCACAGATGGCAGAATTTTTCTTAGGAAATACAATCCTAAAGATGTTTATGACTTTATGATTGTAAGCCATCAAATGGTAAAAAAGTTTCAAGTTACCTTTTAGTTTCAACCACAGTGACACTTTTATCATTCTTGTTCGTGTTGTCGACACTAGTATTTATCAAACTTGTTGATGTAAGAGTCTTGCTTTTCTGAACTTTCAAACTCAATTTTCTCTTCTTCAGATTTACCGCCATATTACTTTCACTTTCGATACACGACAAGAAATACTTCACAAAATCCATATTCATTTCAAATCCATAGCAAACTAAAATACGAATTTATCTTCATATTTATGTTTTACTGAAGTTTTATCTATCATGTTTCTGATTCTATATTGTTAAACGTATCACATATTCTATCTCAAACACATTTTTCAAAAACCTTGTATTCTCGTCATGACCCACTTTAATTTCAAGATGGCTCCCAAGATTGTGCTCGCCGGTGCTCTCGTGTTATTTGCCGTTTTTTGCAGCAGTCATGCATCTAAGAGAACACTTGTCTTGTTAGATAATTGGTCTATAAGAGAAACACATTCTGTATTCTTTAGATCACTCAGAGGTAAGTATTTACTTTGAAAATGGATGTTGAAATGTGAGCTGAATGAAATTGTGCCACGCATTGATCACGTGACCCTGTGTTACTGTAGGGCCACATCTAACCAAACCCGTCTGGCCCAGTTATCTACTCCCGACCTCGTAGATCTGGGCCAGACTCGATCCAATGCAAAAAATGGGGTATTTACTCCGGAAAAAACACACTGGTTTTTCAATGTATAATACGTGCTGATAAATCATCATCATCATCATCATCATCATAAGGACGTAGTGGACTAAGCCAGTGATGAATAAACATCATAAAAATCACTTACGTGTTTGTTCCTTGTATCAAACTTTGTATTTATATTAGGTTTCCATCGCTGGATGACGGCTAATAAATAAGAACGAAACGTCTAAACGCAGCAAAAAGAAAAATTCTTCTGCAATCTGTTCGTGATCTCGTAGAATATCGAGAAGTCTCGGCTGCTTATTTCGTTCAGTACTACATTCCGTCAGTTCAACAAATTGAAAAATCGTATTAATGTCCACCATATTTCTTTCCAGTTTAAATACAACACAGATACGTCTGTTTTATAAAGTAATCTACGTTTTGATAACAAATCTGCTGAACAAATCGTAATATTTGGAATGTATTGATTCCCGGGAAATGTATTTTGTTCCATGAAAGTTTAAAAATTATCGCGTCACACTCGTGTTACGTCACATCACGTGACTTTATTCGGTGCGGAGAACTGACGAAATATTGACAAAATGTTGTGCCCATTTCAACATCAATATAACAAACAAAACACCACATTTACGCGTAAGTTATGTTCTCTTTATTTCAAATAAATACTTGGGTTTACATGGTACCCGATGTTTTGGTTGGATGGCTAATAGGGAATGAATAATAAGTGATGATTCAGCAGTGTGTTTTTTCCGGAGTAAATACCCCCTTTTTTGCATTGGACCTAGTCTGGCCCTAGATCTACGACAATTCAGAATCGGGAGTAGATTACTGGGCCAGACGGGTTTGGTTAGGCCACATCAGAATCAAAACCTAGTCTATTGGTCAAATAAGATAAGATCACACATATCAACCATCATTCTAATTTGACTTGAATTTTTTCTGACCAAGCTGAGCAATTACAGAACAACATGTTCAATAGACGTTTATGAAGCTACTTATCGATAATGGCTTGATCATAAACCCCTCCCCTTTCAAATTCCACATGGACTATTTCACTCATGCCTGTTGGAAGTAAACGTGGTACGCTGGGTACGCACAGGCGTACCAGATGGTTGCAAATTCGTTCCAAATACAACCAAATTTCAAAATTTTGACCCCCCTGAACACTCGTTTTTTGCTTCGCTCAACTCTTATTTCCGTGGTGGAGTACTACTTAGAAATAGTGGCTACGCCTATGGTAGATCTTCAAGTAATTTTACTTGCTTTTTGTTTTTTTACAGATCGTGGGTTCGATTTGACGTTCAAGCCTGCTGATGATGCCAGTCTTGCCCTTGTGAAGTATGGCGAGTTTCTATATGATAACCTTGTTATCTTTGCACCATCTGTTGAAGGTAGGTTTTACAAACATCCACATTGTGCCCTAGTTGAAATTTGAAATGAACAAAAAATATTAGGGAGGCGTAGAGACTTATTCAATGATACTTTAGATTTAGATCTTTAGAAAAAGCAATCCATCAGTTACACATTTTTAGATTGAATATAAAATCCAGTTAAAAGAGAAATAAAACAGTTCTAACACTTTTGTTATTCTATATTTATAGAGTTTGGTGGTTCAATTGATGTAGCTGCTATAACTAGTTTCATAGATGGGGGTGGCAATGTCTTGGTGGCAGCCAACTCATTGATAGGGGAACCAATCAGAGATCTGGCTAGTGAGTGTGGTGTTGAGTTTGATGAAGAGGGAACTGCAGTCATTGATCATCTTAATTATGATACCCAAGACACTGGAAAGGTATAGAATTTCATAATAATCACAGGATTTTGTATTGGCATACATGTTCACCCATCTAACAACAATTTTTGGACAAATGAAAAGTGGCGATTGTCTTAACTTATATCCACTGCTGTTAATTTACATCTAAGGTTTTATAGTCCCGGTCCCTCTGTAAATTTTGCAAAAAGTAGATTGCAAGCACAGATCTTGCCATAACTTTATGATACCTGTACTGGTTGCAAAATCTTTAATCTTTTTTGGTCAGTAAATCTCAATATTTCATCATTTAGACAGCATTTGGGCAAATTTTAACATGATGGAATGTCACACTCTTGACTCAATTATCAGTTAGATATTTTAGTTATATTTCCATGAATGAAATGAAGGGGAAACAAGAAACATGGCTACTTTGCATATAAAATATCTAGGCCTATCATTTGTGTTTAGAACTTCGGCTCATGTTTCAACAATTGTTCTTTCAGCATACCCTGATTGTAGCAGACCCTGCCAATCTGATTGATGCTAAGATGATCACTGGGGACACCAAGATTGCTCCTTTACTCTTCAGGGGTGTAGGGTAAGTTTATCTGTAGTTTAGACAAAGCTTTCTGATCTTAGATTCTTTTTAACTAAGTTCTAATTGATCAAAGAGATTTAATAATTGATGGCCATGTTGAAAAATGATGGCAAATATACATTTTTTATTGCAACTCAAAAAGTTGTGAAATGTTATGTTGTAGCCATTTTTATTATTATGAATCTAGCAGTCTTGCCTGACACTTCAAATCTATGGGAAAGCCTTGCCATTATCTAGTATCTAGTTTAATTCGAGTCTCATTCCCATGCGAATAAGCAATGTGTATGTACCTGGTATTTCATTTGTTTTAGCATGGTAGCTGACCCTGACAATCCTCTTGTGTTGAATGTACTACATGCATCATCCACAGCTTACTCTTTCAATACAGATTCACCAATTGAGGAGGTAAATACATTTCATAACCATTTACATCAGGATTGGATAATTGTTAATACTGCCTAAATACTCCAATTTGATTGGTCAAGGATTCATATAGTAAACACACTTCGTCATTGATGGAATGAGTCTGAATTTGATAGTTAAATTCATTAATTGATTTAATTCTAGTATCCCCATGCTGTGGGAAAGAACACATTGCTGGTCTCAGCTCTCCAGGCCCGTAACAACGCCCGCGTCATGTTCTTCGGCTCCCTCGACTTCTTCAGTGATGAGTTCTTTAGTGCCCCTGTACAAAATGCCAATGGTGGACAAATGTATGTAAAAAATTATTTATATCTTTTTCATGCACATTACACATAGGACCATTATGTATTTTGTCTTTTTCTTTAGGGTGGATGGTTCTTATAGCACATCTTTTGAGCTAAACTTTAAAGTCAACACAAATGCACAACATATAAAGTCAATGTTCTGATGGGCTTTGCCTGATATATTTGTACAAGGTTGTGGTTTGTGCGAGGGTTGATACTGAAAGACCTGATGGTGTTGGGTTTACTTTGTAGATAGTAAGTCAATGTGTAGATATCACTCAGATTTACCATCTTAAAATAAAAATGCAAGTTCTTATTGTTTTATAGCATTGGACAGAGGTAGAGTATGCTTACATTCCAGTCAGATTCCATTTACTTGAGGCCAAATTTTAGTGAAACGTATCATGTTCTAGAAAAACTGTTCTCTGTATTCAGATCTTAACCAATCCTTCTATTTATCACAAACATTAATTTTTGTTTATCAATGATACATTCGTACATTTCACTTAATTTGGTCTCATCGTTTACATTATTGTGTTGCATGAATGTATTATGTAATAAATGTACAAGTTGACTCCCAATGATAGCTATGACTACAAGGAAATAAAAAAATGTAATTACTTGAACATGAAAAGCTAAAAACCCATCAGTCTATATTGCTATGTATTGTTATTCTGTAGATAAGACAATAAAATGTTATAGTTCGTGAAGTGCTGTTAGTGTATGTAAAATCCTTCCCTCTATTCACAGGCACTATCCAGACCAATCATAATGTGATTTTGCTTGGAGTATCATCATCACCGTGAAGGGCCTCATTCATATATACTTGTAGACCCTTTCATTACCTATGACATGATAACACTTATTATCTTATGATGGTCTCTGAATGGTACCTGTGATATAAGTCTACTATACTTGATATTAGATCACTTTTGTACATGTTCATTTCTGTGAATAATGGTATCAATGCATGTTTATTGTGGTACGATTTTTGAACACTGTGTTCAATGAAGAATCATCAATCATGGATTCCACTTTATCTCCCAATTAATGTAATTATCATATGTACTTTCTATACAGCTCTATTATATCTATTTGTGAATGAATGCAGGATTGACTCATTAAGTATTTATTTGTAACACGTTTACATTGATTCTATATGAAGATAAAGTGCCTATCTGGGACTCCAGATATGATATATGTATCAATGTATTAATATATTTCTTGTACTTTCAGTTATAAGGGTCATAAATGTATAATCAACAGAAGAAAAATGTATACATCCATGACATTATATTCTATATTACTATGTCATCTTTATTCTATATATTACTATGTCATCTATATATTTAGGTTTGAGACATCTGGAAACCGTGATCTAGCTACTGCTTTGTCCCAGTGGGTATTCAAGGAGAAGGGTGTCCTCAAGGTGGGAGAAGTAAAACACCATAAGAAGGGAGAGACCAGCCCCCCAGATTACTACATCATCTTGGAACAAGTGGTAAGTCTCATTTCAACTTGATAACAGAATATATTTTAATTTTTACGACTTTAAAATCAGAAATTACAATCTATCAAAAACATTTAATATTCTTTTCACTCACCATTAGATATAACTGTTATGAATTCATAGTTTTATGGTATATAAAGTAAGACATGTATTAATATTTCATTCTCAAGTCCAAAATAACATCGGTACTCAGATTAAAGGTAATAAAATGTTTTTGAAAAGAGTGTTTGTAAAGGTGTAAGCAATGTCTATGTAAGGATGATGCTTTGTATTTCTACATCTGTATGTCAAGGACATATGAAAAAGCTTTGAAATCTGAGATCTGAATAAATCATAAATCTACATGTGATGTGTTGCAGGAATATTCCATTGAGATCTCTGAGCTGAAGAACGGCAAATGGGTACCATTTGATGGCAAAGATGTGCAGCTGGAGTTTGTTCGTATTGATCCATTTGTCAGGACAACATTGAAGAGTACAAGTAAGTCTAGCTTTAGAACATTAAAGCCCCGTTATATTTGCTCTATGGCAGGCAACAGTGACATAATTGTGCACCTATGTTCAAAACAGCAAAACCGCCAAAATAAGAAGCTCCAAATTAAGTAGAGTTACAGTAGGCAAAAAGCCAGCCAGCCAGCCATCCAGACATGTTCAGGATTCATTCTCGTATTTTGTATTTTTAGATGGCAAGTTCAAGGCAACATTTAAGCTTCCTGATGTCTATGGAGTGTACCAGTTCAGAGTAGACTACAACAGAGTTGGTTATACACATCTGTTTAGTACAACACAGGTTAGTTGGATGAATAGGTGGCCTCAATGTCAAACAATTAAAGATTTTGATTTTACAATATTTCATAGTAACTGTTACACTTATCTCCTATTGGACCACATGTTTTTGAATATTAACATAAAAATTCAAACACACACACGCCTTAACATTGTCCAATGGAGAAGCAGGGCTGTCAATCTTTATAGAGAGTCCATCCTATTTGGCCTTTTTGCAATTAATCACGCTATAGTCAATATCCTTGATATTCACTGGTGATCTCAACTCGTGATTTAAATCAAAAATGGAATCTTGGTTGAAGTATACAACTGAGCTAGTCTAACTCCAGGGAAATCAACAGTTATGCTGTGTGAAATGATGTAATAGTAAATCCATTCTCTGAGCTTTGATGGCTACTTGTTTAGAGTTGATTGCCTCACATGCCGTGTCTGTCAGGGTTTTCTTGTCTAGATACATGTATGTTTGGTAACTCTCTCTAAGCAGTAGTTGTCAGGGAGGTTACTAAACCTCTTGAAACCTTTGACGTTTTACTGGTCTGATCACACAGTATACTGTAAACTTGGAACATTACAATTATGAAATTGTTTTGATTTGAATCAAAAGTTTGAGTGAAAACATGTGTTTTAAAAGTATGCTCTGGCTCCCAATTTTACATTCCACTGTCAATTTGTTTTTATTGACCCATTGATCACCTTGGAAATTCTTTTTGAATAAAGACTCAACTTTATTTTGCTAAGAAATCCTGAGATCAAACATGGTCAATAAAAAATCATAATGGTTAGGCACCCAAAATTGTATTATTTGTATCATTATTTATGGCACATATCGTTCTCTATTGCAGGTGTCCAGTCATCCATTGCGGCACACACAGTATGAGAGGTTCATCTTATCTGCCTATCCCTACTATGCTAGTTCATTCAGTATGATGTTCGGCTTATTCATATTCAGCCTGGTATTCTTGCACTACAGGGAAGAGACTAAAGAAAAGGCAGAATAGGACAATTATTTCACATCATCATTTCAACAACTGCCCTATATAACATCAAGGATGGTTATAATCTGATTGTTTCATAGAAGTGTTATCTGTTCCTTCGATTGAATTACTGAAGTAGAAGGGAAATGCAGCACATGAATAAACTTGGTTATCTGATAAGCGTACACATTAGGTCACATCAAGTCTTCATGAAGTCATATTCATATCATTTTTCACATTTCATGTTGCATAATCACAATTAATTTATTAACAGTTTATTGAACAGTAAAGTATAAATCATAAAATGTGATTCATGATTGGGTGCATTGTGAACTTCAATACACACAAATTCAATCATAAAGAAAAAGAGAAATAATTGAATTACTTAATGGACTAGAGAAATCGCACTTACCAGACTGAAGAACATGGCCACAATACCCCATTCCCAAAAGAGGAACATTATCATCCAAAACCAAAAGGAGCCAAAGTTCAAGGTCAAAGTTCTCATGTAGAGGACGCCTTTCCATTTACTTAGTATATGTGTTTGTAAAATATTAGTGAAAACATGTTTTATACTTTAATACATTATGAAATTGTAGATTATGTATGTTTGAATTGGTATGGTAATACCATGTGTTTTGTTAAAATATATCTTCTGTTGAAATACATGAAATAAAAATGATGATGAAATGAAAATAGAAAAAATGCCCTTGTTATTTCCTTATTGCTTACAAAAATGGATTATCAAACAGCATTGTCATTTGGAAAATATAATGATGTTTGGAGGAGTCTCAGTAGATCCCTATCATAGTGTGAAATCACAAATTTAAAGACTTGAAATAGGGTAAGTAGACTAAAACAAAAAGAGAGAATAACCTAAAGATGACTAAATAGAGCTGGCGATTGATGATAAACATTGCTGCTAGTTTTAATTAAGAAAGAGATAATGATAGGCCATTCAATATGGTGAAATTCATCACGCATCAGACGGAACGGTGTACAAACGTTTATACTGACATTCTGTCCTAGGAATGCAAAATTCACCAAATATAATATACTAGTTATGTCACCACCAAAAGTGGTGACATATTGTTATGGTCTCCGTTTTTTTGCGACGGCGGTTGGTGGTTGGTGGTTGGAGGTTGGCGTCCGGCGTCTGTAACAATTTCTAACAACTTCCTATAACTTAACAAATACTGTTTAGACTGACTTCAATTTTTTTCTAAATCATCTACATGTTCTCAGAAGTTCAAATCTGACTTTAGATTTGACATTTGACCTTCAATGACCTTCTCAAGGTCAAAAAGGTCTTTTTTCAACTTGCTTCACATTGACTAAATTTTTTTTCAAAATCATCTACATGTTCTCAGAAATTCAAATCTGACTTTAGATTGGACATTTGACCTTCAAATCTGACTATAGATTTGACATTTGACCTTCTCAAGGTCAAAAAAGGTCAAAAAGGTCTGTTTTCAACTTGCTTCAAATTGACTAAAAAATTTTTCAAAATCATCTACGTGTTCTCAGAAATTCAAATCTGACTTAAGATTTGACATTTGACCTTCTCAAGGTCAAAAAAGGTCAAAAAGGTCTGTTTTCAACTTGCTTCAAATTGACTAAAATTTTTTTTCAAAATCATCTACGTGTTCTCAGAAATTCAAATCTGACTTTAGAGTTGACTTAAGATTTGACATTTGACCTTCAATGACCTTCTCAAAGTCAAAAAAGGTCAAAAAGGTCTTTTTTCAACTTGCTTCAAATTGACTAAATTTTTTTTTCAAAATCATCTACATGTTCTCAGAAATTCAAATCTGACTAGATTTGACATTTGACCTTCTCAAAGTCAAAAAAGGTCAAAAAGGTCTTTTTTCAACTTGCTTTAAATTGACTAAATTTTTTTTCAAAATCATCTACATGTTCTCAGAAATTCAAATCTGACTTTAGATTTGACATTTGACCTTCAATGACCTTATCAATGTCAAAAAGGGTCAAAAAGGTATTTTTTCATCTTGCTTCAAATTGACTAAATTTTTTTTTCAAGGTCATCTACATGTTCTCAGAAATTCAAATATGACTTTAGATTTGACATTTGACCTTCAATGACCTTCTCAAGGTCAAAAAAGATCAAAAAGGTCTTTTTCAACTTGCTTCAAATTGACTAATTTTTTTTTTCAAAATCATCTACATGTTCTCAGAAATTCAAATCTGACTTTAGATTTGACATTTGACCTTTAATGACCTTCTCAAGGTCAAAAAAGGTCAAAAAGGTCTGTTTTCAACTTGCTTCAAATTGACCAAATTTTTTTTTCAAAATCATCTACATCTTTTCAAAAGTTCAAATTTGACTTTACAAGTTCTCAGAAGTTCAAATCTGACTTTAGATTTGACCTTTGACCTTCAATGACCTTCTCAAGGTCAAAAGGTATTTTTCAACTTGCTTTAAATTGACCAAATTGTTTTAGGTGGTGACATTTTGTCATGTTAATGCCTTGTATATATAATTATGTCACCCCCAGATGTGGTGAAATATTGTTAATAGTCTCTAATTTTTTTGTGGATGGTAGCCAGTGTCTGTAACAAATGGCAGGTGTAACATTTTGCATGTTAACTCCCGGAAGACTAGTCACTTTTGGGAAAAATGAAAAAATAAAATGTACATGAATCTAGAAGCAAGAAAAGGAAGCAAGGCACGATAAATTATCACATATCATTTTGAAGGGCTAGGCCCATACTTGAATTTTTTTGAAAAAATGTGAATATGCAAATGAGATAGTGCCATTGGGATGTCATAATTTAAGATGGCACATTTGAATGTTTTACAAAACGGATTATTTTAGCATTTAATTTTTTATTGAGACTTCAATTAAAATGTCTTGTTATCTATTCGGATTCAAACAAAAAATGATCTGATGACTGAAGAAAATTACTATTTCAATGGCCTAACTGGAAATTATGAGCACATACATTTAAGTTATCATTCAGAAGGGGGTACCTTTATGTTTGATTTATTGATGTACACCCGTCCCCCCCCCCGCCGTCCCCCTCCCTCTGCTCTCTTATTCCCCACTTGAGAACCTTTGGTTTGGTAGATCACCAGTCATGGCAGTCGGATCTTTTCCCTTGTATAGAAATGATTATTATACACTATAGGACAAAAAGGGTAAAATCTTATTGATTGCCGTGTTCAGTAAGTTTTTGAAACCGAGCTAATGTAAATTTTGAAATTCCCTCCATTTTCAATTCATACTTTTTGACCAATCAGAATCAGGCAAATCTTCGTTTCCATTCATAAACAAATATGGCGGACGACGGTGAGTAATAATTTTTACATTCCAGTATTCATCGCACTGGTAAATATTTAGCCGGAATTCTGCTAATCCATGAGCCTAGTGCGTAAGTACATACATGAGTGCATCAATGCGTTGCGATTTGTATACCATACCTTGAACGTATTATGTATAAATCCAGTTTTCTTTTCAAAATTTTCAATTCTATTTTTTTTTCAAAATTTTTTTCAAATTCAAGATTCTCTCATCTCCATAATTTACGACAGGCCAGATTCTTTTGTAGTAGGATCAGTAGCTCAATAAATATTCCTCAAGATGAGACACCTCAGAAAATTTCAAATTTTAAAATGACGATTATGGAGCCATTTCTGAAAAATAGAGACCCTGTCTGTTGCAAGACTAACGCCTGGCGTAACCGTCACTATGTTATTCAGTGTTTTTTAAGTAGCGCAAGGATCCTGCCATGACCGTGGTAATGTTATCGTGAAAGCCTGGTATAACCGCGACAATGCAGTATTATATTGCAATGCCTGCCATGACCGTGACAATGTAATATAGACTAGTTCTGCAAGGCTTGGTATGACCGTAACAATGTAATATAGTACTGCAAAGCCTGGCATGACCGTGACAATGTAATATAGTTCTGCAAGGCTTGGTATGACCGTAACAATGTAATATAGTACTGCAAAGCCTGGCATGACCGTGACAATGTAATATAGAATTGCAAGTTCAGGTATGAGAGTGGTAATGTAGAAATTTACGATTAGGACTGCTATAACCGTGACAATGTGTATTGCAAAGCCTGGCATGACCATGCCAATGTAATATAGTATTGCAAGGCTTAGTATGACCGCCATGGTAATGTGATATAGTATTCCAAGTTCGGGTATGAGAGTGGTGATGTAGAAATTTATGATTGCTATAATTGACCGTGACAATGTGTATTTGAAAACCTGGCATGACCATGACAATGTATTATGGGATCGCAAAGCCTGGTATGACCGTGACAATGTAATATAGTATTGCAAGGCCAGGTATGAGGGTGGTAATGTAGAGATTTAGGCTTAGTTCTACTATGACCGTTATAATGTATTGCATGCAATGACTAGTAAATATGTATGACATTAATGCCAGGAATATCCTTAACAATTTTAAGTGATCCTCATTACAATTAAACAGTTTAATACTATGATCATGGTGTTGAACTACCTTAATCATGTCAAAATCAAAATTACTACTATACATAAATATTCACATTCGGTTATAAACCACAATAAAGGCTACGGTCGCGCCAGGCTTCCACGATAACACTTCCAGGGTCATGACAGGCCTTGCAATAGAATACAACATTGTCACGGTTATACCAGCCTGTCACGGTTATACCAGGCTTACACGATAACACTACCACGGTCATGGCAGGATCCTTGCGCTACTTAAAAAACACTGATTAACATGGTGACGGTTGTGACAGGCGTAAGTCTTGCAATAGATAGCATGTGGAAAAATATGAGACAAATCATACCTCATTCGAAGCATCTTGTTATTCTTTTTTATCACCAATGACCGTTATTCAAGCAATTCTGCATTGATAAGAGGCCAAAACAGTGATATTTTATCGCCGGACTCTTGTCTGTCCAAATCTGAATGTTGCTCCCGTGGTTCCAGAAATGTGACGTCATCAGTATAATGATATTTGGACACACAAGAGTCCGGATCTCGTGAAAAATATTCACCGTATTAAAAGTCAAATAACTGCATCTATAGGTTATTTACTCGAACCAAACAAGTAGAAATAGAAAGATGAAGATCCCAGCTTTAAAATAAGTGCAAAATCTGGCATGGGGAAGCAGGTACCATTTTGTATAAGGAACATTTTTAAAAGGTGGTCATATTTTTTTGAAATTTTCCAATTTAGTGTCGTATCTTGTGAATTATTCTTTGAGCCTATGAGATCTTACTACAAAACGATCTGGCCAATATCTGTGATTTACGACGACAGCAAATAATAGTGAAAAGAAACCAGAAGAAAACATACTGACATGAACCAGAGTCTAATCTGTGACATAAAACACCTGAAGAAAGCATGTGAACAGCAGCATCCCCTTATGTTATCATCTATTTACCTGAAATACGGAAAGATACACATCACGCAGAGTCTAGTTATAAACTACCCTCTGCCTAGTATAGACTAAATTACAGTTTAGCAGCCCGCCTCCATCACCAGTGCCTGTGTCATAATCATAAGCCTTTGTCATAAATCATTTCAAATTTTGGCTGAGCTGTTCACAACAAATCAACAAGCTGGAAGGAACACATGCTAAGTTTGTGCCAATTAGGTCTGATTTCAACAACAAACCCTGTTTGGCTTGGTAAGTTCAGAGATTTATTGTTTACTCAAAGAGTGAAGACGAATCTCTCTTTTAGAAGAGTACATGTAGTCGAATGAGTGCAAAGGGTAGCGGAAACATTTTTTGAAAAAAGAAAAATAGGGTAAATTAACAGTTTTTTGCCTTGTTATGGTTTCTTAATTCTCCTAGCAAGCCTAAAGTCAACACTTCAAGGAAATCTACTTTTTTTCACCTCAAACTGGCTTTTTTGGTCATATAATGAGCCAAATTTGAGATGTTGCTCAAAATTTAGAATTACTCCTTGCTTCGCTTCTCGAGATTGAATAGGCCCAGTCTTAAACAATGTCTGGCCTTATTCATTACCAGTCTGCCCCTAAGAGACGTCAGATTAATAATTAAGCCAGTTAGGGTTTAACTTGTTGAACTACCATTTACCAGATATCAGGCCCGTAAGACACTTTTCTCCAAGGGGGGTGCGGTTTTTAGCTTACTAAAGAGAATTTAAAATTGTCAATTTTTTTGCCACGTAAATCAAATCGCGTAAGACAGAGGGGGGGGGGGTCAGTTACTCCCTATATTGGTTTGAAATTAACAAATGCAACTTCCAAACGTTCCAATTGTTTTGTGGGGGGGGGGTGAGGAGTGGTCTACTCCCCCTAGAAAATTTTACAGTTTTTGAGATGCTATTTGGTGCTTTCTGGGGACTTTCAAAGTGTAAGTTTCTAAGTTAGTAGTACGCCACTACCACAAGAATAAGAGTTGAGTGAATAAAGAACCGAGCATTCAGGGGGGTCTGGGGGTTCTCCCCCATGAAAATTTTGAAATTTGCTTGTATTTGGAGCGAATTTGGAACCATCTGGTACGCCTGTGCGTTATGAGTCAATAAGAAAAATGTGAATTTTTTTCAAATTCTTTTGGGGGTGTCAAAGAGGATGAGAGGGTGAAGTTGGGTGGGGTGCCAGTAGCGGAGCAAGGGGTTGTCCCCCAGAAACATTGACCATATCAAGGTGCTATTTGATGATGTCTGGGCACTTAAAAAATGTCTGAGACAATACATGAAATTCAGAATATTTATTTTGTTTTGTGGGGGTTTTGAGGGGTAGCTAACTCTCCTAGAAAATTTTACAATTTAAAGATGATATTTGGTGCTTCTGGGCACTTTTAAAGGTATAAGTCAATAAAAACATTGAAAAACAATCACAACTTTTTTCTGGGCACTTTCAAAATGTATGAGTCAATAAAAAAATTTGAAAAATCTCAATTTTTTTTTTTTGGGGGGGGGGGTGTTAAGGAGGGGGGCTGCCAGAGGGGGAGGTGGAGTGGGGATGCCAGAGGGCGAGTAAGTGTTAGTCTTCCAGCATAATTAACTTTATCAAGGAGCTATTTGATGATGTCTGGGCAATTTAAAAGTGTCTGAGACAATACATAAAACAAATTCAGAACTTTTCCATTGTTTTGTTTGGGGTGTGATGGGTGGCCCACTCCCCCTAGAAAATTTTACAATTATAGACGCTATTTGGTGCTTTCTGGGCATTTTCAAATTGTATGAGTCAATTAAAGAATTTGAGAAAATCACAATTTTTTTTGGGGGGGGGGTCTAGAGGGGGGGCGCCACAGGGGGGGGGTCAACGGGGGCGCCTGAGGGGGGGGGGGTTATGCAAGTGCAAGATGCAAGAGGGGGAGCAAGTCTCCCACAAACACTAACTATATCAAGGAGCTATTTGATGATGTCTGGGCACTTTAAAAGTGTCTGAGACAAAACACTAAAATAAATTTAGAACTTTTCCATTGTTTTGTGGGGGGGGTGAGTGGTGGCCAATACCCATAGATTATTTTACAATTTTAAGATGCTATTTGGTGCTTTCTGGGTACTTTCAAAGTGTATGAGTCAATGAAAAAAAATTACAAATAAATATTTTTCAAAAAAAAAATTTTTTTCAAATTTTTTTTTCAAATTTATTTTGGGGGGTAACAAAGGGGGGTGCGGTCGCACCCATCGCACCCCCCCATCTGACGGCCCTGGATATTGTGACAAAATTGTGGTTTTCATTTTTTGTTTAATTTTTGTACTTGTATATGTGGAGTCAGTCGACTCTTTCAGAGAGTTTAATGACTCAAATGTGTACATGCAGAATGTCACGTAGGCACTGGGTTGTTTACAGGATCAGCAGACTGAAGTGGAATAAATTAGAATAATTAAGTACCCAGCAACCGGTGATCAGCCAATCAGATTCTTTTATTTGAATTTCCCTCCAACTTAAGTTGTAGTTTTCCCATGATGCAACTTGAGGTGTCTGGATTTTATTGTTTGCAATTAACCACGTGAATCAGAGTAAACCTAGATCTTGAAGATACAAGACCTCGTCAGTTTGGATTTATTTATGTGCAAGCGTGTTTTATTTAATCTGTGGACTTATTGGAGCATTATTTTGGATATATTGGATTAGTTGCAGTAATCGTTAGATGCAGATTGTATTTGGTGCGACTATTGAAGAAAATACAAGACAACAGCCAGTGTTTTGGTGAGTTAGCCATTTTCTTGATTGAGGTTGGCATAAAATGGGTAATTAGCTGTCCGCCATCTTGCTTTCTTGTTCCCACAATTCCCGGCGGTCGGCCATCTTTGTTTTTGAAGGAAGTGACGTCATTTTGAGAAGTTTTGAGCTCCAGATTCTCTGAGTAGATTTGGCTCTGTCTAATCTCATTTCTTTGATTGATATTCGTGAGTCATTCTGCTCTGAGTATTGGTGGCTCCTAGTCATTACCCCTCCAAGCTATAAATGCTCCTACTTTGTCGAGGCGATCTGACTCTCACCCAGGGTTGTATGTTGAGGAAGGTTTACTCTCATCGGAGCCAAGGTTACATTACCGGAACTGAGGTGCTCCAAGGCGAGAGATAACAGCTCTGTCTAATCTCATTCTTTGATCGACATTCTAGAGTTGTTATTCTCTACAGAGGTTGTAGTGAGGTTGCTCCTGCGAAGCGGTGACTCCGAGAGCAGAGGTTACTCTTTGGAGACAGTGTAGCTCATTGAGTGAGAGCACTCTTTGAGTAGAAGTTACTCTTTGGAGACAGTGTAGCTCATTGAGTGAGAGCACTCTTTGAGTAGAGGTTACTCTTTGGAGACAGTGTAGCTCATTGAGTGAGAGCACTCTTTGAGTAGAGGTTACTCCTGAGACGAGGCGATTCCCGGGGCTGAGGTACTAGCAGTGTGTGGATCTCGTTCAAGAGCAGAGGTTACTCCTGAGACGAGGCGATTCCCGGAGCTGAGGTACTCCCAGTGTGTGGATCTCGTTCGAGAGCAAAGGTTTCTCCTGAGAAGTGACGACTCCAAGAGCAGAGGATACTCCCGGAGCCTGGACCCCTTCCAAGAGACAGTGTAGCTCAAGAGTGAATTGAGCAGAGGTTGTAGAGAGGTATATCCTGAGAAGTGGTGACTCCAAGAGCAGAGGTTACTCTCGGAGCCTGGACTCCTTCCAAGAGACAGTGTAGCTCAAAGAGTGAAAGCACTCTTTTGAGGAGAGTTTAAGGGTGGTTACTCCCGTGACAAGGCGACTCCCGAAGCAGAGGTTACTTCCGGAGCCAGGGCTCTTTCCCAAAGACGAGATAGCTCAAGAGGGAGAGCTCTTTTCAAGCAGAGCAGAGCAGAGTCTTGCAGAGAGCAGAGCATAGCAGAGAGCAGAGCATAGCAGAGAGCAGAGCCGAGTATATCAGAGAGCAGAGCAGACAAGCAGAGCAGAGCAGAGTATGGCAGAGTAGAGTAGAGACAGACGGACTCAGAGCCAGAGTGTTTTTCGACTCATGTTTATATATAGAGACATTATTGTATTACTGGCCATAAAGGCATTGAGGACATTTTGAAATTGATTGTTATAGTAATTATAGTGTTGAATAGATTGTTAAATCCCGTAATTGATTGTTTTTTACATTGTGTTTTCCATCTCCTAGCTCAGTGACAGCTGAAGCACCAAACCAGCTCGGCGCCCGTGATAAACACCTCCGAATCCCTTATCATCGCCACCAGACCTTCTCCGAGGGAGTACGGGTACTCGGCGGGAGTCTGGCGCGCGACAATATTATATGTATCTGTTATCATGTATGTTTCTGCATCTACAGGTAAGTTGCCCACTTGTTTCTGTGGTAATCTGATTTACTTGACCATCTCTGGAGGCAGAAAAAGCCAGTGTGGGCTCACTATTTTTCCAGGAAGAGGCTATTATCTGTCGTTACAAGAATGTGATGTGCTCTTGTAGCAGACCCTCCCATCAAAGAAACTACATGATTGAAACCTAGAGTTTATTCTTCAATCAGCCAGTCAGTTGATGCCCATATCACTTAATATGACGAGTGTTGCCAAATGAATTCACCGACACCATAACTTATTTTGTGTTTCATTATGTCACCAATGAGAACTGCTGACATACTGTACTAGTCACTGTTTGTTGTGACTGCCATTTTGGTAGCCAAAGCTTTGAATTTATCTACTCCATATCTTTCTCGTAGTAGAGCTATGACACAACAGATATATGAAGTAGATATCTCTCTCTTAGAGGTAAGGCTGATATCTGGAATGGAAAACATAATTTCTTTATCACAGCTGGTATTTAGCAGTTGGTGTTACCCTTTTGAAAACATTAATTTGCATAGCAGGTGGTAATATTTTATCATGTTCTGAAATACTTTTCCATCATTTCTAGACAATTTTCCACCAGAAAATTCAGCAACTAACATGTATTTCTACATTATTTTCAGTTGAGATTGAGAGACCAAGAAAGCACAAGAGGATCAAATCTGGACAGAAGAAAATAAAAGATGATGAGACACCGCTATGTAAGCCCTCTCGTTTTAGTCAATATAGTCATTCTAGAGTACTACCTATAATACACAGCACTGTTTCATCTAATCTTTTTAATTACTAAATATTTACATTCAGTATTTATAATAATAGGATTGTGCACATCTAAAAAGATTTTTGCATCCACTTGAAAATGACCAAAATCATAGAGATTGGCATATTTTGACAAACTTTTGTTAGACTTTTGAAAATGAGAATTACAAGTCCACTATGGGAAAAATCCTAGTAGAAACACTGGAATTTGTCATTTTTATTAAGAGAGATAACCAGTTTATGAGTTTTTGATTCAAAACCTTACCTAGCTACCTGGGAATATACATATCTCCTTTGTTGTCACCTAGTTATGGTCAAAAGGTATCATTTCTATTGAATTTATCTAACTAAGTTTCTAGAACTTTCAAATGGTAAAGTTTATTTTGTTTGTTTTCAGCACCTGGCATCAAAGGTCAGACAAAGGCAAGATTTGACCAATTGTTACAACAGGCAGCAAAAGAAGCAAAGAGGTACTAAATACTTGTCAAATCATTGTAGAACCATGTCAGTTTCAAGTTTGTTTACTAAGAATCATTTGAGAATAACATCTTGTTTGAAAGTGTACCATAGGGTTAAAACTAGGTTAAATCTAGACTTTGAAATTGATTGTTAAATGTGTAGCTTTTTACCAAGTTTCAATGAGAATAAATTGTACATTAACTTGGTTGATTGTCTATAGTTTCCATCATTAAACTGGAAAAAATTAGCTACTGATTACTGAACCATCAATTTTTGACTTAAATACTCCTCAGATATTCAATATGAGTGTAGTGCATGCAAGGCTTAAAACAAACATGGATTAATTTCACCATTTAACATCAACTGTTTTGCAGAGAAGCATTGGAGAAACCTAGCAGGAGAAAGAAGAAAACCAGAAGCAACACTGGAGAATCTGTGGTAAGGAATCAAAACATATTTTCGATAATTTTCTCTTTTTCTTCAATGCAAAATTGCATTCTTGTATACTCCAGTAAAACCAGCCAGGTGGACCACCTCTCTGTTAAAAGATTCTCTACATGGTGCAATTTTCAAAAGAACCAACCCCTTACTAACATGTTAAAGAACCTTCTCTGTAAAGATCATGTGTCTATAAGGAACACTATTGGTTAGTTTGGCAAAATTAAGTACATAGATTTTATTGTACTGCAATTCCTTTTTCCAAAACATAATTCTGTCACAATACAGTATTTGGAAAGAAAAGGGAACCTGCTTCATTGGTTTAGCCCAAAGTTCAGCAATTGGTTTCACTCCATTTTATTATAAACCATATCACTTATATTACTTTGCTGTGCAATTCATTTTTTAGTTGGAAAGTTTACGGAATGGAGAAGGTCTAAAAAAGACATCAGACGATGCTTCCATTCTTGCCAACTCATATGACCCAGATGATGATCCCAAAAATACAAAAAGTAATAAAAGAAGAGAGAAACAAAGAAAAATAGGTCAGCTACAAAATATATTGAAATTCCATTCTTTCAATGTGAATTTCTTGTAACATCAATGTCAATCATATTTTTGAATAAACTTTAAATACACAATGTGTAAATATGAGAATAGCTGGTTACTTTGGCCCAGTTCAGAATTGGTAATGACTTTTATATTGGATTGATGCCTTGGAGCATGTTAAATTGTGAAGTAAGTTTTGTTATATGTCAATTCTTGTAATTGAGATCTACCTCACTTGTCCTTTTGATGTTTTTAGGCCGAGAAAATCTTGCATACGATGAGGACCCCTTAGACAAACTAGGCAGTCAAGATGACCTCAAGGCTACTATCACGCCCACCAAAAAGACCAGAAGAAAACTACCAAAGATGAAGGACAGTGAAGAAACTGTTGCTGACAGGTCGGTATATTTTTTAATGTACATAAAAAGTATAATATTGTTGTTTTGTATTGATGTATGCAGGGGGTTCATTAGCAGCAGGCAACAGGGCATTTTCACCGGTTGTTTTCACAAAATCGCCTGTTGTTTTTGTTAGGGATTTTTAGGGACATAAAATTATGATTTTCCTCTAATTTAGTCTGTTGTGAGAAATTCTAGTGAAACCCCTGTGTATAGGTATACAGCAGTATAAATCTTATCTATTTACAAATTTCTTTTTTTACAAATGCAAAGGCTGATAAGTGCCAAGATCTGGTTGGTATTGGTTATGCTATTTAATTTACTAGGCGACTGTTTTGCTCTTCAAGTGTGATATTCATAAGTGTGCATCTTGTATGTAATTAATATGTATGATGTTCAAAGAAAAAATCCATTTAAATATCCACATTTCTAATTGAATTTGTATTCACAATTTTACATATATTATGTTTTCTCCTAAAATTATAATGTCAGTTAACCAATAAAGAGCAGCAATAACTTTTAATTAACATGGGCTAGCTTAATTTTGATTACTATTTTCAGGGATATGTCAATATCTGATTTGGTTAGTTCACCGACAAGATCAACTCCAAGTAAATCTAAACCAAAGAAAAAATCACCTAAGAAAAAACAACCAGATGTGGTAGGTATCTATGTCTGAAACAAATGGGAGGTGGTGACATTTTGCCTTGCCTTGTTTACCTTGCATTACCAATTATAAATGTATTGAATATCGGCATATCACCCTCATCACTTTAAATCATCATAAAATTGATGAGAAAATTCATGTATGTTATTGCAATTAAAAAGTTCCAATCAACATTTCAAATGAATCCATCTACTAGAATGGCAATATATGTAACTCCAAAACTGAATTGGGTTTGTTTCAATTCTGGGAGATTCTTACAGGATCTGTCGTCAAATTTGATCCAACTATTTTTTGTATTGAGGTTCATCAAAAGTCACAAATTCAAATGGTCTTACAAAATTTCTCTCTTTGAAACGGCTCAAATTGCACAAAATGACATTCTGTCATATTGATGACGTTTCTAATGTTGTTTAGGATGATGAGACTCAGGAAAATGTTACATCCAGAGTGGAGGAGGAACATGAACCATCCACAGAGGAGAAGGTCAAAAAGAGCAAGAAGACAAAGAGGAAGAAAAAGAAAGGTATCTGATATATAAGTGTACGTCTGAGTACCTGACAATGTTAAATCATTCTTGAAATGTATAAATCTTATTATATATAAAAATGTTTTACCAAAATTTAAATTGCAGTACAAGGTGATCAAGAAGTAACGTCAAAGGTGGTGCCATTTCACTACTACTTGATTAATCATCCTGAAACTTGGTAAAGATGTTTCCCAATGAGTTAATATCTCAATGTAACACAGATTGGGAGATTCCATCTAGATCTAGAGAAACCTATTGTATTGAGTATGTAATTTTCAGTTAAAACATGTAAAACTCATTAAAATACATTTCTCTAGGTCTAGATGGAATTTCCCATCTGAGTTACACTGGATCCTACATTATTTCTGAGTACACTTACATGGAAACAGAGTACATGTATCCGGGAAATATCAGTGCAACTGGAATTGAATTAAAATGGACTGATAAGTCTGAAATCATTATGAAACACCCTGATCTCATAAGTCTATGGGTTTGTCTATTAGTGTAACTGTACTGAATGTTTATATGTCATATATGAAATATGTTTTTATGTTTTACTGTTTTAGTCTTTTTTTGAGGATGGTGTTCGATCATTGGGGTTTGATGGTTAGTGTTTGGCATTCTACATCTGTAACAAATGGCAGATGGTGACATTTTGCATGTTAATGCCTTTTGTTTAATTACAGAAGTGCCTGATGAGGTTGAAGAAGGTGATCCAGAGGCTAATGCTGAGGCTAATACTGAGGACCAACCAGATGAACCAGAGCCTCCTCATGAGCTAGAAGACACTGATAGAATACTAGGACTTATTGTACATAGAACAGATAAATTAAAGACAGATTTCTTTATTGCTCATCCTCTGGTGCGAATTCACATTGTTGATGCTGATACTGGTGCTTATTTAGAAAAATATACAAAGTAAGTCAATGTTGTGAGGAATTCACAGATCACTCCAGAATTAATCCAACTCAGCGTCACCATTCTAAAATACCAGGTGGAGAAGTGGTGACATTGTCAGTCTCCAACTTTTTTGTGGATGGTGTTCGGCGGTCAAAGTTTAATGGTTGGTGTTCAGAGTATGGCATCTGTAACCTTTGCATTCGGCATCTGGAACATTTTGTAATAACTTACAAGGTTGTGACATTTTGTCATTTTAATGCCTTGTTTTCTACTGCTTTCATTGGCCTCTTTGCTAAGTTTTAGACAAAGAATGCACTTGTATCACGATGAAGCAAAACACCCAGTTGAGATTTTGAAAATGACATTGTAAGTTCATTTGCATCTGTTGTTAAAATATTGCGAAAAGGACTGTCCAATATAATGGCATTTAATGTACTACAGGGTGCAGTGCTGCATGCATTAAGGTATTATTGCTAATTTCAAGACAAATTGTGTCTACAAAGCAGTACTTTTGAATGCTATTTGTTTATTATTCAGAGGAAGAGCTGTGACATCCTATTACGAGGCAAGGAATGAGAATGTTAAACACATACTCCCTGTCATGACACAGCCCTTTGATTTTAAGAAGAAAAGGTAACAATATATAATTTCTTCTATTAGTTATATAACAACTAGATCAGAGTAATTTTAACCACTACACATTTTTTTGCAACTGTATTATTCCATTGAGCAATGTGTCTGATTTGATAACATAGCCCTATGATTTGTGAAAACATTTTGTATTTGGTTATATCCCACTCTGTGTAGTTTCTGTTTTATTCAGCGAGATTTTATATTTTTCAAAATCAGTCAAAATCCAATAAAATATGGAAAAATACAATTGTTTTTAAGAAAACAGAAAATGCAGAATTTTTTTGTCACAGCTACTTTATTTACCCGAAATGTTTGTTGTAGATCTACGATTCCTGTCTGGGAAGAACTGGTCATCTTTAATGAAAACTTTAACTATTTCCTTGAAGAGAAACCTAGAACTATAATATTTTTTGAAGTAAGTAGAATCATTTTCAGCTATTTCCATGAAATTCATTTATTCTCATGTTTTGGTTGATTTCATAGATATATGTTAAAAAGACTATAGATATAATATAAGCACTTAGCAGTACCTTTATTTGTTTAATTACTTGTTTGACAAAATACTATGAGACTTGATACTCTTGAGATTTCAACTGGTAGAAAAGGGTTTTTTAATACACTCCTGAATTGTGTTTTTTTGTGTTTTTAAAACATTTAGATGAAAGACAGTATAGTATGTCTAGATTTAAATATTTCTATTATTTATTTCAGATTTTAGATTTTGTTAGTATGAATACAGCTAGTCAGAAATACACAAGTGCCAAAGAACAGGGAGGCTGGCATAGGATTGCCTGGGCTTTTCTCAAGGTATGAAGGCTTTCTAGTTTTTAGCTCGCATGGTGAACTGTAGCTATCACTCACTCGTATAAACTAGTCATAATACATGTATCCTGATCAAAGTACTCTTTATAGGCTCAACCTTGTAACAGGCTTTGGCTTAAATATCACATTTTTAGTTTCCAATTTTTTCTTTATGTTTGGAATTAATAAACATTTATCTGTATTTTTGTCCATGTGAGTTTTTTAGGGAGTAGTCGTTTCTGTTACATATTTAATTTTGTTTTAATAAGCTATATTATCTCTCAAAAACATAAACAGTGCATCTGACCAATACAATAGTGATTACTTTAGTTGCTTACCTTAATGTATCACTGACAATATATCTTACCATTTTCTTGATCTCACCTTAGTTGGGCGATAATTCATGGGTGGTTTTGGGGGCGGGATTGGCGGGCAAATACTTACAGGATTCAATCAGATTGTACACTGACCTTTTCGCTTGAAAGAAAAATTGATGAGAAATGAGTTCTGCACATTTGCAGTGCATTGACCAACATTTTACTTCCTTTACTAAACTTTGTTTACATCTAATCATACCCCAGATGTAGGGTTACCTTTTTTTAAGAAATGACTAGCTCCCATAAAACACATATAAAACCAATTAATTGTTATTTGTATTACCTTTAGTTGTTGGGAACCAACAAGAAGATCAACACAGAAAAAAAGGTTCGCCTTCAGCTCTTCCAGTCTCCAGTAAGGTTCCGTGCCAGACCAGGCCAGCTTGATGTCTATCAATGGTGGAAGACCCCTGGCTCTCGTATCAACTACCCCGCCACCCTCTATGTCACTGCCAAACCGATTGTACCACCCTCAGAAGTAGAACCTGCCCCCAGGTCTATGTATGCCACTCAGGAAGAACGGGGAACCAGGACATATAAAGATTTACAGAAAACCTTAGATAGGACTAAACGATTTGAATCAAGGTAATTTTCATGTCTTGGCTAAATTGAATCATCTATGTTTTCAACTGTCAATGCATTGTAAAGACTAGGATATTAGAATGCTAGGATACACTGTAAAAGCTGCTGTAGTATACTATTGTCGTTATTTGACCTGATCATCATAATATCTTACTATTCCTGATATAAAAATAGCAAGTTCCTGGAACCCCTCCAACCCCAATGCATCACCTCACTCATGAGTATGCTCTGTGTGATGCTCTTTGTATAAGTATTGAATACAGTTAAAGTTGATTGCGACACTAATTTACGGGAACTGGGTAGAATGTTTTAATTTTGAATACACACCCTATGCAGACAGAGCCTGTGGGAAATATTGGGTGCGGAGCAAATGAGCGGAGGGTGCGGAGCTAACGGACATGTTTGAATTTAAATTTGGGATATTTCTGAAACTAAGCCGTTTTGGGACTTCAAATATACCAAGATATGTGTATTTGACACCAAATATCAATAAAATTGTGAAAATAGTAGCGCAATTCATTCTATAGCGACGCAGTGTGCCTTAAACCTTTCCCAGACCTATATATTTTGAAATTATCCTTTTAATACTGAGTCCCCAGCATTCATAAAAAATGGTGTTCAAGGTACACTATCTATACAAATTATTTTTGCATCTTGGAAGCCAGGAGGAGCTCCATAAACGTACCTCCGCACCCAATATTTAGAGGGGGCTCATATCTGAAGAACATTTCCGAATTTTTATAAAATCACACAGATACTGACTGGCTTCCAAGATGCAAAAATAATTTGCATGGGTAGTGTATCTTGAACACCATTTTTTATGAATGCTGGGGACGCAGTATTTAAAGGATAGTCTCACAATATATAGGTCTGGGAAATGTTTAAGGCATACTGTGTCGCTATAAAATGAATTGCACTACTATTTTCACAATTTTATTGATATTTGGTGTCAAATACACATATCTTGTTATATTTGAAGTCCCAAAACGGCTTAGTTTCAGAAATATCCCAATTTTAAATTCAAAAATGACCGTTAGCTCCGCACCCTCCGCTCATTTGCGCCGCACCCAATATTTCCCACAGGCTCTGTCTGCATAGGGTGATACAGTAAAACCTGATTAATGCGAGCACACATAATGCATTTTTTAATTGCATAAATCTCTTTTTTCAACAGAGCTGAAGGAGTTATGACAAAAGATCTGACTAACTGGACCAAGTTGCCAGGACAGGCATGTAAAGTTCCCAATAGCCTTGCTTTGAGTCTCCCTGCAGGGAAACGTGGCTGCTTTGTTCTCAAGTTCTCACATGATGGAAAGTAAGTCTTACGTTACTCTTATGAAGACCCAGGATTGCCCTGCACTCAGGGCTTGAGCTAAGCGTCAGTCCGATGGATATGACCACCAGATTCACATAACAGACTGGCTGAATTTAGAAACTGCCAGTGAATTTTACCGATGCAGTGATCTCTCCGGGATCTTCTTTAAAACGTTCAGTTCAGCAATTATCAGATCTAGCTATATCCAGTCTGTATATGTAGTCATTGAAAAAATCTTACATTCATCTCACATTTAAATTTCCACACACATTTTTTCACTTCCTCTTAACAGAGGATTAAAAATGTTATGCAAAAACACATTGACTGTAGATGAGCAATACTGTAATAAAGTATTAAATCCTGGTGGTTTATTTTCCAAATTTGATTAACAGTGTAAATTCCGAAAATAAAGTAATACAAATGTCATTGTTTTTTTCTTTGTTCTAGGAGTTTGGCATGTGGCTGCCACGATAAAGAAGGATATCCTATACTTGTATATGAGGTAAATTACATAGAGAAATTGTGCCATAACTTTTATCATTCAAACATGCTCACAAAATTGGCCTTTACCTGGCATTTGCTGATAAATATACTCGTTCAAATTATATGTTATTGAAAAAGCGAATCACAGGGTTGAATGTGGTAATAGGTTCAGACTTCAGACTGCCAACAATTTAAAATGACAATGATGCAAAAAGTTTTATTGAAATACTATACACAAGAAGTGTTTTCTAAAATATCATCGCTGCTATATCCAAACCTCTAGTCATAATCAATTATCATGGGTCCAGTCAGTAATGTATTTGATTTAAAGAATAAAGTTATATTTCTTAGTATGAAATTACTTTCCTAGGTTACTATGTTCCTAGGTCATTATGGTATTGTGTATGATTTGTTTCTAGATCCCCAGTGGAACCCTGAAAGGGACATTCCAAGGCCATTATGGTATTGTGTATGATTTGTGTTGGTCAAAGAAAGACAAGTATCTCCTGTCTTGCTCCTCAGATGGCACTGCAAGGTAAAAAAAATATTACAATTCTTGAACTTGCAATATTGTTATTATGTAACCACCAAAAGTGGTGACATATTGTTAAGGTCTCTAACTATTTGTGACAGCGGTTAGCATCTGGGGTCGGCATTTGGCATTTTGATTACTAAATTTAAAAAATGATTTATATCACCACCATAAATGATTCAGCGTTTAGTGTTCAGTGTGTGTAACAAATGGTAGGTAGTGACATTTTGCATGCCTTGTTTATTTCATTATCCAGCAACAATATGTAAAAATATAATATGGGGGGGGACTAGCACCAAGGAAATATGCTAATAGAATAGAAAGAATGACTAACATGTATTAAATAGAATGAAAAAATATTTATTTGTCTATGTAGAGTATGGGACATGTTGGAGGGTAAGAGTGAGGCGGCCAAGTTGTTTCCTCATCCCGGGTTTGTCTACACTGCCCAGTTCCATCCCAGGGTCTCTACTATTGTTGCCACTGGGGGCTATGATAGAATCATTCGTGTATGGGACATCAAGACAGATGGTTTAAATCCTAAGGTAACTACATTTCTGGTCATTTCTAGAATACTCGTCTTTGATTTCGTTTTTGATTTAAGTGCAGAGATGACCACAAACTTCATGAAAATCAATTGCATCATCTCTTTAAAGAATGTGGGGGTTTCCATTTGAAGTTTTGAGAATTGTCTTAAAAAACGCTTGGACCTTCGAAGAAATATGAAAAATTAGGTAAAATTGGCATTACTTGACCAACCTGAGAATGTGCCAAAAATGAAGATTGACTCAAAGAAAAATACCTGATTTCATGTATTTCATCAGTCAATTTCTAATGTTTATTTTTGTTGTTTAATTAATATTGATTCATTTAGGGTAACAAATAGATGTCCAAATAGTGTCAAGATTACAGGCCTAGTAATTGATTTATACTTTTACAATACTTCGGACATTTTACTTGAATAATCCCAAGTTCAAAGTATATTTTTCTATTCTATGTTATTATATGTTTAGCTTTTACAAGAGTTGGAGGGTCACAGAGGTCACATCAACTCTCTATGCTTTGAGGAGGAGGGCTCAAAAATGTACAGTGGTGACAGTGTAGGGACAATTCTGGTGTGGAATGTATATGTCACAGATCAGCCGTCTAAGAGAGGTAAGTACATGTACTTTAAGTATGGTCACTTATTTTAAGACAGGTTTTGTAACAGATCTCTATTTGCTGATAATTGGTCTAGGATTATATGCAAAATTTTCTGATATCAATAAGTGCTAGTGAGAAAGGTATATTGTAATCAATGGTGGCTGTAACTGTATATTGAAAACCTAAGTGAACTTGGAAATGTGTCAACAATATTCTATGGAGATATCACAGAATATTACAGACAAATAAGAATTTTAGGTGAGAACTAGTTGAACACCTTAAATCAAGGTTTTTAGCACTGCTCTCAAGACTAAGCACAAATCGTGTGTATCACATACCCGATACCCAGCAAAGCATTTCAATGAGATGAGATTCAATAGAAAAGTAGCTAGGCAAGCTATACAGGCTCGTATAGCCAGCTTTCTTTTTAATCGCCATGTCATTGTTATTTAATCTCTAAGGAAACCTCTGCGTGAGTAGAATTATAAATGAAATGTGGCAATTACGTAAATCATAATTTAAGAGAAATATCAGAAATGATGAAACCTGATCAATTCCACATGAGCCATGATTTTTCAATTAATTATCTAGTATTATCATGTCATGCTACTGTATGTATTCATATTTCTTAATAAATCTAAGATTAGCCTCTTTTTGTGAAAAAGCTACAGGTTTATAAAAATTCTTACCAGATTTTTATTTTATTTGTATGCCGTAAGTTATTTTGGAATTCATTTATTGGCATGTAAATTGGTTAATGAAAAAATGGTTATGTAATTATGAGGAATAGAAAGTGTAAAATCTGATAAGAATTTTTTTTGGTCACCTCACAATTCAAAGGATGAGTCTGGGAATGAGTCTGGGTATCAACTTAGAAAATATTGAAAATTGTAATGTCTGAAAAACCAACTCAATCCCACATATTATTTAACTTCAATATCTTATCCTTCTTATAAGATTACAAAAATATCAATTTGTATCACAATTGATGAAGAATATTGGGATCAAAGACAGTGCATATCACTTTGTCAGAATTGAAAAAAATCAATGGCAAATATTAAATGAATTATTTATACAAAAAGTGTGAAACATATCCTCCAAAACATTGCTTACTTTCTTTGTATAGACATTGAATGGTATTTCTGGATAAGTGAATTGGTGTTTATCTGGGTAATCAAGGGATAATAGTCACTCAAAGGTACTGAGCATCCAGTTTTGACACTTCAATTGTGATGGTGAAGTTACACATATTTCAGTCAAATTCATGCTGAGCACAACATTTTGGTTTCAATTTTATAATCTCTATACATGAACCTGGTGATGAAGAGTCAGAATCAGTCAAAAAACCTAAACCGGAAAACTGTGCTCAATGTGAAAACTAAAAGTGAAGCAACTTTTTTTCTGATATTTTTCTTACATCAAATGGCAGCCATCTTGTTTTTCCCCCTTCAAATTAAACTGGCGGGAAATTCCAAAATTTGAAAAAAATTTTAATCCTTAAATATATTTCAAAAATATGATTTTCTTTTTAATTCTTCATGGATCTTAAGTTATTTCTTCTTTGTATGTCATACATGTTGCCATTGGTGTTTTTTTCTATGATAATGACCCTTTTTTTATTTGTTAAGATACTTATTCTAAATTATGAATCAAAACTCATGAAAAAGTAAATATACTTATCGAATATAACTAGGACAGTAATAAAAAACATATTTCACATACATTTGACTGAGGGACCAAAAGGGCATATATCCAGACACATCCTTTCTGAAAAAGGAATTCAGATATCTGGTGAGATATAAGGAATTTTTAAAAAATAGGCATGGTATGGATTGAGGACAAAAAATTGATATACATTTGTATTTAAATTGTTTTCGAAACTACCTTTGTAATCTTCACTTGTATTGTTTCTTCTTTTAGTACTGACTTAAGAAAAGCGGCTTTTGTAATGGATATTTGTAATTGAATTGAACGTCATGTTAAATGCTCTAATTTGTAATAGGAAACTGAAAACACATAACACAAACTAATATGTGCAATAATGTCAGAAGTAATTGAATTGTAACGAGAATCAAGCCTAAGATAAATAGATAAATGTTTAGCATATCCATCTACATCAGTTTTTAATAATTTTCTTAACTAAAATTAATAATAAATTTCTTAATAATTTTCTTAAGAAATATGAATTGAAAAAATGAATTGTGGGGTTCCTTCTAGAACGGTATGAGTTTGCCATTTCTCTATGTAATCCACTTTATATAAGGAAGAACTATGGTAAATGTTACCTATCAATGCCAAGCTAACCTAAGCTTGGAGGAAATAAAGAATGTCACTCGACTTTTTGGTGATTTTGAAGTCATGTCTGCACTTCACAGTTCAAAATCAACTTCTGCAGTAATTTGACAACACCTTCCAATTTGCTTCACTGATCTTTATTGTTTCTCATACATATTCTCTCAAAATCAGGAAATTTTAGAATGAGCAGGGACATTTTGTAGAGAATTTCAGTCACAGAAAATACAGAGTGACAACTTTCATTTCCTCCGAGTGTAAATTCATGAACTAATGACATAGATCCAATCGATTGAAACAAGAGGTCAAGGTCATTTTCAGCAATTGTAATAGTGAAAGATCATCAGTTTGTTGCACAATATGTAATAATCATTACAATACAATTGTACAATACATCTATATATGGATATTCAAACAATCCTAGTTACATGTACATATTTTGCCCTGGTGACTAGATTTTTTTTCAGTATTTGTGTTCAAATACTATTATGTTCATATTATGACTTGCAGCATCTATAAACCTTATAGTCAATGTCATACTAAAGACAGTTCAAACACATATCTTAGTTGAGTTTAACATGTTCAAAAGGTCCTCTGTTGTTACGGGGAGCAGGCATGTGCAGGCAACACAAGAGATCATGTCAGCAATAAGATAGCAAGAGAACCATTCATCTATATAACTTAATTTTTATAAATGCAAAAGGAGATGAGAGATGTGATCTGATTTTGTTTTGGGTATGATGGCACGAGGCAACCATTTTGCTCTTCAAGTGTGACATTTACCACTATTGTGTCTTCATCTGTGTATCTTGTTGGATCATAGAATAGTACCCCGCAAAATTATGGGATAACACAAACCTAAATGTGTATTTGAGACATTTCTACAGTGGTTGTAGTGTCATTGAGACCTAATACCCAGCATGTATGGCCACAGTAACAATCTCTTAGTTTTTTATTAAGTTTTTCAACTTTCAAGAAGCTGATGAATGGGTATATATTGTAAGCAATAAGTAACAAAGTGGCATGGATCCAGTTAACCTCTTCTGGTATCTCGGTATAGGAAACAAATTTTTTGTACAATGGGCGACTCCACACCAAGATACTAAATGAGCAAAAAATAAGAAGAAATGTCACCAACAGTATCAGACTATTGACCATGATTCTTTTATACTCATTTTTCAATTTTAAACTAGCATCACTCGTTGCATTAGCTCGATTTCTTTTGTTTTCTACTATGTATTTCTTTGCCCTATTACATGTTGTTACCTCGCTCAAAGGTGGCGTGATGAACACCTCATAGTTGCTGTTAAAACTAACCTCCCCTTGTGAGATATTACTTACTGGATTAATTGATGTATTCTTCTTACACAATACATATATCATCTTCCCATAGATACTGAGCATTATAAGAGAGTTTATACCAACTGCAGGCCATTGTATTCTCAGAGGACTTTTAGGAATGAACATTACCAGTATAGTAATACATCCACTTAAAGCCCAAGGGAGAAATGATATACACCAAAGCATCCTTTTGGGTATGCGCATATAGGGATTTGAAAGTCTTTTCAGTCGAGTCATCCCGATAATGCATAGCAGAGTAAGAATCGTCACATCGACTTCTACCTTGCCAAGTAATATAGATAATTGATGTTGTTTACAACTGACCAATGTTGAGATGGTCATCATCCTCATCATTGCAACCATATTCGCTATTGTTAAATTAATATGGAATATGTTGTCACGGGTATGTATGCTCTTGACTTTGTATACACAGTATAGCCAGTTTGTGTTCACATACAATCCAAGAGAACCAAACACTAATATATAGATGAACCCATATTTCATCTGAAACGATCGTTGCATCATCCCATCTAGTGTCCCATTTAATGTTTCATTCAGCCCTAGATTGCTGGCATTTTGTAATACATTATCTCTGAAAAAAGAAGTGTTATTTCTATCCATCGTAAAATTTGTGAATTCACTAACATCGTCAACACTGCTATTGGTTTTCAGTTCCTCAACATTGCCACTCATTTCTCTACTTTTTCTTCTCCACTTACAATACTATGTTAGATATATTTCGTTAGACTCTGCTTATTTTCAATAAGAGATTAATATACATTCTGCAAGGCAGTTCACAATTGTATTGTTATTTGATTATTGTGTTATAAGTGATGAAAACACGGAATGATATCCTATTATATATCACACAAGAGCATGTTTAAAACGAATATGATCTGATGTCAACTACGTCACGGTTAATTTATATGTTTCTATGTCTAGACCTCATATAGATTTTATAAGTGTCATTAGTATCATCATGGGCATGGTATCATTATTCTTTGAAATAGTCCACTCATCCATCTGTCTGTTCATCAATTTAACAACCATTTTCAAACATTTGAAAACTGCCCATTGTCTGACCTAATGCTCATCTATTGTAGATGTCTCTTTATGAATGCAAATTAATGGTTTATTAAAGATATATTACAAATTTTATATTGTGACATCTTTCATATTTTGTTTGAGATTTCCTTATCAATATTGAGTAATGGGTTGTCATTCTTTATTTAAAATGTAGCATGATATATTTATTTATTTTATATTTGAGTTAATTAATGTATTGCTGAACAGTTCAGCAGCCACAACCACACCTCCTTACCATTTTGTATGATATATCATACTTAATATTGTGAAGAATTATTTATTGGTATTTCTAATTCAGAAATAAGATTGATTTTAATACAGGGTGTTCCAGAAAATTGTATTGAGACAAACATGGAATTGCACCGTGAATGATAAATTTATTTCTTTTAAATATTTTTAACATTGGGCATACAGTTTAATTATCATAAATGTCTAAAAGTTTAATCAGGTAACTCTGTTGTTTTATTACCACCACCCCTTGTGAACATTTTACAGAGACAAACATTATCTGACTGACAATTAAATTATCATAAACATTTGAAGGTTTCATAACTCCATTTACTTTTAGAGAAAAGCTTGTTTTAGCACCATTGCCTATTTTTCAATGTTTGGAATTGCATTCATCTCTGCATGATAATCATGGTGGAGGTCATCTAGAGCATGTCATGTAAAATGTAAAATTTAATGGTAACTAATTTACAAAGGACTAGTCTCGGTTTGGAGAACAGTCTACTGGGCTAATTGTTTTTTTTCATGAAAAATATAGAAATAACACCCAAATTAAATTATGAATATTCAAGAGAGGACATTTAAATCTACATTCTGTAAAAATATCAAAATTGTCCAAAGAATATAGAAATAACACCCAAATTAAATTATGGATATTCAAAAGAGGACATTTAAATCTACAATATGTAAAATTATGAAAACTGTCCAAACCAGGCGTAACGTGGAGTAGACAAATTCAATAAAAGACAATTCTCGATTTAGTGGACAAAATTCATCAGTCTACTGCGCTAATAATTTTTTTATAAAAAATATAGAAATAACAAAAGAGGACATTTAAATCTACAATATGTAAAAATATCAAAATTGTCCAAAGCAGGCGTAACGTGCAGTAGACTGATGAACTTCATTCTCCAAACCGAGACTAGTCTGTGAATTTTTAACTGCTCAGTGGAAAGAAAAGAAAAAAAGAATTTTCTTTATCAAGTGAAAAGTTCACATTTCTCTCGATGACGGAAAGGAATTATTTCCATTTCATTTGAGAACAATATTTGGAACATGTTTGAACATTGTATGAGTATAGCATCTGCTGTATGAATCTTGTAATTTTAGAGTTGTATAGTATGTCATTAATATAAATCTAGTAATTATACAGAGTACCTGCAAGTCGCTGACTTTGAAATTCTTCAAAACAACCTTCAATTATCTTAATTATCACATCACCAGTATGAGATGACATATTGTTATAGCCAACATTTTGTGACTCTGGAGTAATCTGAGTAGGCATTAGCATCAGTTACATATCATTACACTTATTTTATGCCTTTTAATTTTTGTTATTCAAAATCTATTTTGTTAAGAATATTCCCCTCTAATTTTATTTTTTCCAGAGGTTAGTGCATACAAGAAATGGTCTATCCTGAAATTTGGTTTATGCACTGGTGTAAAAGAGTTTATACATATTTTTTTGTTATTTATTATCTACAGACATTTTGACATTGCTTTCAAATATCTGGGATTAAACTTTTTGGTGAGCTTCAAAGTCTAAAGAAATGGTTGTACATGTATAAGAACACAACAATAAATAATGTTTCAATGCTTATTTTAGGAGTCACACGTGATTGGACGATGTATAAGGAGATCAGCGATGAGGAGCTCGCTGGCACCATCATTAACTATATCCAGATGCATCATGGGGGCAGACGTCTCTTGGTACACTCTCGGGATAACACGATTCGTATGATAGACCTTAGAGTGTAAGTTAAAGTTTCGCAGGACTTAGCTACATACAAGCAATACCCAAATGGATATGGTACAGTAAACATGACTTGTCTTAATGCCACTCGGCCCTACCAAAACTGTCTGGATTAGGAGGTGTTCACATTTCAAGGTTTTTTCAGTATGTTAGTTTATGGGAGGAAACTTTGGGACCAAGAAAAAGTGAGGTTTGTTTGAAATAAACAGGTGTTGAGATATATACAGGGTGGGCCAGTACATATATATTACTCCCAACATAATTTGGAAAGTAATGCATCACTCCTGCTGTATGGCATGCTGTTAATTGCATATTTCTTTTGATACAGATTCTCGATCATGCAGAGATACTTTGGTGCCTTAAATTTCCGTGAGCAAGTTCGTTCAACAATCACCCCATGTGGTACCTTTGTAATGAGTGGTAGTGAGGACTTCACAGCCTGTGTGTGGAATGCAGAGACAGGTGAGTGTTAATGCTTTGTTATCCCATGGAATGAAAAATGCATCTTGTCTCTTTTAGTCAGCTTTTAGAGTAGTCCATTTGCTAAATTAAAAAATCTCAATAATGTTTGTACAATTTGCAAACATGAATGAATTTGAGAGATTACAAATATTAAAATGATTTTCAAATGCTTTTGCTAAGTTTTCTTAAGTTCAAAATAGCCACTCAAATGAGTTAATTTTCTATCTGTACAAAGAAGTATTTCAGCATGGATCATAAGTGTTATATCATTCTTTGTATAAGTCTTAGAAATCAGAATGACCATCATAATGGAAAAATGGCTAAAGGAGTTGAGAGATGAATTTTTGGATCTTTCCAAAGTATCATTGTGTGTTGTGTGCAAAATAAAGGTAATTGAGGAATATAGACCAAATAATAGGGTAGATAGTGGTAAAATACTCCAGTGACCGCTCCACATAGACTTCTGTGTGTACTTCAAAAGAGGAAATGAGGTATTTCAGTAACTCGTTTGCAAACTCAGTGAGTTATATTCACCTACATAATCCTCTCCTGGTTTTATTTTATGATTATAACACCATGGCTGAATAATGGAAATGAACAAAAATGATGAAATTGAACATGAAGCAATTTTCATGACTTCCAGTGACAAGACATAAATTCAGTTAAGTTACAATGGGGGTTTTCTACATTTTACCCCACAGATTCTCTATGCATTTTGATGAAAAGTTTAAATTTAATACATTTTTTACTATACAAACTTTTAATATTACAAATGAGGAGATTGTAAAGGTATCATGTTTTACATTGTCTTATGTATTTCCTGTACAAAATATTCAGACAAGGAATTGTTTGAATTGCAAACCCCATAAAGATTTGAAAACTATTTTGAACAATGTATAGTAAAAACTGTTACCGGACATCTCATCCCCTAGACAACTCATCCCTGTACAACTCATCTAGGGTATGAGTTATCAGTAAGCCGTAAAAACTGTGTATTGTACCAAGAAAAAATACACTACTGAGAGATTACTAAAAAATAAATTCATTAGGAAGGTAATTTGAATTATGATTTACATTATATCATTGTAGCACTAACAAAACTGAGTCTCTGTTAATTCTGAGACAAGGAGACAATAACTGTTAATAGATATAAGTGTTGATACTACCTTTATGAAAATTACGACTTTGTAAGTTATATTGGATATTTTGTTTTCGAATTTCAGGACAGATAGATAATTGAATGATGCATCCATACCTGCCAACCTACCGTATTTTTACGGGAATCTACCGTAAATTTTTCGTTTTTCCGTAAAAAAATGACAAACTACCGTCAAAAAATACAATTTTTTTCCCGTAAAAACGCCCGTAAAAAAATCTACCGTATTTTTTTCGTAATCTACCGTAAATTTTCTTTTTAAAAAACTCGTTTATTCCATGAGAGCGGCCGTAAAATCTACCGTAAATTTTTGAAAATCTACCGTAAATTTTCGAAAATCTACCGTATTTCTGCTAAAATCAACATTATTTTTGTTCAAACTACCGTAAAATTTCCCGTTATTGTTGGGAAATGCTGAAAAATTGAAGTCTCCCTGTACTGTCCCTGTAATACTCCTTCAACAACCCGAATATAAATAGGTATCGGCAGGTCTGTGGTTATCAGGTTATTGCGCATTTATCTAAGTAAGCTTGCGTGTAATCAGTCCAAACACCAACTACCACTAGCTAGAAAGAATTATTTCTGCCATGATTTTTGTAGTTAACCAAACCCTTTTGTACACAGATCTTTATTCCGAATGCAACAAAAATATGATTTTAGTTGCGCTTCATCTAAATAAATGAGTGGAAATGCGTATGCAGATTTAGCGTATGAAATATGCGTAGTTTGATTTGTTATGATCAGTAATGAACGCCACATATACATTATACATAGTTTAATCAATTTGTTTACAGTACGATGAAATGTTGTATTTTTTATCAGAACACATTATCAGAAACAAATACATAATTAAAAAATAAAGCATCGAGTTCTGGTTTATTATAAAAGTATTGTGATATCCGAATCTGAACGATGTCTCAGGGGAAAGGTTTCAGCAAATGCTCATAACAGATTATTTTTGAAAGACAATTTACCATATGATTCCAATGTTATATGAACATTATGTCTGTCATTTCAAATCGTTAAAGTGATAGATCATCTTAGATGGTGAGTAAAAACGTGTAAAATCCATATTTTGTAATTCAGTAAATGTTTCATTCATGGTATTTCCAAACATCCTGATATCTAAAAAACTGGTTAAAAGGTGAATAAAAGTGGAGATATGAAAATTGTGTTCGTATTTTGAATCAATCTAGATTTATTGTAAAAGAGTTGTATATGTACATTTTGCTGAAACATTAAAATCCAAAGTTGCTGTCAGTCCATTGTAGGCATGGTAAATGAAGAATAAAACGTGTTTAGTCTCTATTTATTCTTGAAAATAGTATATCTATTTTTTCTTGAAAATAATAGTTTCGTATAATTCCCAGGTGGTAGTTCTGATTTAACAACAAAATGACCACGTAAACATTGTATTAATATAGAAAACCACATTGTTTAAAGGTTTAACTACCGCATTTTTTCAAAATCTACCGTAAAACTACCGCATTTTTTCAAAATCTTCCGCAAAAGTACCGTTTTTCAAAAAATTACCGTAAAAACTACCGCAATTTTCAAACTCTACCGTAAAACTACCGCATTTTTTCAAAATTTTCCGCAAAACTACCGGTTTTTCAAAAAACTACCGTAAAAACTACCGCATTTTTTCAAAATCTACCGTAAAACTACCGCATTTTTTCAGAATCTTTCGCAAAACTACCGGTTTTTCAAAAAACTACCGTAAAAACTACTGCATTTTTTTAAATCTACCGTAAAACTACCGTATTTTTCTAAATCTTCCGCAAAACTACCGCTTTTTTCAAATTTCTACCGCAAAATTACACTTTTTTCAAAAATCTACCCCAAACCTCTGAAACTACAGTATTTTTTTAAAATCTACCGCAAAAACTACCGTATTTTTTTTAATCTACCGCAAAAACTACCGTTTTTTAAAAAATTTACCGCAAAAACTACCGTTTTTTTCTAAAATCTACCGCAAAAACTACCGCAATTTTGTTGAAAAATACCGCAAAAACTACCGTATTTTGAAAAAATCTACCGCAAAAATACAGCAATTTAAAAAAAATCTACCGCAATTTTTTGGTCTTAGGTTGGCAGGTATGGCATCTTTGGTGAAAAGATCAGAGATTGGTTTACATTACTTGTTGATCACCCCTCGTACATGGCTTCTTTTGTAGAGTTAATTAATTTGCAGTTACATCATTCAACAATCAGGTGTAAATTACCAGAAGATTGTCATCTAAGGCTGAAGTTTCATGATTGTCATCATTTGCAATGCTATTGTCTCTAAAGAAGCATTTGGTGAATGTGATATCTCTAGGGGCTCTCGTAGACAGATTGGCAAGATTGTTGCTCATGATTGTCAATTTTTACTTGTAGGGGAATGAAAAGTTTGGGGAGTGGAAATTTTTTATGGAACTTCAGGCCTTTTAGATTGGTATGGTGTTGCCTTCTTCGTAATATTACCCAACCAATATAGACACTCTGATTATCGTTCTATTTGCTCATATTTTGTGGAAAGATTTATTTTATTTTATAACAAAATTTCTTTGTCGTAGACAATATGTCTACTTTCAGATCTTTTGAAGTGTATACCTTCTTATGTTGCTCATTATTAGTAAAGGAATATCTATCACATGAAAGAAACTGATAAAGTATGTGTAACAATTCAAAGGAAGTTTAAACAGGAACAGTCATGTTTGAATATCAAGCTTGTTATGCACCAAAGATATTTGTTCAAATTAAAATAATTCCATAGCCAGTTTAAATTAAAATGTGAAAATTAAGTGCAAGCTTTTCAAACTTGATGTCTAAGTGTGGCAGTTGCATATCTCAAATATAGAAGATTGGATCACTGTACTAAAAATGTCAAATTGGCAAATAATTTGAATCAACTCTCGAAAAAGCTTCCAGTTTAGTTGCACACAGTAGGTCACTTTGAAACACCGCACCACACCAAACAGCCATTTTCAGATAACTAATTCATGAACAAATTGATTGAAATGTTACCCCTCATAGATCACATTTACATCATATACAGTTAAACCGTAGTGAACACCTCTCTCTAACGAACCTCTGTGGTGAAAACCTAGCAACAGTGAACATATTTTACAGCTCAAGTTCACTGTTTGCATGTTATACTGTATTAAAATAATATATGTTGTTGCTAGAAAAAAGCATACGGATGATTTATCACTAGATTTGTTTTAACAAGAGGTGATGGGAGAGGGAGGGTATCAAACATAGCCTGTCATAATTGTGCTATTAATTAATGCCCATATTATTATAATATTGATGAAGTTGTTAACACCTCTCTTTGGATGAAAAATGGGATTTCAGTAAGCTAGGCTGTTTATAAATTCCAGTCAAGAAAATATTTGGGTTAGGTACTACTCCTTTAAATACTGGGTGGGCCAAAAAACATCCATATCATTATTTTATTTGGCGATAACTTGTATACTGCATGGATTTTATATTTTTCCTGGAAATGTATGGTAGGGTGTTCACTATATTCTGAAATTATTTCCACATAAAAATTGAATGTGAAGTATCATAAGATAAATAATTAACATGAAGTGAATTCATCATCAAAAAATGAACATTTAATTTCTCAATAATTTTGCCTACGCGTACTGTTTTTTTCTTGATATATTTAACCAGTCCATCTAATCTTCCTTATCAGTCTCATTGGCCTTTCAATGCTTCAACATTTATCAGAAATTTACAACACAAAAATGTAAGCACCATGCATAAAGTGTCTCTCTGATAGACCATTAAGATCTTGTTACATCTGTTTCCAAATATTACTAAAAGCACTTGAAATTTTAACCTCACATATTACCCTTGAAATTGGGAGTTTCGATTTACACCCCTTTTGACTGTCAACCATACTTGAACAAATACAGTAAAAACCTGTATAAGTGGAATACCTTTTTTCCCTACAGAGGTTCATTTAAAATTAAGTCAGTTGGTCTTGGGACTCTGAAAAGTGTTCCACTAACAGAGTTGTTCTACTTTACAGGTTTCACTATATCACTATAGATAATTAGATATAGTTATTCCCTGAAATCCATGCATTATATAAAAAAGATTGAAAATATGGACATTTTTTTAGCACACTCTGTAGATGGTGGCTAAGTACCATATCATTAACATAGTGAAACTTAACATTAATTCTAGGGGCTCAAAGAATGTCTGGCGTATATCATCATTAACATTCTTTCACTTCTAGGTTAAGATAAAAAATGTAAAAAACTAAGGCAACACTTTCAAGGCTGAAGTAAAAGTATAGGTAATTGTTTATGGTTCTACGTCTTCCATTTTATGTTTTCAAACTATGTTTTTAAAGTTTAAACCACCTTAGCTTATATTGTAGTCTACCCAATGTTATCAAATTGTGATATATGATTTTTTTTTTAATTTTGAAAATTGGTTTTTGAAGAACTTTTTGTTGTTGAACTTTTTAATTAGTTTTTAAGCATGCTGTATTTTTTAGTCATGTGTAGGACATGGACCAATCAGAGAGTGAGGAATATGACAGTGATATAATATGAGGTTATATAATGGTTGATTCCGTATATCGTCTTTATACTCAAGTGAGTATATGATATATTCACGAGTGACTGAAGGGAACGAGTGAATATATCATATACTCACGAGAGTATAACGATATACAGAATCAACCATTATATGATCTTATTATCCCACCCTAAGCATTAATCAATAAAAGTTAAATCTAAATTCAGCAGTTGTATATCAAGTCGAAGAGTTGTATACGCTGCCCAGGAGTTGTATACGCTATCCAGGAGTTGTATATCGTTCTCAAGAGTTGTATACGAGGAGTGTTGGTTTTATATTGCAGTTATACAATGCTATTATACAATCGTATAAAGCACTTATATATACCATATTTAAAATTATAATACAAGTATAAGTATATGATACAATGTTATTTTATTACATAACTAAAAATTGTATAAGTATTATTAGTATATGGTATAATATTATTATTTAACTGAAAATTATATTTAAATGCTAAATGATTACATGAGTACTTACCTACACCACTAATTATTATGATTTAACTAAGAAATTAAAGAAGTCCTGATATTTCGAGGGTTCACATGTAAATGTTTTGTATTAAAGGTGTATTCCTTGCCAGACCATATCTCTCCTAATATGGTAAAAATATAATCGCTTAAAAATATAGTGTTCAATTCCAGTAGGCTGTCATATTTTAAGATGTCACTCAGGAAGTGATGTCATTGACTCTCAAATTTGCATATAGCATTAGTAAGGAGCTATTTAGAATAACAAAACCTGTTGAATAACCTTTTTCAATTTTGTCCATGATTTAATCCTTTTAAAAGTCCCATCTTTTATTCTAAGCTGACAAGCTTTGGAAACATTTTTGTTCATAAAGTAAGGGCCACTTGTCTCGAAGTGATTTTGTGCTAAATTCCTATACTGTTGTAGGCAAGGTTATGAAAGTTGAGAGTCGATTACATCACTTCCTGAGTGAAATCAGCTGGCAGCTTAAAAGCACAACATTTCTAAATGATCAATATTGACTATATTAAAAAATTTGCGTGTGTTTTGCTAGATGTATATATATGATTATAGCTATCATATCTGGATAGAAATTATCTGGCCAGGAATGTCCCTTTAACATTTATAGCTTCAAATATTTCTTTGCCTCTTCTTTAAGTGTGATTCTGTCAATCTTTCCATTTGATGTAAGTGGGAACTTATCCAAGATCATGTAATACCTTGGAGCATTACTTATACCATCAGCAGTAATGTCTCCAAATATAGAGGCACACCATTGCTTCATGTTATCTCTCGTGAGTGCCTTGCCATTGTGCGGTATGATGCATGCACATACTTCTTCATATAGACGAGGATCGGGCACCCCAACCACCTGCACTTGCTGAACATCTGGGTGTTTCCTTATCTCTTCCTCTATTGAAGAGGGTTGAACAATTACAGTACCACGCTTGATGAACTCATTCTTTCGACCAGCTATCGTGATATACCCATAGGGTGTTATTGTACCAATATCACCTGTATGGTACGATCCATCACTGCCAATCACCTTATTTGTTCTGGCTTCATTGTTAAGGTATCTTGAGAAGATGGGAAGACCACGAACACATATTTCACCAAGAGTGTTCACAGGGGGAATCGAACCATCTTCTAACTGAATGCAAATCTCCACATGTGGTAAAGGGTACCCTACAGTTTGATGCTGCTTGGTGAAGTTTCCTTTAGGAAACAGACATGATATGACTGCACTCATTTCCGTAGCTCCATATAGTACAATTACATTTGTTCCTGTTTTGCTTTTGAATTCTTCAACCATCTGTGGGTCAATCCTTTGGCCTCCCGTTGGAACAGTTTTCAATGTTGAAAGTCTATACTTGGAGTATATGTCATCATCTAATTGAAGTACATCACGCATCATGTATGGTAACATGACAGCCAAAGCTAGTTTTTCATCCTGTATTATCCTCAGGATCTTCTCGACTTCACCAGCTGCATAATTTGCATTTACTGTTACTGTTGTTACCTTATGGATTAGTGTAGCCAGCAAGTTAGCTAAACCTCCAACCCATGACATTGGGCGATCATTGAAACACCGATCACCTTCAACCAATCCAACCCGTAAGCCTGCATAAATTTGAACTTGTGCTGCTCTTTGTGGCAAAATGCAATATTTTGGCTTTCCAGTACTTCCAGATGTAAGGAGGACGCAGAGTGGAGATTCAGATGTCACACCTTTGGTATAATCTGCAATTTGGAGCTTATCTTCTTCAGACTTTCTTCCCATCAGAGATTTGTAATTAATAGCACCTTTGGGTACTTCATCATTTGTAACAACTATCACATGTCTCAATGATGGTATCTCATCATCAATTTCCCCTCTTAGAACTTTGGCAAACACTTTCAAGACAATGTCCTTTTTGGGGGCTTCATTGATGTCAACTATTATAGCTCTGATGTTACATTCCTTCACATGTCTCACCAGGTCTTCACCACTAACAAGGTTGAAGCTTAGAAAGACTGGAACAGCGGATAGATTAAGGGCAGCACCAAATGAACACACTAACTCACGGCAATTAGGTCCCATGATTCCCATAAAATCATTAGGACGCAATCCAAGCATAGACAAAGACACAGCAAGGTCTTGAGAAGATTCTGCCCAATCCTTGAATGTTAAGACATCACTTCGGTTTCCATCAGAACCAATGAACACGACAGCTTCCTTCTCATTATCTTTTTGCTCTCTCATGTAATCTAATAAAGTTCTGTTGTCTGGTTGGTGAGATGTTGCAGCCTTGATGTAGCTTTGAGACAATGGCTCCTTGATTGGTTGGAGAATTGAATCATGTGCTTCGACATATTCCATCTGTAAAGATATTTCAATATATTAGTCTAAAACCGTAATTTAATGTTCAAAGGAAGGCTGGGCCTTTAGGAAGTGCTAGAAATGACTACATAAGAGGATTGGTCATAAATTTCTCATAATATCCCTCTCATTTCTTTATTGTTCAATATTTTCTTATGAAATTTTCACATAATGTGCAGCATGGGATGTTTTATTAATCCAGCAAAAACTATTTAGAATAACAGAAACATTAGACAAGAATATTTCTGTTAAACTAAATTTCTTTTGCTGAATTAGTAAAACATGCTGCACATTATATGAAAATTTCATTAGAATAAAGAAACTAGAGAGATATGATGAGATTAAATTTATGATCAACCCTTGTATAGTGTAACATTACATGCAAGATAAATGTATTAAGGTGGTTGTTTAGCTGGAGGCTTTATGATAAAGTGAATATATTGTTGCATTAAAATATTAATTTTTGCACACAGAAAGGTTTAATAATTCAAGTTGATTTTAAGAAAATAAAAACCATAGTTTTTAAATTATTGCTCTTCAAAAATAATTTCTAAGTCTGCATTTGTCTACCAATGATTAGGTCACCTGAGGTTAAGGTAAGTGTTTATGGGTCAAGGTCATATCAAGACCAAAGGTCAATATCTAAGTATTTGGTGTTTTAAGGAGCTTGGGGATGCTGTGACTCTTGCCAACTCATGATAAGGTGACCTGAGGTCAAGGTCGTTCCTAGGTCAAAGGTGAATATCTAGGTATTTAGTTATATAAGTTCCTTGGGCCTCCTGTGACCCTTAGTGACCAATGATGAGATGACCTGAGGTCAAGGTCAATGTTTATAGGTCAAGGTCATCTCAAGGTCAAAGATCGATATCTAAGTATTTGGTGTTTTAAGGACCTTGGGGGCTGCTGTGATCCTTGGTGACCTATGATTAGGAGACTTGAGGTCAAAGGTCAATCTAGGTATTTGGCGTTTTGATATTCTGGCGGCTGGTGTGACCTTTGGCAACTCATGAGTAGGTGACCTGAGGTCAAGGTCAACATGATATTTCTCAAGGTCATGATTGCCTTCGGTCAATATACAGTTATTTAACATCTTATGGGGTTGCTGTGACCCTTGGTGTCCCATAAACGGATAGATTGCTAGTCCATTTAAAGTAAAAAACTGTGCTATCAAGAAATACATTGTGTCCTAAAGCTGAACACTCTTCAAATCATTGCTCCTATGCTGTTCTACCCAACTTTTGTCAGTGAACAACTACCTTAATGTACATGTGTGCCTAAATTGAATTGGAATTAAATTCAAAACTAACTGATGTATCAGACTGATTCTTTATCTAAAGCTCTGTATGTATTATTCTGCTTTTAATTTGGTTAATCATTCAGTACTTTAAAACAATTTGTACAAATTAAAAATGGCTTACCTTTATTCACTGAATATCTTTCTAGTACAGTTGCTATATAAATGATATGTAATTATCACAGAATTAAATATAACGTTGATGTATCACGCTGGTATCTTGTTGCAATAACTGCTTCTACTGTATAAAAACAAGTTAAATTCTTGTTATCCCACCAAACGAAGTTCAAGGGGGATATAGAGAAGTCATCTGTTTGTGCATTTGTCCGTGTGTGGGTTCGTCCATCCGTTCGTTTGTCCGGGCGATAACTCTAATACCACTTGACAGACTTTCAATACTCTAAACTAAAACCCCTTTGATCACTCCTTTGATCATTTGATTCAAATTAAGTAGACTTATGCCTTATGGGTATAGGACCTCTGCCTGATAGAGAATTCCATTTTTCATAAAATAGTGTAATCTTTGATAGCTCAAATACCAATAGACAGTTTTTTTGGATTTTTTTATGGAGATGCCTTGGGACAAAGAAGCTCTGCTTAAGAAGGAGTTTTCAAAATGGCAGCTGAATGTCAAAATGGCTGCCATTTTTCATTAAAAAAACAAATAAATCAAATACCCATGGATGGATTTGGCTTAATTTTTATACTGACACTTAGAGATAAGGGAGCATAGGCTCCAGAAGAAATGTTCAAGGCTAATATTTATCAAAATGCCTGGCATATGTCAGTAAAATGTAATTTTTGATAACCCAAATAGGCAAATACTAGTCGACGAATTTGGTTCAAATATTTGTTGTTACCTAGAGACAAAGGAGGTCTGCTCAAGAGGAAATTCTCAAGATGGCAGCTGAATTTTAAAAAATGGCCCCCATTTTTGGGAAAAAATCATAACCTTTGATAACTCAAATACCAGTAGACAGAATTTGGTCAATTTTTAAACCCAGATACCTTTGGACAAAGGAGCTCTGTTCAACGAGAAATGTTCAAGATGGCTGCTATTTATCAAAATATGTTTTGTTCGGTGGGGTTTGCTACTCCTTGGAGTTTTTGTTTTTTAGTTATTGATGGAGTATTGCGCATTCACATAAAGCATTTCTTTCAAAGGTTTTATAGTTAAGAGTTATGGGGTGACATATACGACAAACATAAATTTTTTTAAAGTTTTTTTATAGGTGAGAGGAACAAGCGTATTCCATTAACTAGTATTCTAGTTTGAACTTAAAACCTGCTCAAGTCAATCAAAGCTGACCTATTTTCTTGAATAGTGTTAATGTACTGAAAATGGTTCAATCTAAACCAGAGAGCTGTGTACTAGTGGGATTTAAAATTTCTTGAATAGTATATAAAATACTGATATTATGAAAAAGGTTTTCACAGTAAAAATAAGTTATTTTTTAACTTGCTTCAATTTGACTGAAAATTATCTACAGGTTGTCAGGAGTTCAAATCTGACATTAGTTTTAGGATTTGACGTTTACTTGACCTTCAGTGACCTTTGAAAAGTAAAAAAAATTGATTTTTGGATGTAAATTTTGGTCAGCTTAATCACCAAAGACCTTACTGAGCTCTGAATAAGTAAAATTTTCAAGGTCAAAGGTCATCAAACTAGGTCACACAACTGTGCTATCTAAGTTTCTCAAAGTTCGAGACTACAAATCCAAATCAATATTTTGGTTTGAAAGTCAGGATATACATTCCTCTGAAGGTTCCAAACTGTGTGAGCACAGGACCGTGGGTCCTTTTTTAGGAAGTATTTTAACATGACAAAAGACTTTGCAAGTGAACTAAGTTTCCTATTTGAGTCCTATAACAAGACCAAGGTACAATTTGCACACAATAGTGTGAATAGCAGTTTGGGTATCACTGCATGTATTTTTGTAATAAATATTGTAAATTGTGACAGTTTTATGTGTCCTGGGGTTGATGCACTAAAGGGCAAATAGTTACACAGAGTATGTACCCTGTATAGTAGTTTTACATAGTAGTTTTATTTGTAATTTTCATATGATTTAAACGTGACAGTTGAACTCACAAAGTACTGTACAACACTAGGGTTATGAAATATGAGCAAACATATGTTTTCGTCAGTCCAGAAAGGTGTAGTCTAGTTTCCAGAATAACTGGTGGAAATATTGTGAATAACTTGTGGAATTCTTAAAATTAGATGAAAATTTAAAAATGTCAGCAATGGTAAAAAACATTGTCTCAACCATCCCAGCCCGTTGCCAGGTATGGTCAGTATATACTGACAGGTATACTTTCAGTCTATACTGACAGGTATACTTTCAGTCTATACTGACAGGTCCACTTTTAGTCTAGTTTCAGTATACTTTCAGTGTGTTTCATATGTCCCATGTTAAAATTCCATTGACAGGTATGTTTCAATTATGGTAATTAGACTTACCCGTATACTTTCAGTATAAACCAATGGGTATACATTCAGTATACTTTCAGTATATACATACCAGTATGGTTTCAGTATAATTTCAGTATATACCAATGGGTATACATTCAGTATACTTTTAGTATATACATACCAGTATGGTTTCAGTATAATTTCAGTATATACCAGTGGGTATACATTCAGTATATACATATAGGTATACTTTCAGTATGGTATCAGTATATACACATATAGGTCAACATTTAGTCTATACTGACAGTCTTAACATGTCAGTCTGTAGACTGATATGGATGAAGATGACTCTACCAATGAGAATGATACCTTAAATTTTAAATCATTCTGCAGATGAGAAAAATTAGTACATGCAATTTGGATAGCAGTCTTATTTTCTAGCATTACATTATCTAATTAATTAGATGCAGGATTATGAAGACTTCTAAAAGACATACCACAAATAAATTAATATTCTTATATTAACTATATTCAAGTTTTATTCATGATGTATTTTTGATGCAAAGTTTTTTCAAATTTTAACTGTATTTCTTTTTTAAATTTTACTATGACTGTATCTTTCATATCTTTCTCTCATTTTTTGTGTTTTCAATGTATAAAACATTCAATGTAATTATGAGCAGGAATGCTCCCCTGCCACCTAGAGTCCATTTCACTGCTTCATTTCGTCAGTAGAACGGCAAAAATAAGAAATTGGGAGACAATTGTGCAATAATATATGGAAAAGTGTATTCATAATTTACATGAATGACATTTGTATATTTCAGATTTTTTAGTTTTTTGTGCAATAAGCCAGTGCCGTCTTGTAATTTGAAGAATTTCAGCCATGTTAATCTTATTGAAAATAACATGGCAGAGAAACATCGAAATATAAGAGGCCACACGCTTTATAAGCCAAACTAGAAGCAATCCAAGATATACAAATGTCATTCATGTACATTATGAATATACTTTTTCATATATTATTGCACAATGGTCTCCCAATTTCTTATTTTCGACGTTCTACTGACGAAATGAAGCAGTGAAATGGACTCTAGTCTGGTAGGACAGGTTGTAGAAACAAATGGTCATAAAATAGAACTTACATATGAATAATTGTTGACTTATAGTTTTATCATGAATTTTGCATTTGCCGTTTATATTATAAAATGATAAAGTAAAACTGGTATACGTTCAGTCTAATCATTATTTATCAGAGTTTATTATCCCATCGAACGAAGTTCGGAGGGATATAGGGAACGCCTCCGTCCGTCCGTCCGTCCGTACGTACGTCTGTACGTACGTCCGTCCGTCCGTCCGTCTGTCTGTCCGTCCGTCCGGGCAATAACTCAAATACCGTTGGCCCGATTTTGTTCATATTTTGTACACATATACCCTATGGGGGTAGAAGTTCTGCTCGAAAGCTGATTTTCAAAATGGCCGCTCATTTAAAAATGGCGGCCATTTTAGTGCCGATTTTACTGTAATTTAGGTGCAATATGTAAAACTGTAATAGCAATATGTTTTAAATGTAAAAAAATTATATAGGACATTGATAAAGCTAGAAATGAAATTATTAAAGAAGCACATGGCAGCCATCTTGAAAAATGGCGGCCTTTACTCGTTATTTTATGATTTTTGCTGTAACTCAAGAAGTAGTGGAGCGATTTTGTTCATATTTGGTATGTGAATACTATAAGCATGGCTCACTGTCTATTGACACTTTTGGTAGGAGGCGGCCATTTTGAAAAATGGCCACCATTTTGAAAAATGGCCGCCATTTTAACATATTTTTACTATAACTCAAAAAGTAGTGGAGCGATTTTGTTCATATTTGGTTTGTGAATACTATAAGCATGGCACACTGTCTAATAACACTTTTGGTAGAAGGGGGCCATTTTGAAAAATGGCCGCCATTTTAATGTATTTTACTTTAACTCGAAAAGTAGTGGAGCGATTTTGTTCATATTTGGTATGTGAATAATATAAGCATGGCACACTGTCTAATGACACTTTTGGTAGAAGGTGGCCATTTTGAAAAATGGCTGCCATTTTAACGTATTTTACTATAACTTGAAAAGTGGTGGAGCGATTTTGTTCATATTTGGTATGTGAATATTATAAGCATGGTACACTGTCTAATGACACTTTTGGTAGAAGGTGACCATTTTGAAAAATGGCCACCATTTAAACGTATTTTACTCGACCTTTACTTGTTATTTTACAATTTTTGCCGTTTATATTATAAAATGATAAAGTAAAACTGGTATACGTTCAGTCTAATCATTATTTATCAGAGTTTATTATCCCATCGAACGAAGTTCGGAGGGATATAGGGAACGCCTCCGTCCGTCCGTCCGTCCGTCCGTCCGTACGTACGTCTGTACGTACGTCCGTCCGTCCGTCCGTCTGTCTGTCCGTCCGTCCGTCCGAGCAATAACTCAAATACCGTTGGCCCGATTTTGTTCATATTTTGTACACATATACCCTATGGGGGTAGAAGTTCTGCTCGAAAGCTGATTTTCAAAATGGCCGCTCATTTAAAAATGGCGGCCATTTTAGTGCCGATTTTACTGTAATTTAGGTGCAATATGTAAAACTGTAATAGCAATATGTTTTAAATGTAAAAAAATTATATAGGACATTGATAAAGCTAGAAATGAAATTATTAAAGAAGCACATGGCAGCCATCTTGAAAAATGGCGGCCTTTACTCGTTATTTTATGATTTTTGCTGTAACTCAAGAAGTAGTGGAGCGATTTTGTTCATATTTGGTATGTGAATACTATAAGCATGGCTCACTGTCTATTGACACTTTTGGTAGGAGGCGGCCATTTTGAAAAATGGCCACCATTTTGAAAAATGGCCGCCATTTTAACATATTTTTACTATAACTCAAAAAGTAGTGGAGCGATTTTGTTCATATTTGGTTTGTGAATACTATAAGCATGGCACACTGTCTAATAACACTTTTGGTAGAAGGGGGCCATTTTGAAAAATGGCCGCCATTTTAATGTATTTTACTTTAACTCGAAAAGTAGTGGAGCGATTTTGTTCATATTTGGTATGTGAATAATATAAGCATGGCACACTGTCTAATGACACTTTTGGTAGAAGGTGGCCATTTTGAAAAATGGCTGCCATTTTAACGTATTTTACTATAACTTGAAAAGTGGTGGAGCGATTTTGTTCATATTTGGTATGTGAATATTATAAGCATGGTACACTGTCTAATGACACTTTTGGTAGAAGGTGACCATTTTGAAAAATGGCCACCATTTAAACGTATTTTACTCGACCTTTACTTGTTATTTTACAATTTTTGCTGTAACTTGAAAAGTAGTAGAGCGATTTTGTTCATATTTGGTATGTGAATACTATAAGCATGGCACACTGTCTAATGACACTTTTGGTAGAAGGCGGCCATTTTGAAAAATGGCCACCATTTTAAAGTATTTTACTAAAACTCGAAAAGTAGTGGAGCGATTTTGTTCATATTTGGTTGTGAATGCTAGAAAAAAAGCATATTACTTCTGATGACATTTTGGCTAGTGAGCAACCATTTTGAAAATGGTGGCCTTTCTTATGTGTGTTATTTTATGATATTTGCTATATATTTCGTTTGTAAAAATGCCAGCCATTTCTGTTCGATGGGATTCGCTACGCTTTGGCGTTGCCGTTGTTCTGGTTTGGTATGCTTTCAGTATACTATTGAAAATCATAAGTAAAACTGGCATGCTTTCAGTATATTCAGTCTATTCAGTATCTTCATACCTATTTACAGAACTTTATTCAGTATATGTACCTAATAATTGGTATAGTATCAGTCTGGTATCTATATATACCTATCAACAAGGTATACTTTTAGTATACTTTTGGTATAGACTGACTATACCTGGCAATAGGCTGGGATATTAAGTGATAGAGGTCTTGATGATGTCATCTTTAGAAATTATGGTGATTGGTACCTTAAGATTCGTAAATGTGAAAACGACGTAAAATTCCACTCTGAAGTTTTAAAATATAGTTCACTATCACTTTATTCCAGTTTCAAAAATCATCCATATCTATAAAATTATCTGAAGAATGACTATGACTTTTACGGGTGCAAACTGAAGTTCATGGCCCGAGCTAACGTTTTTGCATTAGAAACCAATTATGAATCTTGGCGCATGAGTGATGGATTTTGTTCATTCTGTGATGCAAAGAAGAAGGACACTGTTCAACACAGAATTTTGGAATGTATTCATTCATTTTAATGATGAGCTCCAATCACTTTATTTTAGTATAAGCCAGAAATGTAATGAAATTATATTTTCCTATTTTATCTCTGCAAGTTCAGAAAAGAAACTTTTTTTTTTTATTTATTTATTTATTTATTTATTTTTTTATTTCATTTTAAAGTTACATAATATATCATATTTAGTTACAATGCGTTGCTTTTACATCATTTATGGTCTTTAGATCATGTGATCATTCTTTTGATTTAATTGAATTAAACTTAAAATTAAACTAAAAGAAACTTGGTTTTATTTTAGGTGATGATGTATTTTTATTAAGGGAGCATGATCAATTTAAAAATGTTGACAGGATTGTAAAAACATTTTTAAGTAAAGTATACAAGCCTAGAGATACAAGTGTGACTTAATCCCACACATCTCATGTCTGGTACTTTGTTTTAAATACTGTAACATGTTTTAGACGCACCTATAATAATTTAATTTTAGTTTGCCATCGTTTCAAAGATGTAGTTTCTAAATAAATAATAAATAATGAATATTGTTGCAGACTTTCACATTTAAAAATACTGTAAAACGGGTATTGTTAGCGAGGGGTAATTTACTAATTGTTAGCGATCGCTATAGTTTCGCTAAAAATTCAATTCGCTAAAATAAACCGGGGTTAAAATAAACCGGGCGCTAAAATTTGCAAATTCCCGGGAAACTACATGAATACTAGTATTTAAGGAGCTTAAGGTACTCGACTTAAATTATGGTTGTCAAGTATTCTAAAAGTGTAGATTGATTAGTGGGGATAAACAGAGTTTAAGTATAAAGAGTATTGAAAACAGTGGTTCTTTCATTTTCATTCAGAGGGCAGTGGAAAAAGAAGTGTTTTTGGAGTTTCAGGTGGACCATAACAACAGTTTGGAGAACTGATGAAAGTATAATTGTGAGCAAAGAGCTCTGATCTGAAGAATTTTTGTCTTGTTTCTAGACTTGGCCAATTTAATATGTTGAGAACTTTAGCTGTGCTGCTTCCTGATAGACAACCTGAGCAGATAGGAGCACATTGATAATAGACACTATTTAGATATCACAGTAAATACTAGGATGAGTCAAAAAGAAGTGATCCATTGTCTAAGTGTGAGAGAATGCGGGAAATCATAAGGAATAGCAAGACAGGTGCTTCTGTAGGTCTAATGGTTAATCTTGACCTAGTTTTGACCATTTAACCTTTGAAACCCTTGCACAAAGCTTCCTTGCAAAAAATCCATTCTTTTAAAATAAATCATTTGTAATGTGCAAAAAGAATGTAAGCACATGACTAAATGAACTGTAGATGATTTAATCCATTCATGTCTTGTATCCTACACTTAAAACCTGTTTTGCCACACTCACTCAAAGTCTGGAAGCAAGACCTCTGTTGTTAAATCATCCTACAATTCATTGAGTCTTGGACTTAAATCCTTTAATAATATCTAAACTGATCCATGATATCTGATCAAATTATGCAGTTATTCAAAAACATTAACATTATCAAATATGGCACCATTCCATGGTCATATTGTGAAAAAGTTGATTTTTCCAGAATGAAACAGGAATGAATGAAAGCAGGAGCCGTCACCAATGTTATAAAGGTCTGAAGGTTGGATAGACAAAAGATGCTGTCTTAGTGAACACCTCTCTCTAGTGAACACCTGTATTTAGTTAATGTCACTTCCAGACACGTTTTTTCTTGACTTCTGTCCTGAGCTCTGTAGTTCAGTGAACAATTTTGAGGCTCCATAGGTGTTCAAAACAGGTTTTTCTGTACATTTCTATGCATCTAACCTCCAAATGTCAGGGTACTCCATATTATTATACCTTACCATTTGATTGTTCTTGTTCTAGGTGACCAGGTTGCCAATTACTCAGAGCTAGGCTACAAACATGCAGTCTGTGATGTAGACTACCACCCCCATGATCACATGGTAGCATTTGCAGCATTCGGGGAAAACCACCCAATCATGGTCTACAACTATGACCATAGGGGTAAGTGAAGTAGTGTCATAATGATGCAAACAATCCTATGAAAATATTGATGAGGTTTGGACTACAGTCATGTATTAAATCAGTATTCAAATACACATTTGAAATGTCCTCTTTAAGGGGAGCAAATAACATGTGCCTGGTATTTGATGTAAAAACAATGATATACATAGATATCTGAAATTAGTACTTCAGATATAGTGAGTGATGACTTAATTTTTCTTGAAAGATACTTAATATTGAAATCCTATGAATCTCAAGAGTTCTCAAGAATTCCCCTGTATGAGTTTACTCTTGTTTAATTATGTTATCGGCAGTTGGTGCACTGTAACAAATGGTAGGTGGTGACATTTTGCATGTTAATGCCTAGTTTTTTATCACACCATCGGTGGGATATAGTCGATGGTGTGGTGGGATATAGTCGTCATACTGGTCGTGGTCGTGATCCTGGTCGTGATCGTGATCGTCCCGCTTTTTGTCATCGCCGTTTAAGGAAAACTGCTCATCAGATTTTCTCCAAATTCGCAGAGATGATAGAGCATATGAAGTACTAGAGCTGATTAACTTTTGGGTGGCCATCTTGTTTTCTGGCGGCCATTTTGAAGGTTTTTTTGATAAATCTTGTCATCACCATTTTAGAAAAAAACGCTTATTGGATTTCCTTCAAATTCGCACAAATGATAGGGGATATCAAGTTCTACACCTGATTAACTTTTTGGTGGCCATTTTGTTTTTTGGCTGCCATTTTGAAGGTTTTTCGATAAATCTTGTCATCGCCATTTCAAGAAAACCCGTCATCGCATTGTCTCCAAATAGAGCTGATGGGTGGCCATATTGTTTTCTGGTGGCCATTTTGAAGGTTTTTGATAAATCTTGTCATCGCTATTTTAGCGGTACACATAAACAGATAAACCATACCACAATGAAGCACATATCTCCACACATCATAGAGGATATCTAGTTCTAGAGCTGATTAACATTTTAGCTCAAGATGTGAGCTATTGATTAATATGACCACAGCCAACATTTTTTTCTTGTTCTTGAAATTTGTAAACATAATAGGAGAACAGTTTTCTTGGTTCATAGTGTCTGCCTATTTGATGGTGTGATCTCGTTCACGTCCTGTGCCTTGTTTTTTTTCTTTTAGTTGCTCAGATAGATGCTGGCATAGATACTCATGCGACATTAAAGAATCCTCTTAAGACAACGCCATTTGGTCAGAACATTGAGAACACGACTCGTATAGGAACCATGAAGACATCTTTGTTAGAGACAGGGGAGAAGAGTGCCACCTTGCGAGAAGAGCTGTCACTAGATGAGGCCGCACGCTGGGATAAAGTTCAGAGGAAACTTGACTCTGTGATGGTAAGAATATGTGTTAATGTACACTTAAGGTGATCATTACTTATCATTTAGTATAAACATTATAATTTTTATGAATAACCAAGTGTTACATACTCACTCAATTTGTATGAACAATTTTGACTGATTTGAACTAATATAAGTGTTTGTATTAATTTGTAGATTGTTTTCAGCATTGTTTTATGCACATTGCACCAATATTTATTTTCTGTTTTACTTCATATTCTATTTAGGCATTCAAGAAAGGTGCAAAAGTTGTAAGTAACGAAAGCTTTGTAAGAATACCTTTGCATGTATCTCCGTGTGCACCTTACTCATCAGCCATACACCTGCATTTCTTGATTGCTTTGCATGGACATGCTATACAGGGTGTCAAATAAGTCCCATCCCCCTGCTACAGCTAAAACCTTAATAGATGGTACCTAGTATGATATACCATTGGAAAGATCATCCAAAGTTATGTTAACTCATCAACTCTCAAGTATTTTGGATGAAATTCACCTATATTTTCATGATGTCCTTTATATTATGTTTTGGCTGTAGAGAGGGGGGGACGGGACTTATTTGACACCCTGTAGAGTGCACTGATCTGATCTGGAAATTAGCATTTCAGATTCATGTGTACAACTTACAGTTAGTCTTGGCATAGCACTGAAATCCAAATAGGAATTTACGCAAGTGAAATCTTAGTTTAGTTTCAGTGATTTGGGAATTTTCCAATATACATCTGAAAATTTGCGGATTTTTAATTTGGCGTATTTTTTCAATCCACCAATCCGTAGCCAAATAAAGTGTATTCTAGTACACTATACTTACTTCCTGCATGCCATTCTTACTTTTTCCACACTCTGTTGTATAATTTCTTAAAGGGTTACTCAGGCTTATGTCTCCTTTATATTGCGATACTAATTTTTCAAAATTTAAAAATGAATTTTTAATGAATTATTTCTCTGGAATTTGTTGAAATTGAATAAGGCAATGTTGAAAGTGACTTCCTACCCCCTCCCTCTATAATTACTTAGGCTTTTTCCCATTCTTAAAATTAATGCAGCATATTGATGTGTTCCTTAATATTTACAGTAAATTCCTTTAAGTTGAACACCCTTATTGCCAGAATGGAAACAAGCATGATTCCAAAAATATTAAGTTTGATTTGAATTTTTGTTTTATGTGAAGCTTGACAGCAATTGTAAAAAGTGATCATTTGAACATGAATTGTAAATTGTTTGTATACCAAATTGAGAATTGAACATTTTATAACTGCAATGTAGTTAAATTGAAATGACTGATTAAGGTATCTTGTCAATCAATGTAAGATTGTAATTTATTATTTTGATTTTAATGAATTTAAATCATCATTGAGCTCCCTTCTGCACTGCTTGAGTTAAGAATTGTGGCAAGAGTTAAAAACCTGATGAAGGTATTGTTTTATATTATCAACGTATCATCAATGATTTGTAACAATGCATTTTTGGCATGATTATGTTGGTCCGAAGTTTTGAAAGTCGACTGAAGGTTATGAACTCTGAAATTGGTCACACATAGCCTAGTTTGTAGCATGCTAACAGTGAAAGTGTTGATTTATGAACCTTAATTAGAATACTTATCCTATAATTACATTGACCAACCATGGACAAATGCAAGGCAGTTTGCTATGGCATAGGGATAGAATAATATGTGTAAACATGCATGTGTTTGAGAATTAGACTTGCTCAGCCATATTTATTGCTACATGACTAAACTCTAGCAGTGCAGTGAAATCCCCCTCTGTATTACCTCTTGATAAGTTTTAATCTTTAACCCCCATGGCTTGCTTTGTGTTGGCAGCAAGCTTCTCCCCGCTCACCCAGGGGTCGATCCTCTACCTGGGACCCCCAGACTCTTGACCAGGCCCCCAGTTTCCTGAGCACATGGGGTAACACCTTTGATGCCTCCTCATACATGGGGAATATGGCCACCATGCATGGCAGAACATTGGTGAGTAGTAGGCTTTTGCAAGCCAAGCTTTTCCAACTGATTATACTTCATGGCTTAGGGGCATATTCAATTGACATAATGCATTTTTGCTTGATATATCATTAAAAAAAATCTTTACGAAATGAATTTGAGGCATACTCAATGTATTCTTAAAGTAGCATATGAACGTAGTCGTATATTGAACAATCTTGAAAAAATACAATATATGTTTAGGTAAATTGAATTTATAAAGGGCTAGAGAAAATGAAATATTACAAAATTGAAATTTTTTTCATCACACTGTTCATATATAAAATTCCAAAAATAAATTAAAAAAGTAAAGGTACAATACAATATTTACATGTGATTGAGTCTGTAAGTACACGAAATTAATTTGAATGTTCTAGAGCCCCTCCCCTGCAGCATTCTCTCCACATGCCAAACAGTCTCTTAATACTACCACTCAACAACAGCAGTTCCTTTCACAGTCTCAGTACTCCAGACAGGGCAGCTGGAGACCTGGCTTCACCTCATGTAAGTATACATGTACCTCGAATTGAGGAATTATTCAACACATTTCACAGTCTTAGTACTCCAGACAGGGCAGCTGGAGACCTGGCTTCACCTCATGTAAGTATACATGTACCTTTAATTGAGGAATTATTCAACACATTTCACAGTCTTAGTACTCAAGACAGGGCAGCTGGAGACCTGGCTTCACCTCATGTAAGTATACATGTACCTCTAATTGAGGAATTATTCAACACATTTCACAGTCTCAGTACTCTAGACAGGGCAGCTGGAGACCTGGCTTCACCTCAAGTAAGTATACATGTACCTCGAATTGAGGAATTGTTCAACACATTTCACAGTCTTAGTACTCCAGACAGGGCAGCTGGAGACCTGGCTTCACCTCATGTAAGTATACATGTACCTCTAATTGAGGAATTATTCAACACATTTCACAGTCTTAGTACTCGAGACAGGGCAGCTGGAGACCTGGCTTCTCCTTATGTATACAAATAGAGTGCATTACTTCTGGGGCAACCCTCGTACATGTAACTCTTTTCAGGAATTATTCAACATCTTATTGTATGCATCAATGTAGATATGACTCTTCCTGTTTAATTAAATGGATCCAGTCATACTTTAGGTTATTTGTATGTACATGTACCTCTTTTTAAGAATTATTAAACATTTAATTTATGCATTTAATGTAGAGATGACTAAATCTTCCTCTAGCTAAATAGATTCAGCCATGTAATTCAAATTATATGTCATAAATTGTTTCATTTCACTTTCACTTTCATCTAAAGAGACTGTATTAATATAAGTTTTACTGTGCACATTTCAGTGGGCAAGACAGGCAATATGCAGAGTAGTCCCAGTCCTAATTATGGTAGACAACCTACAATGGCACTTAACACTGTAAGTGGGAGATACCTATATTATCACAAAGGCTTACATAACTATGATTTATTGTTATTATTGAGTTATTAATATTATTATGAGTCATTAGCACTAAGAGCTGTTAACATCATTATAGACACCCTTTTTACAAAGGGCTTCCACAAAGTGGGCGGTGCCCTGGGTACTGTGGAATTGGCTTCACGTGAATTGGCATTCACGTGACCCAAGTCCTGCCTTTATATGGCAAATCATTGAAGGCAACTGCCAAGTCGTCAAATGATGTGATTGTGATTCGAAGATATGATGTACTACATAATCTATGACATCAGTCACTTATTTATGCAATAAATTTTGAAAGCAACACATTTCCCATTGATATGTAATACCATTATTAACAAGTAAAGAAAAATGCTTGCTTTTTTATAGACACATGGTAAAGCTCAGTTCCAATTCCAAGCAGCTGCAGGTCGTGCAGGTGCCAAAGATAAATCATTCGTCACTGCTTTATATGACTATGATGCCCAGAGAGCTGATGAATTGTCTATACAGAGAAATGACATTGTGAAGGTACTCTACAGAGATAATGAAAATTGGTGGATGGGTGAGCTGGCTGATGGTCAACAGGGCTACTTCCCTGCTAATTATGTCTCAGAGAAATGTAAGTGAGGTTTAGGGTTTTTATCTAAATTTTAATCATATACAAGTTATAACATTTTCACTCCATAATGCTTTCCACACAAATATGAAGAATGCCCCCCCCCATGTCCCCCTACTAGTATACTAGAATTATTCTTACATTGTCATCATGCTTCTTTACTGAAACTTTTCATGGGATAAAAACTTCTTTTTGTGGCAGTGAATGGATCAAAATCAGATATAAATTAACATTTCTTAAATAGTCTATTACTTCTCTGTTATCCCCAATAGATGGTGCTGCTGAAGAGGACGCTGATGATGTCGAAGAATCCAAGACATCTCCCTCCAAATCTCAAACCACTGCAGTTGTTACCAAACAAGGAGAGCTAAAGTTTGTGTCTGGAGCCGAAGATACTCAGGACAGTGATATACCTGACACCCCAAAAAAGTAAAGTATCCATTTTGCTTTTTGACAACTCTGAAACATTTTACGAAAATTCAATGTACTTTAGTATTGGAACGAGAAAGATGGACATGACATATCTTTAATAAGTTGTTGTTATTACATGTATAAAGGGAGAATCAGATATAAATGTGGTGAAAAAATTGCAACATGTAGAATTTAAATGCAGAATCAGGAATGATATGAGCCTGAAATAATCTAAAATTGAATCAATTTTCATCTTGATCATTATGATGACAATTACTTGCTAGATCTGATTCTCTCTTGAAGTACCAATGTTTTCTACCCCATCTCAAATATGTTATCTCTCAAAAGGTCATATTAAAAATCTTTAGTTTTCCTGGAATAATATATGAACTTGGTTTTCTATAAGAAAAGGATAATATGAGTAATAATGCCAAGATATTCTAAAAAAAGCTTGCAAGGTCTTAGTATGCCTTTAACATATAAAAATGTCTAAACAATGTGTTTGTAGAGCAAGAAGGAAAAAGCGCCGGGGTTCGACAGAAGACTTGTTGGGGAGTGCAGTGAAACCTCATAGACGTAAACATCGACCTCGATATGAAGATCAGAACGATTCGGAGGTCTAACGACAGACTTGCATGGTTAAAGAATACAATAGGCTTCCATACATTTGAATTGACTTTCATTTGTATAACAATACATTTGTATGAATCTAACAGGAGACTTGCGTAGGTGTATCAATCCGTTTGCAAAAGTTTAACAACCAAGTTGCATTAGTCTAATGAGACTCTCAGAGGAATAGAGACAGAAACTGAACTTTGATATCTGGACGCAAACACCTAAAACTCATTTAATGTACTCAGAAATGTAAAATCTCACTTATTTTTATGTATTATATCTCTTGAAAAAAATGTAATACTAAGGTAAAATCTTAGACATTATTGTGTAATAGTCATAGCAGGGTAAGTCTAACAGGTACTTCTAGAATATCCATCTACAAAAGAAATGGTCCCAAATGTAAAATATGGTCCCAAATATGAAAAATATGGTCCCAAATATAATATTTGGTCCCAAATATAAAATATGCTATGCATGAATACTCAGAGAAAAAGAGAGAACATTGTTCATTGTTCCGTCCATTTAAGAATTTTATCTCCATTACAATTGTGTATTTTATATTTAGTTGTATTTTGATGACATCAAAAAAGTAAGATCATATTTAGGGTTTACTTTTGGTATTTGTAATAGTGTAGTTGAATTTCAAATCAAATCTAAAGTAAATGAAAAATAAAAAGTTCACCATGTTTAATATTTTGATGCAATGAGAACACATTGAGAAAATGTCAGCAAATTTTGATATGGGTGCTATCTATATAGGTGTTGTTCTATATATAAGTAATATTACAATATACTATAAAAATCTGTGACATATTGTTCAAGCCAGTTTTTTGTGACCCCCATATTGCATCGGTGTCTGTAACAAGTGGTTACACATTTGTAATTGTAACCATGTGGTGATACTTTGTCATGTTAATGCCTTGTTTATATTTTAGTGATCATTTTATTGGTCGATTTATGGTTTTTAAGATGCTATAAATAGCTATTGTTCTCTGATTAACAAAAATGAACTATAGTACAAGAGTTGTTTGTTTGATAAATTCTAATAGAAATTTCCAAATTTATATTTACAAGGCTCTGGGTTAGTACAGCAGACCCATAACCAGCTTTTGCCAATGGGGGTCAGTCAAATGTTCACTTGAAAATGGTGAAAACTGCGTGATTTTGAAAGAATTTTTGAACCCCCCATAGCTACGGGCCTGCTACATTGTATTAAACTGTCCAATAATTCGAGCCAGTTGTGAAACTTTAAAAGTATAGTGATGATTTTTATATGTTAATGGCTCATATTTTATACTAGATTTAGTAAAGACTAACCATTGTACATGCATTGTATGTAATAAACTTTGTATATATAACTTATTTTTACACCAGTAATAAACAAGAATATGACAATCTTTTGTTATTAGTTGATATGGATTTGAAAACATGTTTTAGAAATTTAGGACTTAAAAATTGTTTTTCTCAATTTAAATGTCTCAAAAGTTTCTTCTACACTATATTAATAACTTCTGAAAAGGGGATGGGTATTCAAACGTGATAAAGTTAACAAGACACACAGTGATAAATATCGCACTTTGAAGAGCAAACTGGCCACCATGCAATTTACCCAGCATGGCCAAAACCTAATCAGACCTTGGCACTAGTCTGCTCTTGCATCTGTTAACATTTCAAGTTGACAAGGTTAGCGGTTTTCCTGCAATTTTGATGACAAGAATTTATTTGTAGTCTTGAACTTTGGGAAAATTTAGATAACATTGTTTGTGACCTAATTTGATGACCTTCGACCTTGAAAATTTCACTTTTTCAGACCTCAGTAGGTGTTTTGTAATTAAGCTGACCTAATTTAAATCCAAAATATCAATTTAGAAAATCAAATTTTTGACCTTTTCAAGGTCACTGAAGGTCAACGAAAGGTCAAATCTGATTTGAACTTCTGAGAACTTGTAGATGATTCAAAAAAAAAAATTTGGTCAATTTGGAGCAAGTTGAAAAATTCAAAATGGCCGCCAAATTGAAAATTCAAAATGGCCACCATGTAATTCAGCCAGCATACCCAAAACCTAACCAGATCTTGGCAATAGTCTGCTCTTGCATCTGTAAAAATTTCAAGTTGATCGAACGGATAAGTGGTTTTCCTGGAATTTTGATGACAAGATTTATTGAAAAATACAAAATGGCCACCACGTAGTTTACCCAGCATGCCCTTAACCTAATCAGATCTTGGCACTAGTCTACTATTGCATGTGTAAAAATTTCAAGTTGAACAGGTAAGCAGTTATCCTGGAAATTTGATGACAAGATTTGGTTTATGTGCCGCCCGCACGCCCGCCCGACAGCACAAGACGACGACAATATAGCACTTTTTCAAAGTGCGATAAAAATACATTTCCCATGTTATTTTCCCATAGGGGAAACTCATGCTATCCATTGTTTTCAGCATGTTTTTAGTCATCGAAAATTGATATCTTCAAGGCTAGACTTTCAATACCATTCTACTTTTTAAGATGTTTTAGACCCCTTGTTGAAAAATATTTTCATGCAATAAAAATCAGAAAAAGAAGATCCTCTTCTGAGCAAATAAGTTCAACATTTGGAAATAAAGGACCCACGGTCCTGTGCTCACACAGTGTTTTGTGCAGCCAATGATGATACTTTATACATGAGAAAGTTCCCTGTCCTACTTTTTGTCAAATTTTATAGAAAAAATTGTAATTTCAAGAGCTTTAAATCTTCAGAGAACATAAGTTGCATATACAGCTACAAGTTATTTGAAAGTTCTACTTCAACAAAGTGTCTAGTATTTACAGAAAATTTGATGTCGAAATCAGCAATTTCTCGGAAACCGGGCGAACTTGGGAAATGGCGATGATAGGTCAAATAGGCATTATGGATTTCCTAAGTGACATCTATATTATTGAGTAGAGTGAATGTTTATTCTAAATAGGGAATTCGAAGTGGCCAGACGTACATTCAGCAGTGGTAAGCATATTTTGATTTACATGCCCGAGCAAGGGGCTAAAATAAAAGGCTTTGAGGGCCTAGAGATATAATGCCCGAGCAAGGGGCTAAAATAAAAGGCTTTGAGGGCCTAGAGATTAAAAGGCTTTGAGGGCCTAGAGATATAAATGCCCGAGCAAGGGGCTAAAAATAAAAGGCTTTGAGGGCCTAGATATAAATGCCCGAGCAAGAGGCTAAAATAAAAGGCTTTGAGGGCCTAGATATAAATGCCCGAGCAAGGGGCGTCCGAGCAAGGGGCTAAAATAAAAGGCTCCAAAGGCCTGAAAATATATGCGCAAGCAGGGGGCAAAAAATATGAACCATAAGGGGTAATGAATAAAAGGCCTTGAGAGCCTAGAGATACAGAGATATATGCCAGAGCAAGGGGCTATTAAATATAACTATGAGACAATATAAGAGAAGTTTTCTGAGAGGCAAATATTTGACAGAAACAAAGAAAAATAGAACATTGATGACATGAAAAATCTTGATAACATGGCCTTATAATGAACACTGGAAATTCAACGTGTTAATAACACAGTAAAATTAGAGGTCATTATACAGTTTTATATGTCTCTGGTTATAGTACAGTGTCACGAAAATAATGACATTCAGGTATAACTGGTAATTGGCAATTGAATGAAAACTGGGGTTTACTCAATAGAAAGTAGGTTGAATTGTTTTGACATGACTGGATAACCTATGCAAGTGATTGGTTATGTAATGGTTTAATTCCATGTACCCTCTTGTAAACTAATTTGAAAATGACTTGAGTTTTTAACATTTGAAACTAGTGAAGTCTGATAAACAATTGGCTTCTCTTTACATCTAAAGTCCGGGAGCACTGATCTCTTAGTGGTTTTAACCACGTGGACTTCGAATGTGAGAGTTGTCTCTCCACAGTAGGAGGTAATTGGCAATTGAGGTTAATTACTCATGTTAGGGGACTGATTTTTCCCCACCAGTAATTAAGTGAATGAAACATTGATATGAGGTCAATTTTAGGTTTTATTAGCTTCATAATTACATCATGGAAAACCATCTACTAGAACTACTGGGAGAGATTGCTCTCAAATCCGATGTCCACGTTAGTTTTTTGTTAATTTTTTATTTTATTAAAGATTTGAGGATTGGGAGTAGTAAAAATTAACAAATCACATTATTCAGGATGTAAATACACCGTAAAGGGTAAAATTAAATGTGTATTTCACCCAATCCTTTAAGGGGAGGCATCAAAAGTTCGATGTCGGATCGGAAACTAAATAAATCTAGTTTTGACTCTGACCCCCCCCCCTCCCCCAAAAAACTGAATACCATGAAAGTTGATCGCTGACTTCTGGTTTGAGAATTTGAAAAATTATTGCTAAACATGATCTAGTTTTTGTTAATTCCTATCGTAATTTGCGGCTTTTAACAACTATTGATAGAATAGATTCCATTGGAATGATCTTGACGAAGAAAGCATCAGGTAAAATCTTTATTTCTAAACCATTCAAAGGCATTTTCAGTCGAAATTGCCAAAAATTTGAAATGTTGAAATTTGTCGGATAGCAAACTAAAATGGGTTTGAACCCCCTCCCCCCCCTAACTAGATTTATTTAGTTTTCCATCCGACATCGAACTTTTGATGCCTCCCCTAACATGAAATCTACTTGAATGTATGGATGTCACTTAGGAAACATAGATTTCCTAAGTGACATCTATATTATTGAGTAGAGTGAATGTTTATTCTAAATAGGGAATTCGAGGGAGGTAGTCATTAGCGAATGGAATGGATAATAGTTTACATATCATGAAATTTGGATGAAATATCATGGAATTGGGAAATGATTGAAAAATAAGTTACCCTCCCACCCAACCCATTTCCTGAGGCTGTACATTCTGGTGGGTTTCACTTAAATATGTATTTCACCCAATCCTTTAACATGAAATCTACTTGAATGTATGGATGTCACTTAGGAAACATAGATATGCATAAAATAAATGTGGATATGATTCAATCCGAAAAGCAGTTTTAATTTGTGTGGCCAATGTTGACGGACGGACCAACGGACGGACGGACACCTGGTCGATCCCATATGCTCACTGTGTGAGCCAAATGGTTAACGTGGGGTCCTTATTTATAATTTTTCGAATTATTTGATTGGTATTTTTATCATCACGGGGACTTCACTTGAAAGAAAACATATTGTTTTAATAAAAACCACTGTATTCATGCCCAGAAAGTATTCATGGTGAAAGATATGACCGTCTAAAATCACTTGTCATACTGCACATGGACCTTTGTCTAAACTGCAAAAGGCTTACACTTATAGAATTCTACTATCTTTCTGTGCGCAAAGCCTCAGGGAAAAATATTGAAGGGTAGAAGCAAGCTTTGAGAAACTTAAAAACTTAAACTAAAAACAACTTTGATTTTATTAACAAATTTTGTTTATTTATAATAAATAATGATATAATTTATTATGAAACTAGACTCTAGTACATGTATTATTTATGTACTACTGTTTTAAAACATGAAATATTGAAAACTACACAGCCAATCTCCAACAACACTGTACAACGTTGTTAGATGATGATGCGGATTGGGGGTGTATATGAACACATCACTGGACTAGAATGGCACTACAGATTTGTACATGGGTAAATTTGGCACACACTTTAATTTCAAGAAATGTTTGTACAAATTTTCTATCTTCAAGTTGTTTTACTTGAATTTCTATCTTCAAAGACAAAATTCCTCTTTGAGTGATTGTATGTAGTGTTTTCCACATGAAAAAGCTGGTAATATGATAGCACTATAAACATGGAAAATTTGCCGAATTAAAAATACCAAAGTACCCCATGTCACCACCTTGCCATAATTTAAATTCAATTTCAAATGTCAAATCCTTTCAGTGTGATATTGCTATTCTACATCAATCCATAGTTAATGAAAATAAAATATATTATTTTATAGGAAAATTGTCTCATGAATTTGAATTGTTCTAGCAAAGATTGATCATGATTGATATACAGTAATAAGTAGAAACTGTTTCATATAGTTTCAATTGGAACAATCTCTCGACTACCTACAATGATATTTTACATTTGTACAAAAAGGCTTACATTTTATATTAGAGAGGTTAAGCAATACCAATTTTTACCATGTAAACCGCAAATGGGAAGGTGCACACAGGTTTTTTTCAGGATGTGACGTAAAATTGTTCTACTTATTTCCTGGTTTACATTCATTGCAACTCAAGAAATCAAAGTCTGGGTAGGTGGTTCCATAAAGGATCTGTAGAACTTTATCAAGCTCAATCGAGATAAATATGATATTAGTCAAATGCATGAATATACAATCTGCATATACATCAAGATCATTTGTGTCAAATCTAATCAAATACAACTTGAATATCGTGGCACCCATTTCATATGTAAACTCTGATGAGACTACATACATGGCAATTGCCTAACTGTCAACTCATCTTAAATCTATATTAATCCATATATTGTGTTTTCAGGTTTTGTAACTGAATTAATCAACTGACCTTTAGGTATTCATAAGAATAAAATGTAATCGCCTCCTGTTATATTTTGTAAGATTCTAAAAGTCGTAAAACACTGCTAGACTGTGAAACAGCTCCTTTATTAAACACTTTCATCAATTTGTAATTAAAATATCATTTTTTATACACACTATATGCAGAAAATGGGACATAAAGGCAAATATCAATGAGAAAAAATCACTTATGTTTGTAGAATGTAAACGGGAACGTATGGGTTAACGTTTGCGGTTCACGTAATAAAAATCAGCTTGCTTAACCTCACAATTTAGTATTATTTACATCACATAAGAAAATACATGTATGTACAATAGATGTACATGTTTATGATATTATTATTTCTTTGTCAAAGGAAGACGACTAGGAGTGCCACCTTTCTTTTTAGTACCACCAGGTCTTTTGGCTTTCTTCTTGAATTGTCGAGTTGGTGTGGATTCCTGAACAGGCTCTGTAATCAACATTTGATTGTCATCATTTTCATTCGTTGTGTAGTTTTTGTGAACTCCTTCAGTTGAACCTTTAGTTGTACTTTTGTCAGAGTCTTCATTTTCATTTGAGGGAAATTCCTCTTTAGGGGTATTATTTGGACTCTGTACTCCATCTTCATTGTATTCTTGCATATGCGCAACATCAATCATAACTGGTGTTTCATTGAATGTCACTGATTTTTTGCGGGGTGGTTTCATAGTGTCAATACCACTGTCCATTCCACTAGAGTCGGGAGAATCATCAAACTGTTGTTTATGTGTTGGGATGTTGTCTTCTGATGATGGAGTACTAGAGTCACCATTTGGTGAATACACCATGGGGTTATTGGGTTTATCAAGTGTGTCTTCCATTGTGGGTGAGGCTATTATATCATCCAAAGCTTTAGCTTGGGGAGTGGCACTTTTAGACTCAAAAACTCCATTATATGAGACATTGTATGAGTCAATCACACTACTAACATCAGAGTCAGTGGACTCTGGTTCATCACTTTCAGCATGTATGTCTTCCAGAGTGGCAAATTTATCTTCAACATTGTCGTATGGATTTTTACCCCAACCATCATATGGTAAATTGTCCATGGGGTTTACATTATCATATTGTACATTGTTAGAGGGGTACTCTATTGGCACTTGGTCTGTGTTAACTAATTTATCACTTTGAGAAAATACAGGAATATTGCTTTCCTTTTCATTGTCTATATCCTCTTTTGGATAAATACCGTCAATGTCTGATCCTTCTGGCTTATCATATACTTCATTAGGGACATGCTGAAGTATTGGATTGATTTCATGATTGTCTTTAGGGCCAGGAGTGTCTTCCTTGTTGAGGTTGTTGATGGGTTCATACATATATGGTCGGTTCCTTGGACTGGGTGTCGTATCAGGGACTTGGTTCTCCTTTCTGGTCTCACGAGGCTCCTCTGGACTATCCTGGAAACATGTCTATATAATAAACTTACATTCGATTTAAAAAAAAACAAAAAAACATATACCAAAATGCAGACTGTATTTCATTTTTATTGATGTATTATCATAATGCCTGTGGAAAATGACATGGTCAAACACAATCAAAAACGCATTCAAATAACATAGCATCTACAATTATTCTTGAAAATTATACAAAATTATATCAAACCGAACTGATGTTCAAAAAGTATCCATATTTCAAATAGGTAGTATTACCTATCTGCAGGAATACATTCATATAAATACAGAATATTGTTTATAGAATTTGAGAAATTGTTACCTCATAAGGTATAGTAATATTGGCTGTGTCGTTTCCATAAGGACTTGTTAGAGTTCTATCTGAACCTGCAATGATGTCATCATTTTCCAATCCTGGGGTCAAGGTCATCAAATGTGGATTTGGTTGCTGATATATATAATCCTGAAGAAATAAATGATTAAAAATGAACCAAACCTAAAATCTCTGAATTAAATGCCAGGGAACTTGGTTAAACAAGTGAATTCACTCATAAAATCAGTCAGTTGGTATAAATGTGGCACCTTTTACTCCCTCTTGGGGGTCATAGCCACTACAACCTGTAAATATGTTACATTGATTTTAGTTAAAAAAATATAACTTTCATTTTGATTTCAGAACGTAGAACTTTTGCCCAATATCATTCTCTGTTATTGGTTAAATTGCTTACTAAAATCTGAACCTTCTTATTGAAAGATACATTTTTCACAACAATTTTCTTACTAGTTTTAAAGGTGTGCTGTCCATCTGAGGATCCCACTCTAGGTCTGAGGGGGGTGGGGCTACATTGTACACATCAGGGGGAGGGGGAAGATCAGGAGTCAGGGATCTGTCATGTTCTGGAGCAAAATAAAATCCCCACTTCATTAAACAGTGTACAGAGGGATTACTAGGCCACTACATTATTTTTTAATTTTTCACTTAAATTTAGATGTACATTGCACTGTTACACAACGATACTTTTTATTGTCCAAACAAATTGATTTTCATGACGATAATGTAAAGCAATATTCAAGCATGACTTACCATCATACTCAGGTATCCCCACAAGGGCTTCTTCATCAAGAGGCACTTTCAGTTCTTGTGGGGTGAGGTCCTCCATACTAGCAATGATCTTCAAAGGGGTCCCTGGGACCCTGGTGCCTCTTGGTGGCTTAGCAGGGCCAGAGAACTTTCTATAATTATAAAATTCAAGAGTTATTGAGGGTACATGACTACATGTTGTTTCATCAATCCATAACGTTCTGTACTGGATAAGCCCTGAATCAAGTCAGTGTCCTTAAGAGGAAGGTGAAGCCCATCATGTAAATGCATACAAACATTATTCGTCAAGAAATTTGAAGATGCGAATATTTTTTTCAATTTATTTACATGTGGAGTAATGTACTAAAGCATATGAATTTCAAGCCTAACCTTTCTTTTACAATTACCTTCCTTTTTACTGAATTCTCATACAATCCAAACCTACTATATCATTATCGTAATCACCTTTTGTCATTGATTCATTACATCAGAGCATATTGCAGTTGCACACCACATTGAGGCATTATTAATTGTGATGAGTATCAGAATGTTGCATACCTGGCAGTTGGTGTTGAACCATTGCTTTTATACATGAGATTTTCCCTCTCTGCTTTAGTGGCCTTTTCCTTGTACTTGTTGTACTGGTTCTTCTTCCATAGTAGAAATGCAATTACTCCAGTCAGCAGCATCGCAACACCAATCACGGACATCACAATAACTGCAATAAAAGAAATGTGCAATACAAATGTAAACACTTTAGAAAAAATATTGACCTCAATGTAAACAGGTACTAACTAGACCTCAGGATACTGTGAGCTTGCATAGCTGTATCATGGCCAAGGCACGGGGCTGTATGTAGCGAGCGTGACAGTGGATCCTCAAATGCTTGCGGTTTGTGGAGGTCTGGTTAGTACTTGTATGTGTGATGTAACCACAGTTGGATTAATTATAAATGCATTTATCAGTCATCACACAGATGTTTTTATACACCGACTTTGTACTCAAATAACATGTTTAGCTCACTTTATTTTAATTCACTTTTGGTTTATGCAATCTGCATGTGTATCTTAAATTAATCAGACATACCTGCCAATGTTACAGTATCTCTACTGTCCATGTGTGAAGATTGATCAGTCCCTGCACCACTTGCTGATAGAGATTGGACCTCTGCTGGACCAACATCCCAAGGCAAGAACTGGTACCCAGTCTACAAATGATTATGTGTTGCATTGAGTAAAATAAACTATATCAGAGAATTAAACTCATTTTCATACATCTACCCACATCTCACAATCAGCCAGTAAAACTTTTAAATCATTTCATACATATTCTTTATTCTTATTCTTTACACATATACTATTCACAGTGTAGTCTGTGAAGAACCATTTCCATGAAGGAGCAAATCATTGAAACTGTATCATTCCTGATTGTGACAGCATGAACGATGTTACAATTATTTTTAACTCAGATTTTGACTATTCAAGCATTTAATGAAGCATGTAAAATCTTATAGACAGAGTAGTAGTCCAACTTTCATTGTAGTGGTTGGTTTAGAATTCAGACTTATCAATACTGCAGTACATATACCTGGCCATGTTTATACTCTATTGTGTTCCTGGCTTGGACAGGGGCTAGCTGTATACTAGGAGCTGGTACTATTGCCCCGGGATCCCTACATCCACTTTCATCAAATGTCAAATCTGTGGAAGAAAACAATACAATGCTTATTGCTTCTATGATTACACTGGGGGGCTACGCCCCCCCCCCTTGGGTTGACCCAGAAAAAAATGGGTCCAAAAAATGGCCCCAATAAGTGGACTTTTTGGAGGATTACTTGGCCTTTTTAGGCCTTATTTTTAATTTTAGGCCAAATCATCAAGAAAATGGGCCTAAAATTTTCAAAATTTGTGCCCACTTTTTGGTTTTAGAGGCCCAAATTTTTTTTCATCACACTTGAAATATGCCGGCCCCCTTGTTGGTTTCCAGACCCGCCCCTGGATTATAATGACCTCTAATTTGACTTTCACTGGCCTTTTTGTAAGTGTTAATGAAAGTCGCCTATTTATATGCAGAAAATGTTGCATACTTAATTTTCCGATTATGTTTTCAAATTCTTGTTGAATATTGGCTAGATCAATGGGTAACTTTTAATTCTAAGAGGGCAGACAAAATCTAGCTTTTGAAAATGGTTTTAAAGTATACATTATATAAGAAATTATGAAATTTGAATTGAAATAAATTAAATTGAATTGAAAAGGGTAATTTTCCTACCTCCTTGTTGAAAGTCTGCCTTGGTGAAATGCCAGAACTTCTGTCCAATCTTGAGACCCCTTAGACACCCTAGCAGGCTGGGTAGTTTTGTCATAGACTCTGGGGCCCCACCTACATACATTGTGATCCCAGTGGGAGGGAAATCAGCTGGCCTGGGTGGGATTACAGTCTCTAGAACCAATACGATGATACAGCCTTTTTCTCACATGGAGTAGACAATGTTAACTTAAATAGTCATTATTGCCAGAGACATGCTGCTAGCTTGGTATGAAGCAGAAAATTTGAAACTGGGAAAACTAGATAACAGCAATGCAAAGACATAACAAATCCCATCGAACAGTCATGGCTGCCAGTTCTGGAAATGGCTCTCTATTCAAACAAACTGTCATTAGACAGGTGTAACATTCTAAATGTATTCACATATAAATTTGAAATTAAGGTACCTGTACAATTTTAAGCAAATTGATGAAATACTTGTGAAATTATGATGAAAAAAGAGCTAAAAGCCTGATTTTTCTGCAATAAGAGTGGTGGCCAATTTGAATCTGCAACATATTTTGCCTAAGACATTGTTGATAATCAGGAAAAAGAGGTACCTACATAATTTCAAACAAATTAACTCTTTTGCGCGGTATTTAATTATTTTTAAAAGCTACTGAGCGGTAATTAATTTACTAAAAATTAGGATTTTCATGCCTGCCAATTTGAAAGTGACATAAAACCTAAACCAACAGAGATAACACCACCAAATTTTTACTCATAATTGGAAAAATATGTATAAATCATATGTTAACGTATGAACTCATCACAATTAGAGGCACCGATGATAAAAAATCCAAAACATTATGTATTGCAAAAAAAACATAAGACCCCTACTAAATATTACCTTGGTGTACCCCAGCAGCTTCCCTTGCCTGTCCCCCAGGCACAGAGTTGTCAGGCCCATCATCGTTCTAAGTTTCATTTTCTGAGGCTTCAAATATTAGGCTTCACTGCCAGAATAATTGAATATAGCAGCGATTTGATCATCATTACCCGTCTAAATCTAGCCCTTTTTTAGTACCACAATGTCTGATCACTTCCAGATTCGTATTTGTTACAAAATAAATCAATTAAGTGACCAAAATAATTTTTTTCAGAAACTTTGCTTCGCCAAATTAATTTTAAATCACTTCCTGTCAATGTGAGTACCAAATATTGGCACTGCAATACAAGGGTGACATCTTTTGAAGTCTGCTAAAACTTTCCTATAGCATGTCGACTCCAGGTTGACATACGCCATAAAGCGTAGTGGCGACAAAACTCGCCTGACCGCGCAAAAGAGTTAATGGAATACTTATGGAATTATGACCAAAGACAAGCTGAAAACCTGATTTTTCCGCAATAAAAGTAGTGGCCATTTTGAATCTTTGCGACTTGTTTCGCAAAAACTTGTAGGCCTTATTTATATCTTATAAATTAAGGTACCTGTATGTAAATGGGCGATGGAAGGCTCGTGGGTGGCAAATATAAATAATAACAACAAAGTCCAAGATACAAAATATTAAAATATCTATTTAAAATATCATAGTTCTTAGCTGTCCTAACATTCTCAACTACTGCATACAAAAACAGCCAACACCCAAACTCATGAGTGAGTGAATGTGATCTATATATATAACATGAAGACATAAATGAAAAGTAAAAACAAACACAGCATGAAACAACATACAAAACTGGTTAAACAATAGAGCATATATACAAAAGTGACTTGCAAACAACATGGTTATAAATATCTGAAATACTGGATGTAAAAGTAGTTGATGCAAGAGGATTAAAAGGACCTGTTAAAATGAACAAGGAAACAAATGGGGATTGATCAATATGAAATTCAAAATATGAAATAGCCTGGTTACATGTACAAAAAGAAAATTGGTGGAAAACTTGTGGAGTTATAACCAAAAAGAGCTGAAAACCTGATTTTTACGCCATAAAAATGGCCGCCATTTTGAAAAAAAGGCGAGCTTTTGAGGCGCCACTTATGGAACAATTGATGACCTTATATAGACACATAAGCTGCCAATGTGTTGACAGACAGACGGACGGACGGATGGACAGACAGACAGACAGACGGACAGGCAGACAGATGGATGGACAGACAAGTGGGCAATAACAATAGCTCACCATGGGACCTAAAATGGCCACTCACTATCAAAAATCTCAAGGTGTAATATGCTTCTTAGTATTTACATCATATTTCAACAAATACATAAACCATGAATATATATTGACAATAAAGATTGAACTATCCCTCATCCTTTCATCACATTACTTGGAATTGTAGATATTATTATCTTATAAATATCCACCAGCTTGACAGTGCATGAAAGCTAAGTGGTATTTAGCTTATATTTCCAACAACATGGCAATGCTAAGAGGGATCTCTACTTTACTAAGAAGGAAAATTCCTTCTCCTGTCATACTAAATACAATAATTCAGAAGCAAAATTATTCTGAAATTGTGGAAACCGCTCATAGAGGTCAAAATGAAGAAATTATCTTTTCTATGGTAAGTATGTTTTTAACCTTTTGAAACTTTCACTAAAACTTTTTCAACAATAGACTTGATGCGAGTAGAAATAATCTTGATTTACGTCATTAAAAATTCAAATTACATCTAGAAATGTGGTTTAAAAAAGAGTTTATCAACTTTGAAAATTTTATTTTCTTTGAAAATGTGACTTCTAGGTCGGGGGGATTCCCCATAGACCCCATGTTGTAAAATCACAAAAAGTGAAATATCTTTTCTTATGTTAGGTAGATAATATTTTCTTTTCCTGGACTTATTTTAATTTGTATAACTATCAGACACATACGGTTAATATGTTATTATGAAAAGTGGACCACTAAAACTGATGAATATTCAAGTTAAGGTAACTTATAACTTAATCAAAAAATCCAAGATGGCCGAAACCAGGAAGCACATGGCATTTGAGTATAATCTGACCATCAAAATTAACTGTCTTTTGGTTGGATTTTCTCTCAATTTTTTAGTTCCACTTATCATTTAAATAACCAGGCTCACTGTGATAATGCAAATAGAAACAGTAAACATTTTGGAATGGGAATTTGAGTCCTCTGAAAATGTGACAGAAAAATTGACAAAAAGAGTAGCACGGCAAAGGTCCCTGAACATTTTTTTTCTAATTTCTCTGAAACATCCCTTTAATATAGCCCAAAATGGAAGGAGCTTTAGAATTTTGAAATCTCTCATACAAATTTAAAAAAATAGAAAAACACAATTTGAGAAGTGTACTTTTTTCCTTATTTTGATCCCAATTTTTTTATTTGGTAATTTTTCAAATTTCCGTTGCTCCTTCGTTTTTGATATATGTTTGAAGTATATTTTCTGAAATGTTCAGATATTTTGAATCAGCGGTTTTTCATGGGCTACTCCTAGAAAAAAATCTTTTCAAATTTTTTAAACGGCACTTTTTTTCTCAAACTAAAGTTTTTTGTTGTTCTTTGATGTCTTTGTAATGATTACAGTGCACAAGCATATGTGAAATAATAAAAACGACTTCTCAGGAAGATTGTGAAATTTTCAAAATCGATTAAGTTAACAGTCAAATTTTGTAATACCCTGCCATGTTATTTCCCCTGAATCAGCCACCTGGTGGCGAAACTGGTAACTACCTACTCACATCAGAGTAATTGTCAATATCGTATTCTCTCTAATTAGCACACAGTGCATTTTCAAAATTGAATTTCAAAAGGATAAAATATTGTTAATGGTACATATAATATTTAATTTCACTCTACAGTTCCTGTATTTCATTCTCTTCTTTAAATATAACCATCAATCAATATCTTGTTGAGTAAATATTTCAAACTAATACATTAAACTTGAGACCATATTTTTATCATAAAAGTCACATGTGCGTACATTCTCTGAAATGATGCACCCATTAGAGTGGATATGGTACATGTATTTAGAATCTATTCCCAAAGCCTAAAACGCCCCACAAAAAAAATTTTGTGAAAAGGCATCTGACTTGGAATGTTATTTAGGGTACCATGCATTCTAGTTTAAAACTTATTTTTCTTGTAAAAATGGCATTAAAGATGTGAATTATCACTTTTTAGAGATTTTCACATAATTTATTCAAAAAGCTACTAATTATTCACAAACAAAATAAAAGAGCACAAACTTGATGCACTCGTTTGAAGTAACAAATAATTGAGACCATCCAGGATATTTACTAGGAGCCTTCGTTAAAAAATGCTAAAGAGTTATAATGGAAAAATGATCATTCTGAGTGTAGGAAGTTTGCATCCTTTTTCAATAAGTTCATACTGAATCATAATAGGCTTCCGATAAATTTCATGCAAAAGTATAATTGTTATTGGATGTACTGGTTAAGTTCACCTGCAAATAACCAGCTTTTGAGTTAAAAAATAAATTGTGTGAAAATCTTGAAATTTCTTTTAAAAACGACCTGCTCCATCCAATCATGGGCTTTTATCTCGAGATTGTCAAGTAAACAAACAAGGCACAGGACGTGAACGAGATCACACCATCAAATAGGCAGACACTATGAACCAGGAAAACTGTTCTCCTATTATGTTTACAAAGGAGGGCGAGTTGTTTGTAGAATGAATCGGGGGATTTTTTTCATGAATTTCGCTTATGTTTTTCATCCAAAAAACATCAATACACTTTAAAACATTTTGTTTACTTTAAGATTACACCATGTAATCCAAAAATATATTTCTCGTTTTCAAAGATAATCCATGGATTAACACCCAGGTATTTTTATTTTTCAAACTTCAGAGGGCTGGGAATCATTGATGCTCAACGCTTTTGAATATGATAAATGCTGTTTTAAATAGGTTTTACGTATGCCATTAATTTCTCAAATTATGTAAGCTGAATGCGTCCTAGAATATTCTCTTGGAGGAATCCAATGGTAATCCAATGGTAGTTCCAAGCAGATTTTTAGATGGCAGGTAAGTAAATTCTTTAGTACTCGCCTTATTGGGTTGAGTTATAGTTTATATTCAAAAATTATATATGATTCTGTAAAGATGTCAGTGTGGATGCTATATAGATTGCACACGTATGGTAAGCTGTATAATCCTATATTATGTAACACGAGTACAGTTTTGGTTGACATGATTGTGACTGAGTGAGAGATTAAACTCTTTAAGGATGTTCCCTGGTCAGATAGGAAAATATTCAATAGTATTTAACTTTTTCTCAAAAATGGTTTTCTGGGATTCTCACGGGCAACAAAGAATATTAAAACTTTAAAAACCATATGTTAGTGTGCTTTTTTCTGAGCAAGAGGCCTCTAAAGTGTCAATATTTGACAAAAGTGGGCGTGGCACTTTCTCATTGAAACCCATGTTAAAAATCAGGTTTTCACCCCAAAACACACTTTTGAATATTTAACTTTTTCTTAAACTCACAGAAACACTTAGTTATGCTATGTACTTCACATTTTGAAAAGAAAAATTAGGGGTTGGTGTTCATCGTTTTCAACTTCGTCCAGGGAACATCCTTAAGGTAGTTCTGCATGTTGATGATTTTTACTAATTTTTGTGATGAATAAATTATCTGATATTTATAAATTGGGCAAATTTTTTTACATTTTAAGTTGATATAAAGAATTATGGTAACATACACATGGACCATGCATACACATACAATTACAAATGTGAAAATATTGTCCCTTTCATTGATTATCGGTATTTATAATCATGAAAATTATTGAAAAATATCGAGACATGTCTACCTTAAAATCAAATTGGCTTACAAGTACCCTAAGCTATTTTTACATTTTTATTGCAAGAAAATCTTTTTGCAAGGGTTACAAAGGTTGAAATATTGTGGTGGCTCTATTTGGCTGGAGTTTAATATTCAGACCTAGCTATAGGTATTATTACATTTATATGTACACTAGTATCTTGTTTCACTATATTCAGCACTGTATTGATGAATGGGCCACTTATTAGGGCCAATATTCAATCATAAAGTGTACAGGGGTAGAGATGCCAAACCAAGAAGTCTTTTTGTGTCTGTCAAAATCCATTTGCATCCTACACATCCCAACATATTATCCAAATATGTTATTAATTAATGAAACATAACAGTATAATCTTTGGATTTAGAAAGTTGTATGGGATTTCATTAGTATAAAAGTTGCTTTTGAAGCATTTTTCTATAGCCATTTTGTAGGAAAAAATGATGGAAAAAATGTATAATCTTTTAATTTGAAGTATGACCTGAATCGATTGCAAACTTTATATTTGCACATCTGATGTGATATACCATTTGTGTCATACTGTGAAATTATTTAATTTGCAATCGATTCAGGTCATAGTGTATTTTAGGTATTTTTGTGAAAATCAATAGTCAATACACCCTTGCTGAACTAAATGACCTCAACCTCAGCCCATGTGGGTCCAAACGCCCAAATATTTTCCACAGTATTATGTGACATTGAATTCTTTATGTTACACCTAAAAATGATTCATTTTGTTCATGGGGATATCATAATGGAAAGTGCACTAGACCCTTATTGTAATTGTATGATATCGTATTTGTGATTTGAATATACACTGTGATATTTGAGAAAAAGAATGTTTTGTTTTAGTTTCATTGCAATTTATAACCCTAATATCCTTCCCAGAATCCTTCCTTGTCTTCCGATTTTCTAATAACCTCAGAAGTTCCTACTTTTTAAAAAAAATACAATTTTCCATGATCATTTTTATGTCACCACCACAAGTGGTGACATATTGTTATGGTCTCAAACTTTTTTGTGGATGGTGTTCAGTGGTTGGTGTTTATCATTTGGCAGTTGGTGTTTGGCAGTTGGTGTCTGTAACAAATGGCAGGTGTTGACATTTTGCATGTGAATGCCTTGTCTTATAATGTAGCCAACTGCAATGGATGTAAAACGGATACAGTTAACTAATACATTTCTTGGCATCAATTCAAATCATATGCTAATTTTAAATGAAAATGCTTTTTTCATGTTTTACCACTCATAAATGCCATAATTTCTCGATGTCATATTCAGGAAAATATGGCTATCAACAAGTTTTGAATTCTTACAATCCTGGAAGTTGTACATGTAAGCGTGCACATCTGTCAGTTCAGTTTATGTGTAAAAGTTAATCCCCTAAGCCTTAATACCTGATGCATGAAATATTATGAATGAGTTACATAATATGTACTCGTGCTATTTAGGTAAATGTTGTGCTGTTTCACCAGATTTGACTGACATCTTTAAATAACAACAATTTGATTTGATGATCAGACAGCAACAAAACATATTAAGTGGCCAAGACAAAAGAATGTTATTATGATAGGCATTCTAGGGATTAAGGAATGCATTCAGCTTACATAATTTGAGAAATTATTGGCATACGTAAAACCTATTTAAAACAGCATTTATCGTATTCAAAAGCGTTGAGCATCATTGATTCCCAGCCCTCTGAAGATTGAAAAATAAAAATACCTGGGTGTTAATCCATGGATTATCTTTGAAAATGAGAAATATATTTTTGGATTACATGGTGTAATCTTAAAGTAAACAAAATGTTTTAAAGTGTATTGATGTTTTTTGGATGAAAAACATAAGCGAAATTCATGAAAAAAATCCCCCGATTCATTCTACAAACAACTCGCCCTCCTTTCAAGAACAAGAAAACAAGATGGCCGCCCAAAAGTTAATCAGCTCTAGTACTTGATATCCTCTATCATTTGTGTAAATTTGAAGGAAATCGATGAGCGGTTTTCCTGAAATGGCGATGACAAGATTTTTCGAAAAACCTTCAAAATGGCCACCAGAAAACAAGATGGCCACCCAAAAGTTAATCAGCTCTAGTACTTCATATGCTCTATCATCTCTGCGAATTTGGAGAAAATCTGATGAGCAGTTTTCCTTAAACGGCGATAACAAAAAGCGGGACGATCACGATCACGACCACGATCACGACCACGACCAGTATGACGACTATATCCGACCGATGGTGTGATAAAAATCATACAATACTGTATACTAGTAAAAGTTACTTGACTAGAAATAAAAAATTGCCAATGTATAATTTATAACTTTTTGTAGAATTGGGAAGACATTGCCCCAATCAGACATGCAATGAACATCAAAAGTGGAGACAGACTCTTCACAATTGCATCATGTGGTGCCAATGCTATGACCCTTCTTCTTGATGACCCTGCTGATGTCGTGGCCCTTGAATTATCCATTCCACAGCTACATTTGGCAAAGTTACAAGCAGCTTGCATTAAACATCTGTCATACCAAGATTTCATTGACTTCACTGGAGTCGACAGGGAGAATGTAAAACCTGAAGAGCGAGTCAGAATATACAAAGCCATTAAAGGAGCCCTTGAACCACCAACCCAAGAGTACTGGGACGCTCATATGGAAGCTATTCAATTTGGTGTTATGCACTGTGGCATTTTTGATACCAAAAAACGTACTGCAGCCTATGATTTATTCTTTGTTGCTTTGGATCAAACAGACATCCAAAGGTTCATATCCATGGGAGATGATATGAAGGAGCAATCTGATTTTTTTGAGAATGTAATGAACACAAAATATTTCCGAAGGGCGATGAAAAAGTTAGTTCACTGTCTCATGTCTGATTTCAACTTTTCGATCTATCCTGATGAGGACTATCCAACCATCTTTGGCAGGAGAATGGAAGAGATTTGCAAGAATATCCCAGCGAAAAGAAACCACTGTATAGAGTACATGCTAACAGGTGGCTACTCGGGGAAATACAACCTACGAGATTATCAAATTAAAGAGAATTTCCCCATTCTGAAAGAGAGGGTAGAACGTATGCAATGGGTACAAGGTGAACTCACTGATTGGCTCAGAAAATATCCGGCGTCAAAGCAACAAATGTTTGATGGTGTATGTCTCTCAAATATATCAGATTGGTTAGTGCATGAAAACCATAACTCTGCAATTCGGTCAGCCGGGAAAATCTGCAAACAGGGAGGGCGAATTGTGTTTTGGAACGGGAAAGGCATGCCTAAGTACTGGCCCGAAGAGATGATAGATACAGTCATCAAAGTGGAGCATGAGCTTGAAGCAGAGTCAGTTAAATATGATAGGATGCCATGGTGGGAACCACTCAGAGTGGCAACCGTCTTATAATATAAGAAACAATGAACTCAACTCAATTTAAGAATAGTGTGGTACATATGATTTTGGAAGAGTAACTCATTTTATAATGACAATGAACTTTTATCAACTATTATACATTGTACAAATATTGTGGTATATACGGATTTAATGGTCATTTCTTAATTTGAATTTGATAAACTAACCCATGTTGGGTGTTCAATTATACACATTTATGTAAGGTTGATACCTAATAAAAAGGAAATTAAAAATAATTGTGAAGTTAATTCTTTCCCAATAATCGAGAATTGTGATCATCATAGATTGCTGCTAAAAATCATGAAATATCAACCATTTATCTCAGACTTTTCTTCTGTCCATGATAAGTCATGTATGTATTTGTACTTCAGATGGGGTCAAGTGGAAGTGGGAAGGATGTAGTGATAATATATCATATGAATCAAATTCTATAAATTCCTTCTTGATTAGAGCTCCAACGTCCCCAGGTTTCAGCATATAAATTCTAACCAAATTCCTCAACTGATATTTGAGATCAAAGATTACATTGTGGCCATTTTGAATTGAGCAGCCATCTTAAAAATTCCTTCTCAAGCAGAGGTCCTACACCCATAAGCCTACTTGATCAAAATACCTCATCTCTTATTTGGGTTATCGCCTGGACAAATGAACGGACAAATGCATGGATGAATGAAGGCATGGACAGAAAACACAGATGGACAAATGCAAAGATGGATGGACGGCTTTTCCATATCCCGCGAATTTAGTTCGATGGGATAAAAATTAAGTTCAATGGTACTATTATATCCAACAATGCTACTGGACTTAATCTATTTAATGTAAGGTAAATGCATTTTGGTCAATTTATTGTGTAATATGCTTCACTAGCAATTGTGTACCTTCAGTTATGAATGGGTTCCTCATATAGAAGGTCATTGCATTCCTGTATGTGTTCAGTAACCGTGTTACCCCGGCAACTGTTATTCTGGGACGTCCATCTGACTCCAGCCTCAGACTCACTCTTTTCCAGCGGTTGTCTGTCAAATCTGCAAAAACAAATAATTTCACATTATCATTCACCTATGGTATATACCATATTATTATATTTTATTTCATTAATATATTATAAAACTTATTTCTCTTTTTGTATTGGATAATGAAACATACTCATCAATACATGGGTGAACATTTGTACAAGAAATCATTTATAGCTGTATCTGCATATAATACAAAAACTTTGTGACTTCTGGGCCAAAATACGGTTGTCAATAGAACTATATCAAGTATTAGCCATAAAAACATACACAAGTCAATATGAATTGATTGATCTTACTTTTCTCAATGAGCAATCTCTCCTCCTTGATATCAAACATGACGTTAAACCTCAGTACGAACTCATTCGTATTCTGTACCTCCATCTGAAGGAAGTTATTCAGATGATCGTGGATGAAGATCAGGAGGCCATCAGAGGCGGAGGTACGGAAGCCAAACTGGATGTCCGAGGAGATGAGGTCAGGTTCAATGGGCGATTTGTAGATGAGGAAGCTTCCAGGGGAATGTAGGCTTAGTAGGGCAGAGTTGATATCTGAAATTAAAGGGTTAATTGAAAATGTTCAAGGTTATTATTAACTAAATCAATCTGGACCATTTCAATGGATGGTTAAGGCCCGTAGCCAGCTTTTGCCAAGGGAGTTTAGATTTCAAAAAATTTCAGGGGGTTCACTTTGACAACTTTGGCCCAACACCACTCGAAAACTGCTCAGAATGGTGATTTTGAAAAAATGATTAGTTAGGAGGTGGTTCGCTTGAACACCCCAACCCCCCTCCTATGCTATGGGTATGTGGTTGTACATATAGATATACTGTATATCACTTAAATAGATAATATATAAGATGTATATAATCTTAAAGCCGGACACTGAAATAATTGTACAATTCAATGCATTTCGAAATCAGCAAATATTATAAATAACATTACAGAATCCATTAACATATCATTTTGAGATTTCTTACTTAGTTCACAGTTCTTGCCAAAATGTGACATTGGATCTCTACACAAACAGAGATAGCTGTTCCATCGTTCAATACATTGGGCCTGATTCATACAGGGGGCAGTGTCACATGCTGAATGTATGCCTCTCAACACACCAATTGTCCTGCAAGATAATTAGGATTGATTCAGGTATTGTATGGGTAATTTGGATAGGTAACAACCAGGTGTTACAGATGTAACAGATGTTACTGGTTACAGATGAAGAGATATCCCAAACTTAATAGATGTATGTACATGTACAGGGTGGGCCAAAAAAAAGTTCACCCTTTTTCATTTTAATCTCATTTTTTTTATTTTTGATGCAATTCCTTAAAAAATTGATATGTAGATAACTGAGACATTTCTAAACAAGGTTGATATATAACATTAGGTGTGTCTTTGGCTGTTTTGTTTTTAAAGTAAATGTTCAATATGTCCTCCTTGTTCCTGCACAACCAGTTTTAGTCTATGACGCCATTTATTTATTCCCGCGTTAATTGATTGTTGTGATAATTGTTCCCAACATAAAGTTATTCTTTGTTGGAGTTCTTGAACTGAATGGATGGGAACACTATGAACATGTTTTTCTAGTTCACCCCACACAAAATAATCCATAACATTGAGATCAGGGCTATTTGGGGGCCATAAGTCAGGGGGGATTAAGGGGTGCCCAATGACTCTGAGCTTGCAATAAAATCACCAGTATTAGTATTCCCAACTCTGAGTACCCCTTTTCCCTGCACTATAAAGCATGAACAGAATTAAAATGGCATCTTGTACAAATTATATTATGTAGAATTTAATAACTTATTCATTTGTAATTATATCATAAGTGTATTACATAAAACCATCAAATTATTATCAATATTGTGAACGTAAAAATGAGGAAAATTGGATAAAACCATGGATTTTCAGTAACTTGTTGACCAACTCATCTATGGTAGTATCGGGTGTTTATAAGAGTACTTAATTGTTTAAAGAGGTGTTTATCATCAACTCTGACTATTAATTAACACTCTACTTTGTAATATTTTGCATTAACTGACATAAAAATTATATTTACCATGATAACTTCTTTTCAAATTTCCTTCCTTTTTTTGAAATCCGCCATTTTGTAAATGAAGTGAATTTCTGTTTTTTTTTCATGACACACCATAAATATATTTTAGGTGTCATGACAACACTGTTGCATAAATTTCACTCAAATCCTAACAACATGTACAGAAATGTCTGAGCTATATACATATAAATTTTTAGAGGCATTGCATCAAAAATAAGAAAATTAGATTAAAATGAAAAAGGGTGAACTTTTTTTTGGCCCACCCTGTATATGCGTTAAATTATATTCAAGACCCTTTTGATGATTCCCATATAAATTGGGTACATTGTTTCCCATTTTCAATTTAGAATATCAAATATTTTCTTCTGGAAGCTCTTGGAAGTTATACCACTTCATATATCCAGTTTATGTACTTACTGGGGTGTGATCATTTCTGCTAGGTTGTGATAGATGTTATTGTATTTAAGGCCTTTCACACTGCCCATCAAGCCTTCTCCCATAACTGCCCTGCAAAAACAATAAAACTCATTATGACAGCTCCCCTAGAGGGTCACAATCCTTCTCCCATTTAACATGCTAAATCAGATCAGGGTCAGGGTAAACTGAAGCCGCTAGGACAAATTGTGATTTTACTGCTAGATGGAGTCCTGCCTTTTAGTTTAAAAAGATCTGGGGGATTCAAACATGGCTCATGGTCAGCTCAGAAATATCACCAGGTCGAGTGCCAGCTGTGGTAAGGCATTGATATATGGCATGGATGTGCTTTTACATAAAATAATGTTCATCCTCAACTTTTTTGAATTCCTAAATTAGTATGGGAGCAAAGGTCATTCCGTTTCCTTTTTAGAGGCGAGCTAAGCGACATATGTTTTCATGAACTATACGTGATACTTACCAAGAAAAATGATGTTGGCAATTCTGAATCCGCGACGACGTTGCTATGGTAACCAAGTAAATATGCCACGCCCACTTTTAGGGTCTCTTTTCAGTGTATGGCCCATATCTGTGCCATTATTGCTCAGATTTAGTTGAAATTCACACCAAATGGAAGGTAATGGATAATGCAATCAAGAAATATTGAGTTGGCAATTCTGAATCCGATATGGCGTTGCTATGGTAACAAAGTAAATATGCCACGCCCACTTTTCGGAGCTATTTTCAGTGTTTGGCCCCTAACTTTGTCATTATTGCTCAGATTTAGATGAAATTTGCACCAAATTAAAGGTAATCGATAGAGCAATCAAACAATTTTTAAAATATGCAAATATGGTGATTTGCCTCTCAACTATGACGTCATAATTGTTTGTTCTTGCATATTTTATTTTAATAATAATGTATAAATCTGGGAAATCATTGTCTTTAAAATGGTCAGTATAATGCTTTTAATTAGTTTAGTTTATTTCTTTTAGTTGACTTTATTAGTTTATTTAATTCATACATGTATGATCATAAAAATTGAATAAATATAATGAAAGTGTCCAATTCACACTGTTGCTTTGGTGACAGCATGTAACAAAACTATCTGCTGTAAACTAGAATTCTTTAGGAAATGTTACATTTTGACCAGTTGACTGACATGTATTCTTTTTAAAATTTGGTGACAGAAAATAATCTAATAACCATAGTTATCAAATTTGGATTGTGTTATATTATGATGTCATAATGGCAATTTTTAATAAGGGGCGCAGCCAGCTTTCGGTCAGAAGGGGGCCTGCGATCGTGGCACAGGCAACCCAAAAGTATTTATAAGATAGGTTTTAAATATTACAAAGATTGATGCAACTTCCTTCAAAATTTAGCAAAAAGCTTCAAGTTGAAAGTCTTCTTTTATCTAATGGTTCTATTTTTATTGGTTATTAGGGGGTGAGTGAACCCAGCGCACCCCATTCCTCTAAGCACTCCCTATGTTAATCCAATATGATGTTGCTATGGTAACCATTAGGTGAATATGCTAGGTGAATCAGACAATACATGAATAATGTAGATTGGCTGACTGACATACTAAGTACCTGTTATGGTATCATAGCTCCTCTTTGTGATTATTTTCTTGAAATAAAGTAAAATTGCTCAAAATGATTCCACTGTAATAGACATTGGTACTAACTATTCCATTAATCGCCTAAAAACACTTGACAAACATTTTACAAAACACGAAATGTAATAATAAATTTCACAAATCCCCCGGATTTAATTGACAATTTCGCTAAGATTAATTTTTGCGATTTTACCAAGCACGAAACTAAATAGCAGGCGAAAAATACCAGGAGTACAGTACCTGTTATGGTATCATAGCTGCTTTTTGTGATTATCTCTTGAAATAAGGTAAAATTGCTCAAAATGGTTCCAAATTGGAACCTTGTGCTTTGACATTCACCATAAAATGAGGCCAAAGCTGACAAACTATGATTGATTCCATTTCTTTACAAGTATGAAGTATGGAAGCCCCTGATTTCAGATATGCTGTTGGTTTTGAAATCAGACATCCGACCATTCGGTTCAAAATTGGTAAATTATGTCTACATGACCTAAAAGATGAAATAGGCTAAAGTATTGACCTATACCAAAATGATATTATTTTTTATGTAAATTGACATTGAACATATTTTTCGGATTTCAAAACCATTAGCAGCTATTAATGCGACATTGGATATGCCAGTCAGTCAGTCAATTGACATAATCCATGCATTGTCTGAATCTTTAGCTTCAGTTTGGTGAATATTTCATATACGCTCAAGCTGTAATCATGACAAAGATAGAAGCAAAACTTTGGAAAAGCCCTGAACAGCGGTGATGGCATATTCACCTAGTTACCATAGCAACATCATATTGGATTAACAGGCATTGCCAGGTGGTGCGCCCCTATGAACAAAAAATATAACCATTAAATAGAAGAAGAGCTTTAAAATCATTTTGACTTGAAGATTCTAGCTCAGTTTTGAAGGAAGTTGCATCAATTTTTGTAAAATTCAAAACAAATCTTAAAAACATTTTTGGGTTGCTTATGCTTCAATTCCATTCCCCCCTCTCCTAACTGAATGCTGGCTGCACCCCTGATTAATAATTGCCATTATGGCATCATAATATAACACAATTTAAATTGAATAATTTTCTATAGTTATAAGATTATTTTCTGTCATCATATTTTAAAAAGAATACATGTGTCAGTCAACTCGTCAAAATGTAAAATTTCCTAAAGAATTATTTTTACATCAGATAGTTTTGCTACGTGCTGTAACCATAGCAACAGCATAAATTGGAGATTTTCATTATATTTTTAGATTTATTCAGTTTTTATGACCATGCAAGTATGAATGAAATAAAATTATAAACTCAACTAAAAGAAAGAAATTAATTAACTAGTTAGAAGCATTACTGACTATTTTAAAGACAATAATTTCACAGATTAGAACATCATGATTAAGATAAAATATGCAAGAACAAACAGTTATGACGTCATAATCAATATGCAAATCATCCTATTTGCAAAGTTTACTAACTGTCTGATTACTCTATCTATTACCTTTAATTTGGTGCAAATTTCATCAAAATCTGAGCAATAATGGTGGAGATGGGGGCCAAACACTGAAAAGAGCCCCTAAAAATGGGCATGGCATATTTACTTGGTTACCATAGCAACGGTATCGCAGATTCAGAATTGCCCATAATATTTCTTGATCATACTTTATACAAGGGGCGATCCATATATTCTGATAAAAATGCTCTCATTTTGTGATTTTTTCACATATTCCTTTCATTTTTTCAGAACATGTAGATTATGTAATTACACCTATGATGCAAAAATATTTTAGCTGTATCTTAGATTAATTTTGAAATAAGATTGCCATGGTAACCTGTATTGAGGGTAGGCAGGTCAGTTAAATTATAACGTCTAAAATAGATAAATTTGTTAATTTAATCATTCCCCGGTACCTATTTTAAGCAGATCAAACGCATCTTCCAGTCATTGTCAACTATTCATTGATCTGTTCCATACCCCTGTTGACCTTGTTTGATAATTTATACAGTGGGATAGCTATCTTTTCATAAGTAACATCTCAATTTATCGTAGTGTTATTCTCTGTCCGCAAGCTCTTCTTGCAACCAGATTGCGGATGATCTTTAACAGTGACCATGCTTTCCTCTTTACAATACTACCTATATATTCTTTATGCAGATATAACACCTTGCCCATGCACTTTATGAGTCCATGTATGTCTCTGACAGTGTCCTCTTACTTATTCTTGAAAGATAATCAAATCTAATGGTATACCCTAATGTATCCGTTAATGTGACACTCTGCATCAGCCACATTAACCTAATCTGACAATTTGATTTTTGGTGTGTCTCATAACATGTAATGTCAATTGGCCCATTCTGTCCTACAATGCTATTGTGATTTGTTGTGATGTTATAGTGAGCACATATAAACATTTGTTTAGCAACAAACAACGAGTAATAATACCAAACTTTTTTAGAAAAATGCATGATTTCCGCATGCTTTAAAATAATTAAAATAACAAGTTATTTTGATATTTATATGTTATAATAAATTGACCTGTCTACCCTTAATACAGGTTACCATGGCAGCCTTATCTCACTGATAATTTACGATAGCTATAATATTTTAGCATTGTATGTGTAATTACATAATCTACATTTTCTGAAAAAATGAGAGGGATATGTGAAAAAATTACAAAATGAGAGCATTTTTATCAGAATATATGGATCGCCCCTTGTACATGTAAAGAAATAGAATGAAAATCAATCATAATTTTCAGCTTTGACCTACTTTTATGGTGAATGTCAACGGACCAAAGGTACCAATTTGGAATCATCTTGAGCAATTTTACCATATTTCAAGAAAATAATCACGAAAACAGCTATGATAGTCATACCATAACAGGTATGCCAGTCTGTCAATCTACATTCCCCATGCATTGTCTGATTCTTTAGTTTCCATTTGATGAAAATTTCATATACACCACAGCTATCATCATGACAACTGATAGAATCAAAACTTTGGAAAAGACCTGAAATTGGGGACGGCATATTCACCTGAATACCATAGCAAACATAGGCATAGCCAGGGGGTGTGATGGGGGCACCCCCACCCCCTCCCATTAACCAATTAAAATAGAACCATTAGAGAGAAGAAGAGATTTAAAATGATTTTGACTTGAAGCTTTTTGTAAAATTTAAGACAAATTAAACATTTTTTGAGTCGCTTATGCCGAGATCGCACCCCCCCCACCCTGATTGAAAGCTGGCTGCGCCCCTGATTGAAAGCTGGCTGTGCCCCTGATTAATAATTGCCATTGTGACATCATAATATAACACAATTTAAATTAGATAAGTTTCTATCGTTATTAGATTATTCTCTGCCATCAAATTTTCGAAGGAATACATGTCAGTCAACTGGTCAAAATGTAACATTTCCCAAAGAATTATTTTTACAGCAGATAGTTTTGAAACATACCGTTACCATAGCAACAACTTAATTGGATATTTTCATAACATTTTTTCAATTTTTCATGACCATACATGTATGAATGACATAATCTAATAAACTCAACGAAAATAAAGCATTACTGATCATTTTAATGACAATAATTTCCCAGATTTATACATCATGCTTAAAATTAAATGTGCAAGAACAAATGGTTATGACGTCATAATTAATCTGCAAATCACCTTATTTGCATATTTTATAAACTGTTTGATTGCTCTTTCCATTACCTTTCATTTGGTACAAATTTCACCTAAATCTGAGCAATATTGACGAAGATAGGGACCAAACACTGAAAAGAGCCCCTAAAAGTGGGTGAGGGATATTTACTTTGTTACCATAGCAACGCCATATCGGATTGCATTATCCATTACCTTCCATTTGGTGTGAATTTCATCTAAATCTGAGCAATAATGACAGAGATAGGGGCCATACACTGAAAAGAGCCCCTAAAAGTGGGCGTGGCATATTTACTTGGTTACCATAGCAACGCCGTCGCGGATTCAGAATTGCCAACATCATTTTTCTTGATCAGTATCACGTATAGTTCATGAAAACATATGTCGCTTAGCTCGCCTCTAAAAAGGACACGGAACCTCTTATTTGGACTTTTGCTCCCACACTAAATTCTATTATATGAGATATGGGATTAATAATCCTAGACAAATTGCTGTATAGATCCCCAAAGATTCCATACTTCAAACAGAGCCAAATCAGAGGCTTATCACAACTACATATAACTTTGTGAGCTGTATTATGTTACTATAGCATACCCTGGAGGAGCTCCAATGTACAATGGGCCCGTAAATCCTGATGTTTCCTCTGTGTTTCTCTTCCTTCTATCCCCTCTCTCATCTTTCAATTTCAGCAGCTCTTCTAAGTCAACTAGTTGGCGATATCCATTTACAGCAAACCTAGCATTGTATTGGTCTTGTTCTATGATGACTCTGTTCCAGCGGCCATCATTAAGAGGGAGGTGAGACTCCAAGGTTACCTTGTCAGAAACTTCCTGTAGCTGGAACTGTATCTCAATATTCTTTCCTGAAATATAAGGCATTCAGTTATTTGTTGCACACACCACCTGTCAATTTTTAATGTCAATGTTAGTTTTATCTTTGATTTTCAAGGCATCAGTTGCTGTTTCTATTTTTTCCAAGTTGTCATTTATTTAGCTTCGTTCCAATTGTTTTTTTCAATTATTGTTGTCGCTTATTGCAGTCAAAATGTTGAAACTTAAACATTTAGTAAAATGATTATGTATGCTCCTACTTTGTTTTAACGTGATGCTGAGAAAGCTGCCCTTGTTTGGACCTGGAGACTGATACAAGATGACTCCATTCTCTTGACGTGTTTTGAAATTGAACACAAGAGCGCCATCTATCCATGTAGGTAAAGCCAGACTTGAGTTGCCCATCGTGAATGTCACTGCACCAGATCCCTTTGGCTCTAACTCTGAAATCATTATTATAAGAGTCAAACATTGATGTCTCATTTTTATGTAATATCAAAAGATGTCACCACCATTTGTTACAGACCCCAATCACCAATCGCCAACCACTTTTTGGTGGTGACATAAAAACACACACTTTTATCAAGTTTAAAAACACTGAAATTCAATATTAGCCCTATTTATAAAATTGAGAGCCAATGTGCCTTTCATTAAATACATTTTATTGAAACTTAGATTTAATCTTACTTTTGCCAGAACATTTTAATGGCCCAAGTGTGACAGTTGCATTTCCGTATCCTTGCTGCTTGAAGTTCATCTGTGTTATAGGAACACTTCTCTCACTTAGTAGAGTGCCATTATCACTACCAGCTTCTATAGAGTCTGAAACATATGACAGTCAGGTAAGAATTGTTGTTAAATGCTTTGCAACATGGAGGTTTATCGGAAATGATTCATTCTAGTTTGTTTGAAGAAAAGAAAAGAAAAAACATACACATAGTATTATTGAACCCTTTATTTCTAAATGTTTGACCCCAGCTTCATGTAGCGCAGAAATAAACTAGATTGCAACTGCAAATAACATAGAACATACCTAGATCACAGCTGCATGAAGCCTAGACCTTACCTAGATCACAACTGCATGTAACACAGAACTTACCTAGATTACAGCTGCATATAACACAGAACTTACCTAGATCACAGCTGCATGTTGCACATTCAAGATTGCCATCTACACCAGTGAAGCAGCCACATGGTTCACTGTCGCCTTCAGCATGTCCAAGAGTCTGAATGACCTCCCCAAACACTGACACAAACCAGGTATGCCTGTCTGAAAAACTGAAAAATATTTGATCACTTAGCTATTCTGAATTTACTGGTTTTAAGCAGACTTAATTCAAAAATCTTTAGAAATCTGATCAAATTGAAACATTTTTGATAATCATTGTAATGTATCAGCATGAATTAATGAAGAAAATGATTCAAGACAGGTGTTCTGAACATATTGAATGTTAATGATGATGTTTACCTTAAAGGTGCACTGTTGCAGCTGTAATATACAGTCTGTTGACACTGCCTTGAGCCCTCCACTAGTCCCTTTAACATGGCTGTTGTCATCCCTCTATATCTAATATTATATCTCCTATCATCCATCTCTGGTCCTCGTACAATCTCACCCATAGGCATATTGTGTTCAACTACAGTCACCCCACCTTGAGGGCTCATTTCACAGTTGACATATGTGAAATCTAATGGGCCGTTGTTGTCTACATCAATGGGGTAGATTCCAGATATAGTGGCTCCCTGTTCCCAGTAGTCATGGCAGGTTGGTTGGTGTAAGGCTGTAACATTCAATACTAAACACATTCAAGTGAAGCCCATCTGTGTCACTGTTGGTTGCTGTAGTACATGCTGGCTGCATGGGCCTCCTAATAATCTACCATGTCCAAATGAACTAGTTCAATACTAAAATAGCATAATTGTGTGATGAAATCCAGTGTAACCAGAACAACGGCAACGCCAAAGCGTAGCGAATCCCATCGAACATTTTTCAAAAGGGGCACCTTCTACCAAAAGTGTCATTAGACAGTGTGCCATGCTTATAATATTCACATACCAAATATGAACAAAATCGCTCCACTACTTTTCGAGTTATAGTAAAATACGTTAAAATGGTGGCCATTTTGAAAAATGGCCGCCTCCTACTAAAAGTCTCATTAGACAGTGTGCCATGCTTATAGTATTCACATACCAAATATGAACAAAATCGCTCCACTACTTTTCGAGTTATAGTAAAATACGTTAAAATGGCGGCCATTTTTCAGAATGGCCACCTTCTACCAAAAGTGTCATTAGACAGTGTGCCATGCTTATACGTATTCACGTACCAAATATGAACAAAATCGCTCCACTACTTTTCGAGTTATAGTAAAATAAGTTAAAATGGCAGCCATTTTTCAAAATGTCCGCCATTTTTCAAAATGGCCCCCTTCTACCAAAAGTGTCATTAGACAGTGTGCCATGCTTACAGTATTCACATACCGAATATGAACAAAATCGCTCCACTACTTTTCGAGTTATAGTAAAATACGTTAAAATGGCGGCCATTTTGAAAAATGACCGCCCTCTACCAAAAGTGTCATTAGACAGTGTGCCATGCTTATACGTATTCACATACCACATATGAACAAAATCGCTCCACTACTTTTAGAGTTTTAGTAAAATAAGTTAAAATAGCGGCCATTTTTCAAAATGTCCGCCATTTTTCAAAATGGCCACCTTCTACCAAAAGTGTCATTAGACAGTGTGCCATGCTTATAGTATTCACATACCAAATATGAACAAAATCGCTCCACTACTTTTCAAGTTACAGCAAAAATCGTAAAATAACGAGAAAAGGCCGCCATTTTTCAAGATGGCTGCCATGTGATTTTTTAGTATCTACATTTCTAGCTTTATTTATGTCCTATATAATTTATTTTACATTTAAAACATATTGTATTACAGTTTTACATATTGCAACTAAATTACTGTAAAATCGGCACTAAAATGGCCACCATTTTGAAATGAGCGGCCATTTTGAAAATCGGCTTTCGAGCAGAACTTCTACCCCCATAGGGTATATGTATACAAAATATGAATAAAATCGGGCCAACGGTATTTGAGTTATTGCCCGGACGGACGGACGGACGTACGTACGTACGGACGGACGGACGTACGTACGGACGGACGGACGTACGTACGGACGGACGGACGGAGGCGTTCCCTATATCCCTCCGAACTTCGTTCGATGGGATAATGATCAGGAAGATATATGACATGAAGATAGAGCATAATGAACAATTCTAAAATAATGTGATACAATTCCAAACCAAATATAGAATAAATTAAAGTATAGTTTCATAGTATAATATCAAGTCTAATGTGACCAATTATACGATTGGTCATATTTAGAAAAAACCAAAACAGAACCCTTCACTCTTATCTTTGCATGACAAAACACATGTACATGTAGATGTAATGTTAATCAGATCTTTTTCCTAAAATGGATTTTTCCTAGATAAACAATCAACAAGAACTATCAATATCTAAGTCATCCCAGACTTTGGTATGTTTTATGGTCCAAATATTACACTGAAGTGAAAATTTAAGTCAAAAAACATTCTTAGAAAAATGTCAATAGATTCATGGAATTATTCATCGATTCCTCCTGAGAGTACCAAAATTTATTTTAAATTTATAAGAAAATATTCAATGTTTGTTTGACATACTTTGCTAAAAAATATATTTTCAGGAAAAATCAGAGTTGAATGAATAATATAGGTACATGTATATCGATTGTGAGATAAATTTTCTTAACTTAATTTTCATTCTTTACTTTAAGTTAGAGAAATTGTATGCAAATCTCAGCATGCAAAACAAGTAAGACCTCTTTGAAACTAAAATAAAATGTGCATCCACAAAAAATAAAAATGCTGAAAATAATTGTTTATGTTCATAAATAAAGCCAAACAAATGAACAACATCTAACACAACACTTAACTAAATAAACAACCCAACTTATAACTATCAAATAACTAAACTTAATATAAAGCGCATCAAGCAAAAGAAGCATGAAGATGATATGGTTACTATGGTTACGTGTGCAAGATGATGGAGGTTTCATGCAGCCAGCATGCAGTGGTGCAAGGCAAAGTGAAGCTGTGGTGTTGTACTGAATCATATGAATCAAAGATTAAAAAAAGTTGTCAGATTTTTATTTTTCAAATATTCGAAATTTCCTGGCATTTTCAAATAAAAGTTTATAAAACACAGATCATTATTAGATTAAACAAATTTATTTTATATATTTGTTTTCTATTTTTTATGTTTTGCTTCCCCCAAATGTGGCTATCATCCATCTTTTTATTAGAATAAACTTGATGTCTTAGATAATTTCTGGAGCCCTGCATTTAGAGGATGAGATTCTGTGAATCATGCATCATCACTCTTTATTTTCCCAACTGCATTTGAGGCAGAGAAAGAGTAACAGAGAGATGGATTCAAGAATACATACTTTATAGGGAATTAAGCATCTCCATTTAAGCATTTCATTGACTGAAAGCCCCATAAATTAAGAAATGCCTAGATCTTAACTATAGGATTCGATGACCTGACAATACATGCACCACAGACACTTCACTTGGCCTTGCAATATCAATACATCATAACTTACCAAATTGACATGTTTTCCCTTCATACCCAGTGTCTGTACAGTCACATTTCTTGCCATGCCAATCAGTGACACATTTCCCCGAATGTTCGCATGTTGTGTCATTAAGACAGAAATCTGTTAGCCTGCATCCATTCAGCATGGCTCCATGTACAACATTTGGTGTGTGGACTATGTACATGGGGCCTAGCATCACTCCTTGGAGAAATATGTTCCTCATACAGCCAATAAATCCAGCTAAAACCATCAGAAACATTCTCAAGATTTTATCAATAAACAAGTCAGTATCTGGTCTTAATGATTGAATCATCCAAAACTTTTGTACAGTGATTAAAAACGTGTGTATTCCTGCGTTTATTTCACGTACATGTGTATTATTTCATACATTTCTGTTTACTATCATATTGAAATTTACTCAACATTATGTCAGATGGTGTTGTAAAGCCTAAGCACTTATGATTACAAAAGAGGATAACAAAGAAAAGGATCAATGGACTGCAGAGATTTATTTCCTTAATGAGCCAAGGCCAGTAATTCAATTTTCTATAACATCTCCAATAATATGTTGAGAGCTGACATGACAAGCAGTAGTTACTACATTTGATGCAATAATCCTATTAATTCCAAATTAAGAAATTGCTGCAGTCAGTAATTGAGTACTTTCTCTCCTTATGTTCTATTATGGCTCTCTATTGGCAGATGTATAGGGATATACATGTACATTGAAAAAAGTTCAATAACAAATAAAAAATACCTGATGAGTTTGCAAGTGATTATATTAAAACTAATGGCAAACCATATTTTGAGTCCAAAAATTTGTTTTGGAAACTTTTTAAAATGTTTTTGTCTTGAAAGGGGCTACAAATGTATATTGAAAATAATGGGATACCACATTTAAGAGTTTCCAAGAATTTGATCTTTGGAAAACTTTGTCTTGAAAGATTCAGTCATACCTGAATATTCATCTTTCCCATAGCCAACATAGATGTCACCCTGTGTCTTCACTGGACCTTGCATTAGACTGACTTTTTTCGTTATGCCATCTACCACAAGTGTCACCATCCTGGAGATAAATAATTTATGCATTACTGATCAACATAAAAAACTGCAAAGTAGAACACTTGCCATTGTGCAACTGTCATTAAATGTATACTTCCAGTATATGTGCCATTATAATGTTGTCAATTCCTTACAAGCCTATATTCAATCATACTGTGCAGTCAAAAATCACAATGGCTCAAATTCTGCCTGTAGTATATAGCTGTAAAATCAGCTGAAATGATCAAATGGTAGTGTGACCCTCTTACTATTTCATGTATTTCAGTGTAGTAAGTTTTGTTGTGAAGTGAAAATGATGTAAAAACAACCAGTATCAGCATATCTGTTTCACTTACCCAGAAGAAAAGAGGAACTGCAGTTGATGCCAGTTGTCATCATTGAGTCGTTTCCCAATCCTTGCCTTCTGTTGATGGTTCTTATTGTCCACCTGGTAGAACAGGTTAAGCTCTCCACTGATCAACCACACCTATATAAACAATACCAACAGTGTTATTGTTAATGCCTCGGTCTAAATAAATGATTTTGGTTGGATCATTGAAAGTTAACAATATTGACTGTAGACTGCTATAGTTTTCACCTGACCATTTGGTAAGAACTGTTGACTGCTACCAGAGTTGACAATATATCACTAAATATTACAGACAGCATATATATATTTTTCATTGAACCCATTATATGGGTTTCTCATTTTTGGCTTTATAGATTGTAGGGCACCCAATAATGAGTATATGGAGTATATTCGGTGTTCAGATTTTTAGAATAGAACAAATGGCATAATAATGGCAAAATTTTAAAATGCAAATAAGTTCACCTCTACATGCCCAAGCTGAGGTCTTGCTATACTTTTGATCTCAGTGTACAGCATGATACCATCTGAAGAATTAGAATTTTAAAATGCAAATAAGTTCACCTCTACATGACCAAGCTGGGGTCTTGCTATACTTTTGATCTCAGTGTACAGCATGATACCATCTGAAGAATTAGAATTTTAAAATGCAAATAAGTTCACCTCTACATGACCAAGCTGGGGTCTTGCTATACTTTTGATCTCAGTGTACAGCATGATACCATCTGAAGAATTAGAATTTTAAAATGCAAATAAGTTCACCTCTACATGCCCAAGCTGGGGTCTTGCTATACTCTTGATCTCAGTGTACAGCATGATACCATCTGACTTCAATGTCCGGAACTCTAAACTCATTTGGAGAACACTCAGTGAGTCGATGGGTAATTTCAACATTGATTTGGTGCTTGGGAACGTGATTGACACATCATCTATAACCTGACAGCCATATTGGATTTTTGTCCCAAAATAATCACTGGAAGGATTCCTCAATCGAACCTGTAAGTAGAAATTTAAATATTTGTTGAAAAATACATGTTAATAGTCATATTTAATGTATATTATACATGCGATTTATTACAAGCTTGACATTTAAACAAATGAGACTTGGTTCAAATATCTATAACTACCCATAATGTTACCGATAGCCCAAAAGTACCCGTAATGAATACCTGATCGAACCTAAGTATTTTTGTTAAGGAGTTATGTCATATAATAGGTAATAAATTACTGTAAAACTATCTGCACTTAATCATTTTCTATAAAAACATAAAATCTCTTGTAACTTTTAGTAATACGATATAGACAATCAAATAGGAGAGGACTTAGAATAGGCAACAGCCTCTTGTCCAATTACCTGTTCCAGAATTGAGATGTCGTTGTAGTAGACATTACGAAGACATCCAATAAAGGGTGTCCTTGGAGTTGTCATAACTCCTGAAAAATATAATAAGAGTGTCAAATAAATGTTTTATGTACAGTACACCCTACACAATATTATAAGACAAGAAAAACTAAAACAGATGCAAAATTTCACCACTTGCCATTTGTTACAGATGTCGAATGATGAATGCTAACCATGGAACACCATCCACAAAAAACAATACCAATTCAAGTAATCAAGAAAGCAACAAACATAATGCTCCATGAAGGATTGAGTGTAACAAATGTTTCATCCATATATAATATTTGATAATGTTTTTCTTTAAGCCAACTGGTTATTTCAGCATGCAAATGAGGATAACATGATAACTGGTCTAGCTCAAAAAAAGTAGGTCCAAGATCATTGAACATTCCATACTATTCATCCTAAGTTCAACCGTACCTGAGATGGCTGATTGTTTTATGCCTCCAATATAAACGACAGGGTCCAAGTGCACATGGAAGTGTTCCGACTCATCCATGACGTGAGTTACATTCCTTCCATCCAGCGTGACATTCACCTGGTGGTGATGATGAATCAGTGTCAGCGAATGCCATCTATAACACAAATTGGATATTTTAGAAAACAATACAACAAACATCACATTAACACAGAAGCAAAGTCTAATAATAATTATTGTGCGCTCCTATTTTTGCCCAATCATGTACATAGTAACTGCTTGGTGATATTAAAAGTTGACATGGTTTTCATTTTGACTACAGTACAGGTAATACAGTATGTCCTCAAAATATCTCATCAAAAATATTGAATGTCCATTTACTAAATCAAAGATTTACTTAAAGTATATCTGTTAGTAATCATTATATCATATAAATGCAGAAGTCTACTTTCATCAATCTCCAGTTTTGTAAAGCAATAATGTGATAAATGGTTGTCTTACTTGTTATCATTTAAATTTTGTCCTAGTTTAAACATCAGATCTAGTGCTAAGTCATGCGTAAACAATATGGATACCACGGCAACCCCATCCTTCAGTGACATCACAATATGACTAGGATGTGGATCTGTACCGGACCCATAAAATAAGATGCCATCTTTGTGTATGGTTTTAAATTCCAAGCTCACACGATTAGTTGGTGAGTGAGATTTCTCTTTGTATATCTTGTATGAGATCCATTCAAAACCCCTCATGGAAACTGTCGTAACTTCTGAAAGAAAATGAAACATTTTACAGAAAAATGGATAAATGATTATACATGTATTTAATATGTAATAATGATGACTTTATTTGTCACCTGGTACATATGCTTTACTCCTCTGCTAAGAAACATTTTCAAAATCATTTGTGACCAATACTTACGTTTTTTATCACAGAGTGCTCCTTCCCGATTGGTCCTAAAACAGTCACATGACTTGCTGATGTAATGATTTATACATGTGCCAGCCTGACATGTGGGTCGGATGTCACAGGAACTGAGGCAGCCATCTTGGATATTCCGACTGGCTGATATTGGCGGATGTAGGGGCTTAGAGTTTTCTTGTTTGAAATAGAAGCCTCCCATACATCCTATAAATGGATGACTTACACCAGATTCCAATCCTGAAAATAAAATCACAGGGCACAAATGTACATTACATGTACATATATACACAAACTCACATGGCAGTACTGCAGTAGGAGTCCTCAATATACTACTGCAGTTGACAAATCAAAAATTGACTGTGATCATGTCTAATAAAAATAAGATAATTTTATTTTATCCCATACTTAGGCGTGGTTAAGGTACACGATCATCCTATAGTCAGTTCAGGATATTGGGAGGCCCTAGGGCAGATATATTACATTTGCCTAGGGATAATCCCAATATCCTGAACCTCATATAGGATAATCTCTATTCATCATATAAAGATAAATACTTCACCCTACAGTTGTTACAGGATATTCAGATTATCCCCATAGTGAGAAAAGATATCTTCTCGCTTTTCAGACAAAATTGATAGAATAGTTATTATAAGAATGTTTTCTTTGATATACCTCCAAAGCTTATCAATGAGCTGTATGTGCCTTTGAAATTTGAGAGTCCTTCATATGCACCTCCTTTACTATAGGCATCCAGCACCTGTGTCTTAGTGACACTGTCTAGCACGATGGTCACTGCACCCAAAGGCATGTTTTGCAATATATCCATGTCATGCCATCTATCATGGTTCAAACCTACAATATACATATAAATAAATTTGTTTACTTCTTATTTTTCATTTTTTCAGTAAGGGGTATGATGCAATGAGAGAACTGATATTATTATATCTTTTAGCATTAGGATTAGCTATTCATGTATTTTCAAGTTGAAAAGGAAAAATGTAAGAAATCCATTCAAGATAACGGATGTGCACTGAACACAAAATTGTTTCTTATTTGGCAAATTTATATACAGATAAACAAATATTAATACAAAAATTAATTATCACATATTGATTATCTCACATTAGTGCAATTACATGTAGTAAGATTGGTACCCAACATGATTTTCAATGAGTTTTATAAGCGCAACACAATTAACTAAAACAATATATGTATTCTTTGGTAATTTTGGCAGGACTCCATTGTTTTTTTCAAATGTGAATAAGTTATTCCATAACATGGCTTATGGGTGCAATTGATATTCTCTTCTCTTCAAAAAATATCTAAAGTTGAGACTGCATATCATTTGAATGTAAATACAAGCTGTGGTGAGGGGTCTAAAGGCCTGGGTCTTAAGTTTAGAGACTTACATTGCTTAACTAGCCTTCAGTTAGTAAATGAAAAATGAAACCTTGGCAATGAAAGTAGATTCTTCCTAACAAGTACAGAGCTATGATATTATTAAATTGGACGTGTAGATGCCACATTAATCCACTTTTTGCGTCATAAACCAATTCAATTTGTGTTCGTCTACGATCTAGCTAATCGCCAATAAATCTGAGCTATAGACACAATCTGAGGTTTACATGTATTTCAGCTATCCAATCTTTGATCTGTTAAGTTTGTAATCCTTCAAAACAAGAATTTACTGCTACTGAAATGATGTAAACATATTTGAGAATCTCTTTTTGATTCTGTCTTCCATAAAAATGATCCTGTACAAGAAGACATCTCCATCTCAAGTAAAATACTATTTTGAGGTATTAAAGATGTTCCCTTATATTACACAGATTTTACTATCTTTTTGTAAAATATATAACCATACATTAGTAACTCTGGACTGATAGTACCTTCACTATATTAGAACACAAACCTTGTATAGTATTGTACAGTGAAACTTGTAAAGCGGAACACCCCTGGAAGTGGAGCACCTCTGTAAGTGGAACACTTTTCAGAGTCCCAAGACCAACTGACTTAATTGTTAAATGAACTCCAATAAATAGAACACCTCCCAAGTGGAACACTTTTGAAAAGGTACCAAAGTGTTCACTTAGACAGGTTTTACTGTACATGTACGAGGGGGGATTCAAAAGTAGTGGGACAAATGCTATAACTTCACTTATATCAACCAGATTTTATTCAAACTTGGAACACAGAACCACAAACATGTAGTAATCATTGTGTGAAAATTTCATAAAGGTACACCCAACTTCAGTAAAGTGAGAGTTCCAACCATGACGTCACAACAGGGTCCACGGAGCACATTGTATGTCACTAATTGCCAGTTAAATTACAAGTCTCAACTGATATTCAGGATGTGATCTAATCCGTGACTTCTAGCGAGTCCTTTTGTGGGGCACATCAATTCTATGCAAGACTATTGATTTCTTATCCTTCTGGTGCAATCTCACTCTTTCTCAAAGTATTCACGATGACAATAAATGCATTTTTGGCATCTCCTCAACCATTTTAGGTATGCACCCTCAAAACCATATTTTCCAAGATTGGTTATCTCGGCTCTCACAGCATATTCAGAACACATATACAGAATACCACCTATATACTGTTGATTTTTTTACTTCTTGTTTCCCATAGACTTTCAATAAACCTCTATAGGTCTCTAATACTGAAAACTTCTTCAAAGCATTAAATTTAGTCACATCACGGATGTTTATACGTGATTCTTGCTTTTTCATTGCTATTTTAATCAAATTTTGCTCCATCCAAGAAGGACTGAAAATGGCAGTGTCCTGGTGTCACTGTTTTGTGTGACATCACAATAGCATGATGATGTAATATATGTTACAGTTGTCATGATTACAATGCTTGAGACAATATGAAACCAAATATTTGAAAATAACTGTCATTTTGAGATATTTATGAGCATATTTATGTTGATCAAGCCCCTCATTTTTTAACTGCTCCGTTAACCCCTACTTTTGGTTACCATAGCAACCGTTGTTGCTAGGGAACAAAACGAATTACATTGACATTTCACCAAACAATGCCTTATGTCCTAGTCCATTCATGTGCCAAATTTGGTTGAGATATGTATACAGGGACTTGCTGCCTCAGAAAACTCCCACTACTTATGAATCCCCCCTCGTATATGTAATATGCATAATTAATGCTATCAAAAAATGATTGATTGAAAGAGAGTTCAACAAAGAAACATAAAGTTCCCATGTAGAAATCGATGTGATTGGAGAAAAGTACACATTAAGACTCTTCGACAAACATAATATAATTGAAAACATGATAAATGTGAGATATTCTACAGTTTTTTTCTGTGAATGTCTCGGCCTAACTTGAAACCCAAAAACAAATATTATTGAACTAAATTGTTAATGTGTCATTCAATATATTAGCTGTCCATTAGTTTTATGTATTATAGATCAAATATTTTGCAATGGCTGCGGGGCTTCAAAAGTATTTATGAGATTTATTAAATGTTTTATGAGATCTGACAAATCATTTTATATCACATTCTTTTAGTGAGTTCCAGCCTAAAATAATTATTTTATCAAAGTGTTCTTGTCTTTTGTTCTATGATCAAATAAAATAGAAAATGTCATTAATGTTTGTATTGTTAAATCATGAGAAGTCACCTCCTTATTACACCATATACTTAAAGTACATAGGTTAGAAAGACCCTTTATTTACTACTGACCTTTTCCAAATGTAAAGGTCTCAATGTAGCTCCTGAACTGATGCACAACCTCCAGTTGACCTCCTTTTAGGGTCACATTCATGCTGTAGTATGGCACTTTCCTTGCATTGTCCATTAACATATAATTCATCAAAAATGCTGTTGGCTTCCATGTCCTGAATTTAATCTTTACATGGTGCGGTTTATTATTGACCCAGTCGGGGGTGAAGCGCATGTAACCCCCACCCCCAGCTTCCACATTGAAGGTGTACAACTTGTCGTGTTTTGTGACATCTCCCAGGACCACATACAGCAATGTAGTGGTGGCGTAAAACAGGGCAAACAACTGATCTCTCATAGTGGATCAACTTCAAATTTCACCATCTTTCTCCTGAAAACACACGTCAAGTAGAAAAATTAGAAATGCTGGGTTGTTTAATTAAACAGTCTAACATTTATTGATTGAATGGAAAAATTAAACAAAAAGTTTGCACAGTGTTCATTTCAAGCTAATAGAAACAGTTCACAAGTCTACAATATTATTTCTAGATGACAAAAGTTGTCATGATACGACATGCTAATTTCAATCTGTGCTTGTCTTGTCTGTTGTAAGAAAGAAGATGCAATGGGTATCACTGTGGATACAATTGAGATTTAGAGGAGACAGCATATCATTTTGACAGTTTATTCATAGTGAACAATTCAATTCTATTGATTTTATCATGGCCATGTTCTTAGACTGAAGTATACCATAGTCTTCTCTTTTGCAGATGATATATAATAGGCATTTGTCCAATGTCCATGGACCACCTGCCCATTCACTGGTCAGTAAAATCGTAGACAAATGGGCCTTCTTGCCCAAGTTTAGAGTAAATGGCCTTTTTGGGAAAATGGGCCTCAATAAAAAAAACTTAAAAAAGTAGGCTTAAATTCATGAACGTTTTAAAAAGTGAGAAGCAATTTTCAAAAATTTGCCCCCCCCCTTATAAATCACCTCCGGGTCTCTGGTAACTAGAATGATATGGAACTGTTACATTCAAATATTCTTACTAGAAGATAGCATATTGTCTTCACTTCACATTAGTTATCCTTAATTAGGCCTTCAAGGTGGATCTGCTCCTATTGTTGTAGGAATTAACCTAAAATTACTATTAAATCTATGGAACCATGAAATCAATGCAAAAGTATTAATTAATTCAACTGGCAGATGTATAAGACTGATATACTATGTGCCACAATTTAAGGTTCAGATAATTTGAATAAATGCCGTTGTTTCACCATTTTAATTGTTGTTATGTTATTTTATGCAAAAAGTTTATGCAAAAATTTTATTGCAAGTTTACTGTTTCTACATCATTCTTAGTCACTTTGGGTTGTAGAATATTCTAGGAAATTATGGAAAGATTATCCCAAAAATGTTATATAATCATTTTGTATAGTTTTCAATATTTGGTGCAACTCTCTTATAATTTAAATTTAGTATCTTAGTATAGATAGTATATTATAGCGTTAAGTAAGATAACATATTCAACAATTCAACTTATCAAGCTGTGTATTCTCAGGAGGCACTCTCTGAATGGATGTATAGTACTTGTTTCATGAAATACAGACTTTCACAGGCATAATATTTCCTGTATTTTGTTCATATCATTGAGTAATTTCTTTAGTCAATAGGCAAATGATGAGCAACATGTCACTACTAAAACATACACTGTCCAGTGATAGACTCTAATTACTTATCTACAGATAGCAACTTCTCTAGTTGCAATCAATTATAATACAGATGATGTACCATTCATTGAGGAATACCTTGTTAATTCTGTTCTTGTCAGTCTCTAATAACTCTCTAATCACCTTATCATGACAATTAGTGTACTTCCTTGCTATGTAGTTATTCTACTCATCCAAGATGGTTATGACATGAGAAATATTTAAGTCTCCCTTTACCCCTTGTCTCCTTGTAGTTTTGCTTTTTTACTTTGTGCTTTTAATTTGAATTTAACTGAATTTAAAAAAACAAGATGTCAATAAAGTTATGTAAAACTTTGTCTCCAAAAGAGGATTTGTGTATTGCAAGCTGATGGGCATCTTTTAGAGATGATTTTTTATTCCTATACAAGATAGATATACATATTTTTTTAAAAATGGTATTTGGAAGACAATTTGTCCTTTGGAAGATGATGTGTTCCCATAGGAACCAAACACAAAACTTGCCAAGGTAACTAAATGCATATATAGAAATTAAAAATCCCTTCTATCACTATTTAAAAATGCTAGCATAGTTTTTTGATAATTTGGGCTTATTTTGGAAAATGAGGGCTACAAAGGCCTATTTTAGGCCCAAAACAAAAAACAATCTTAGGGAGGAGATAGGGGGTGATGTTGGGCTAAACAGATACAGTAAATAAAAACAGAAACAGAATTTGCTTGGATATAACAACCAAATTGAATGAAAACCACCATGAAGCAATATTTATATGACACAGTGGCGTAGCTACATGTACGCCAAGTACGCCCAGGCGTACTCTCAAATTCTAAGGAAAAATAAAATTTACCTGATTAATTGTGATGAAAAATAAATATTTTACCAAAAGATAGAAATCGATAGGAGATCTATGAAGACTCGTGTTACTGTAAATAAAAAAGTTCTCGATTATTTCATTTTCTTTGTTTTGAATCAGTTAGCTACTGATAATTAGAGAATTTTATTTCGTTTCAATTGAGTTGACATTGTAGTTGTGTATTCTTCAATGGCGGCCCCAGCAAGAGCTCCCGGCAGGAGGAGTGAGTAGCTCCCAATATTCTTTCATATTCTATCGTATTCGGGGATTCCCCATTACATCATCTCTTGCATCATCTCCAATCAAATTGCAGGATTCGATCACGTGAACAATCATGAGCACGTGCTCTCTCAGTGCTGCGCATGTGCAGAGTTAAATTTGAAATCGTGGGAATGGCGTTAACATCAGTTCAACATCATCATTTCAAACCTACGGTAATACTATTGAAGTTACTCGATCCATACTAGTAGAGAATACTCATAAAACTACAGTGAACATTTGGAGATCCATTTCAATGGCAAACTGAGGCCTGTTTATAAAATTTGCTTTCGAACGTGCTAATATGATAGGGCATCTTTGGGAAATCTCCCCCCCTGAGCTCCCGGCGTTGATCCCGTTGATCCTGGTATTCAGTGAGTTCCTATTCATTTTTATGCTATTCATAGTAGTAAGAACATTTATTGTGTTCAGAATTTTGCTTGGGCAAACTGATGTTTCAACTTGTCAAGTTAGAACGAAATTAATGGAGTTTATATTATGTCTCACGTGTGATTTTCACTACCTGGCTTTTAACAAGCAGACGCTCGGTTCATTTTCAGCGTTTCGTTCAGTGTGATTCAATCATAGTACTCATCCCCGGGAAAGGTTAACGCTTAAATATCATTTTTAATCATCATATTTATGGAACCATCGTTTTGTTAATTTTGATAAAACCGGGAAATCATACGGGCGTACACTCGCAAAATGGGCTAGCTACGCCTCTGGACATAACCTTCAAGTCCCACTGATTCACTAATAGACAACTTCAAAGGATGAAAATGACACATTTGTATATAAGAGGTTCCCTGGTATCTGCATCATCAGACTACATGATCAACATTCACAGATGTTCAGTATGTTACAAGAAGCCTATGGGGAACCGGTTAGGAGGACTGGCCAACTGTTTTCCAGACATGTACACATAATCATGCATAATCCCAGGTGCATACATATAGTAAATTTTAAGACATGCTTCAAATTGTTTTATTGGACAATTATAAAATTATTAAAATTGTCTTAATATTAAACATGGTAAAGATTCAACATCTTAGAATACCAAGGTATGAAGTTTTCATACCTATGTGATTGAAAATCAAACTGGTAAGCAAATATAAAATACTGTATAAGTGGTAATTTTGCCTAATCATTTAATTTGCCTATTTCCTAATTTTTGCCAGGTTCGGAAAATTAAATGTCGGAAATATTGTCTTTATAATGTTATCCAATGGGAGGTTTCTTGTCATTAGGAAAATTAAAATTAGGAAAATGATGAAATTTGACCATTCGGAAAATTAACCACTCGGATTAAATACCACTTATACAGTATTCAAGTAGAGAAATGTGAGAGTGTTACTGAATCAATGTCAAATGTTTTGTCACTAACTCAAACGACAGGAAAGTTTGGTACGTGGTCAGTCTCAGAGTTTAACAAGATTTAACAGAGTTCTCCAAAATATTCATCTTGATTCACAAGGTTTTGATTGTTCCTCTCTAGACTCAGTGGAAATCGATGTTGCAAAATATAACAGACTGGAAAGTTTTTGAAAATGGTGACAAAAGTGTGACAATTTGTTACAGATACTGAATGATGACCACTGACACCAACTATTAAAACAATATGTCACAACATCGTGATGACATAAAATTCTTAAAAACATTATGACTTATGACAAATTGAACAAAACCACTAATACAGCATTAATACAAGATCGGGTTAAACATAGGATCCTGTTTGATAGAAGTACCCATAAAATCATATCCTTGTATGTAGTCAGCAACAGCTTTTTCATCATTAGTGTGGTACATTGATAATCTGGATTTTGTGGTAAAGAATAATATTTAGTTGTAAAGTATCTGGATTATGCAAGCTAAAAGACTATTTGCATAACCAAATACTATTGTCATGGTCCTCTATAAAAAAATTAATATATATATTATACATATTTGTGAATTCCTTTTGTGATCCCATTTGATAAATAAACATGCATATTCAGATACCATTTCTTGAAAGTAGACCTAACATACATACCATATTTCCTATGTCTGATGTCCATTAACAAATTTGAAGACTACTTTTAAAATACTGCTCATATCCAGTATCATACTCCAGAAAAACTACTATAGTTACTAACTGACGTTTGGCAAACTTCATTCAACATTTTCTATTGTAAGTCTACATGATAGGCAAACAAACCCCTGTATTAAACAACTATATGATTTTATATGATAATGTTTGAGAACTTGTTAAAGGTATGAGTATTATCCTGATTATGGATTACAAACACTTCACTATGTATGTGATCTACTGATAAATACGTTCAGCTCAAGTGGCATCCTTTTTAAAAATGTCACACCAGCCTGTGTAATTCTGATTATGATACCCTATGATTAAGAATGATAAATATCATAAATATAAATTAATAAACAGGCCATAGAATTTCAAAAGCACTCTAATTTTTCATAATCTAATAATTCAGGGTACAACCAGTGAAAGTACAAACACCATGACAACAGATTGTTGTCAGAAGTCGTGTCAACCAAATATCTACTAATATGGAAATGCTAGCAAATATGGATATAGAAAACAAATATAATTTCAGTCCTGAAGTTGGGCTTAGTTTGCTTAGCATAATTATAAAAATAGTTTTGGGATTAATCAGGAATAGGTTAGTCACATTAAGCATTGTACATGTTTGTTCTTATCGTTTGTTTTATTACCTCATTGTTTACAACTTTTCATATCAGCTCGGATACTTTCTCTCTACTTAACTCACCCTTCCCACGAGCTTAAGCTCATATATACTCTCAAATTAGAACTCATTTCTGATCTACCAAATATCCCATGAAATAAATGGTTACAAAATTTATTTATTTTTTTGCATATCTAAGTACAGTAAAACCTGTCTTGGTGAACACCTCTCTCTCTAGTGAACACCTATCTCTAGTAGACACCCTTCCCCCACACATACTCTACTGATTTCTGTATAAATAACCCTCTCTGTAGTGAACACCTACCAACACTGAACATTTTTTCTTTGCAAAAAAATATACATAGTTTTTACTGTTGTGATTATTATGTTATAGAAAAACTGTGATAGTGGAGCCTCTTTGGTACCTCTAAAGAGTATTCTATTTGGGAGGTGTTCCACTTACAGAGGTCCATTTAACAATAAGTAAATAGGTTGCGTGAAGTGTTCTACTTACAGAGGTGTTCCACTTAACAGGTTTAACTGTATTTCATGTTTAAACTCTCATAAAAAGAAATGAAAGATGCATTTAAGATTGTTAAGATCATATCAGTACCAAACCTGCAACATAATTTATAAAAGTCAGAGATCAGTACTATAATGGCTAACCAATCAGGTTTTCTTTCCTCAGACCCTCTGAGACACCTTATGTTACATTGGAGCCAAGCTGTAATGTAATGATAGTGGAGAAGGAGAAATAAAAGACCAATATAGGGAAACATAAAAGACCAATGTCACATTAAGATCACATGGTTTAAACTGGTGCATTTGCTGAGTTAAATGACATAATGAATTGATTGTGTCATTTTGAGAATTTGTTAAAGATACAATGAGTGTATCAAGTCATCTATGACTAGAAAAAAGTTTTAGGAACAAATGGCTGAGAGTGTAGCTCGTCCATCCTCGGTCCAAGGGTATTTCAATTCTTTCCATATCAGGTATAGCAGTGAATCCAATCTTGAAGGATGTAGTGTGTCTATTTAATTCATAATTGAGACAAGTTAGTGAAGGATTTGGATCCTGTTATAACCCAAGACATGGTCTTAGACCACTTTGAAAGCAATTATTCTTCATGAAGATCAATCCACCAGACTTTTTGAAGTAATGAATGTAAAGCCACATCACTAGCTCAAAAACAGGAACTTGAAATACTACACTATGAACCAGTAATGAAAGTAACACGATTCCTCAATTCCAGTATTTATACTTATGCCAAAAATTCAAATTTAATTAAGAAAGTTATAAAGAAACTGTAAAGACAAGGGCAAGGTCAGTAAATATTTATGATTATAAAATGCTTGAGACTTAAAGTCTACTCTATAAGTGACTCCTACATCTGATAATAATAATGAGCCAAATGTAGCACCATTCAGTGGGCTCACATGGTGGAAAAAACAGGTAACTGCAAAAGTGGGAGATGAGACCAATTTCCTAAAAAAAAACAAAAACATAGGCCCCCATAAAATGGAAGTGTGCATTGATTCAGATTAATGACCTAACTGAAAATTGTTGATGGGTGAACGGACGGATTGATGGACAGATGGACACCATTGTGTCACCATGTGAGCCAAAATATCTTAGAAAAGTATCATAATTATTACACAACAACCAAATGCTATATTAGTTAATCACTCTCAAAGAAGCAAATTCTAATTATTAAAACGGGTAAATATGAGTAAATATGAAGGAATAGTTCTCACAGTTTCTGCAGTCTTAAGTGCCACAAACTTAACAATCTATTATAAGATTAATAAAGTGCACATTTTAGAAATATAATCAAAGCAACCTGTACACCAGAAATGTAATTACCAAGTTGATTAAATCTCAAGTCAGTTGATCCCAAGTGGCCAAGTTCAACTTTCTGACCATGAAATAGGTGTAATTTACAAATAGCGTGTGAGCTGGTATTAATGATTAACTTTTCTACATTTTTTACAACATGATGAACAACACTGTGTGAACCTAATTAGGGGAACAATCTTTCTCCAATTACCATTCCAAAGGCCCCCTACCCCCCCCCACCTTGCATGGATGGGTGCATATATATTGGTAGACATGATAGAGTCATTGGTATATGCTACATGTGCAGGGGTTTCATAAATTCATAAGCAATATGCAACAGGCGATTTTGTCCTGCTGTTTTGACCAACTCACTTGTTATTGTAATGAATTTTGCAACTGTTTATATCAAAATTGTTATTTCCAATTTTGCATGTTGTTTTCATTTGTTATGCCAGCTGTTCTAAGAAATTCAAATAAAATCCCTGCATGTGGAGATGTTAACATGTTTACCATTATTGTATAATTTGGTTTGTATGGGTTAACTTCTACCTGGCTTATCTGGTGCAGATACCGTGATACCTAAAATGAGCTCTTCAACAAAATGAAAATAAACGTCAGATATTCCATTGTTGCTTTTAATAAAACAGATACATGGAGAGAGTCAGGAAATCAGTAATCTTTCACTTCCTTTAAAAAACAAATAACTAAAATTATTCATTATATTCCTTATCTAATTAAATGTATTTGTTGTATGTACTTACCAGAATCTTTGTTTTGAAGATCTTAGGCGCCTGTTTGATTCGTAGTACTGTACCATTTGATTGAATATAAACATTTAAAAATGTAATATAACTGATAAAAGGCTTATCTCTGCACATTGACACATAGTGATATGTCAACTAAACTTATTGAGTTATTTCAGTCAAAGAGGTTTCATTATATTTGCTGAGATAATACAACATCTAAGTCCACTTTAAAAAACATAACTGAATACAAATGAACATATCCTCAGAGATTGTTTAGTATTTAGATTTATATCACTTGTCTGCATGTTTTCTGAACCCTGGTCGAGGTGGTTTATGTTTGGGACAAAATTAGAACATTCTTGCAATAGGTAGTCCTTATTCCCTTGGGGTTGAACAATATGTTTCACTTTCAGATCTGCGCTATATTTGCAGTTAAATACCAGGTGTACGTTATTGATAAAAATAAAAACAAATGTTTGTTATATCATTTGATTGATGGTATTAATTGCTATACTGTAGGCCTATATAATATATATATATATGTATATGGGAGATAAGAGATCGGTATCATTTTCATTTTTTGTAATGTTAAGAGTTATAATTGAATGACATATGTGACTCTACCCCTGGACTTTACCATTACAGCATCTTTAGTTTTGTTAAGAACAATAAAACACACAATAAAACCTCTATAAAGTCACCCTTTTAAGAATTTGATTTTACATACTGAACAACCTCCATCTACAAAAAAATAAAATGAGAAATAATTCTTTAATGCAGCTTCAGGTTGATCAAAATATTGCTACCAAACCAAATCAGAATTGAATTCACTGCATCTTTTGCCTTCATAAGTAGCTGCCATTTAATTCATATTATTTTTGGGCCTTTTTCTGGGCCCAGCCAAGTGGGAGGGGGGGGGGGTTAAGGGGGAGGGGGGCTAGCCTCTCCCCAGATCCCCCAGTGTACTGTGACATTGATGACTGAGAGGTGTTCCTTTTGAGAGATCCTGATATTTATATGCAAATCAATCTGTACATAATGCAAAGAACTTCCCATTGATTTTAGATTTCATTTTTAGAACATAGTGACTCCCCTAAGACCTAACTGGCACATTAAGATAAAGAAGAACAATTTGACTTCTATGATATCATAAGATAAAAAAGTACTTTTGAAAATTGTCTCCAGTACACTGTGATCTAGTAAAATCTAAAAAGCGTGGCACTTTAAGATAAAGCAATACTCTTTGATAATAGTCTAAAGTACACTGTGATGTAAAAAGTGTGACACTTCAAGATAAAGAAACACCATTTGATTGTAGTTTAAAGTCACTAAAACAACTGAGCAATATAAAAGCAATAAAATATCTATAAAAACATTCATAATGGGATGTAAATGTTTGTATTTTATGAGTAACACATCCTATTGATCCACTTGTTAAAGTGTGAATTGATTGTGTAAATCAATGGAGATATTCCGAAAGACAAAAAGGAACTTGTAAGGAAAACACACCAAGGGTTATCTAGTGTAGTCTAACAAATGGTTATCAAACATATAAATTGATTACATATACCCATCACATGCTATTTCTAATAGACAATAAATCATGTACATACTTAACATGAAAATAATCAATAAAACAATAAGTCGGACATGAGACAATCATTTTGTTTTTTGTTGACTTATTATTTTCAAAATAAATAAAATTTCTTGCTTATCTATTTGAACATGATCAGGTATGTGCTGATCTTATATTATCACTTTTCTACATTTACTTAACATAACTACATCAAGGTTCCATTCTCTCCCAAAGACAAGCGGCAGGGGGGCTATATTGGGGGAGGGGGTAACCAAGGATATGGTGCAAGACCTACCCTTTTCAATAGTTTTATTTCATTTTAGCAGAGCTGCATATAGCCAAGGGGGTTCAGGTGAACCCTTCCTGACCAAAAATTCCTTCAAAATCATGCAGTTTTTCAAAGTTCTGAGCATTTTTCATGTGAATTGGGACAGTGAACCCCCCTTGAATTTTTCTGAGAAGTGAGCCCCTCCTTGACAAAAGCTGGCTACAGGCCTGGCAGGGCTTCTACAAGGATCACTATTAGCCTCGTATCTGGGTCTCAAGATATACAGGATCATTACAGACAGATTGAGTAACAATCCAATGATAAAAACAATATTCTTCATTAACATACCTGAACATACCTAGACATTGTAAGTGAATACCATATCTCACCTGACAGTTATGAACTGGACCCCTGGAGAATCATTAGTTGATAATTAGCACCTAGATTGTGTTTCGCTTTTAACAATGTCTAATAGCAGAATTGTTTTAAGCAGGTTCCTTACCATAGCAAAGCTTCTGTAAAAACTTAACACTTTTTAATATTCTTGTGTGACACACAAAATATATTAGATATCAAATATTAAAGCAGATCATCTTTGAAAATTCGTTGATTGTTTTTTTCAAAACCTACCATTTTAATCACTGTTTATTATTGTGATACCCGAATTATTATACAAAACTTACCTTATAAATAATACATTGTTATTTACTGAATATACCATATGATCATAATCCAAAATACACTACCTTACTAATTAAACATGTCACACCTGTACTTACCTGTAATTAAATTCAAATGACATGGTAAGTTAGTGGGCTCAGGTAAATCCAACAGGTAAGGCAGGTAAAGTGTGTGTAGAGTAAACCCTCCAGGGCTATCAAGTGCCTCTATGCTCTTTGAGTGTTGGTTCTGTGCTAGCTCAAATGACTATGGCTGTGTAATATATTCCTATGCTCCCACATGAGAGCAGAACTGTGGTCAAAGACTGGTGACTTTACATATAATGACACCAAGGCTCTTAAAATTAATTATCTGTTTCTCAAATTTTTTTAACAAGGACCAGGTGACCAAGAGTTTCTCATTTACTTCTAGTATCAAAATCAAAAAGAAAACTCCTAAAAGGCCAAGAAAAAAATTTTGACCAGGGATGTTTTGGAATAACCAGGTATGGGTACAGGGTACTGCTAAACAGATGGTTAATTAATATGGCCTAACATATCATGTCATTGATCACACTTATCCTTGGTGATGTTATGTATCACAAACATGTACCTATAATCATCTAATTTGATTGCGTCAAGAAAACAGGTAATATCTCTCTACAAGAATAAGAGAAAGTACTGTAAACCTAATATAGTTCATATTATGCATGTCATTTCGATGTGAATGACAACTTGAAGTTGCCACTATCTTTTCTTATTCTTTCTATACAGCATATGAAGTTGATTGTACATTCAATCTTTTATTACCTCAACATAAAGTCATTAGTATGATCGAGAAAACGATATTCTCCAGTCAGCCAAATCAATAGCACAATTTTGAAAAATTTTGAATCACATGTAGAACTTAAATAGAAAAATGACAGATAGTCTAAGAAATATATTTTCTGCATCACATTTTCTATAAGACACATTGGTTCTGTCATTGAAAAAATCATGGTTTCAAGCAGATCTATTCTTCTTCCTTAACTTTTGTACTCTGAGAAATGTATTAATGCCTTTTAGCAAAATTACTAACAATTTCCTAATAAATGGAAGACTTTGATCTAATTACTGTATTGATTTTGACCTCTCCCCTTGCTTCAAATCATCTGAAACATATGTGAAACATTTTCCATAGGAAAATATGGGCCAGGGAAGATGGGTGCAAAATTGTCTATACCTGTACTAACCTTTTCATAAGTTTGCTTTTACATCTTTATTTATCTTCACAAATATGAAATCATCCTTCAGTATAGTCTTAACCAATCAGATTAATTCTATCAAAATACCCGCTACCCAATCAGAATTGCTTCATTGCTTCACATTTCACCTTCATAAGTACCTGCCATTTATTTGAAATTCAAACTCCCAGTAAAGGCTCATGGCAGTTACTTTTGGGGTCGTTAAGATCTTAACAACATCAAAACTGTACGATTATCTGTCTTACTTAGAGTTTAGTTATTAATGCTATTCATCACTACACTAGTCTCTGGACCTCAGAGTCATCATGATAAACCATGACATCTCATTTCTTCTCAGCCCTGAGATGTTTCAGGTGAAACAGAAAGATGTTAAGAGTATCAGAATGCCCCAGAGTAGTTACAACAAAGATGTGAATAAGAATGTGGAATTAAGATTCAAAAGTTAAAAACAAATTGTAAGCAACAGATATGATTGATTTCTAAACAATACACATTCATATAAGTGCTAATATAAAAGCCACAGACAATAATATATTTGTTTATTGGTTTTCCTGCAGACAATGATGAAGCTGTGTTAGATTGGCCAAGAGGAATTTGTGGTCTCATATCAATCTGATACTTTCATGTTTTGCCACAAGATCTCAACCCAATAGGGAAATAGCACTGAATTATCAACATTAAAGAGGTACTAACATAAGCGATTTATCAAGATTGGCCTATTAACATTTGAACATGATAAATCAACTTCATTTGTGTATAAATCCTAGTCTAACTTTCTTATATCAAAAACATTTCAAATCATATTGCATCTATTGTATCATTCAGTATAATATCATATCAACCGTATCATATAATAGTATCCTTCTATCGTACCATTATCATACAAGTAGTAGTGAAAATATCATCCTAAAATTTAATAATTTTTTATGAAAATTGTAGTTTTTTTATAATCATATCTATTCAACCTACGCATGCCCATATATAGATATCTAATTAAATCTTCTTTTTTTCAAATTCTATATTTGCTCCCAATTCAAATAAATTGATTGATTAAACAGTTAGAAAGTGACAGAATTTACCTTTAGGCATTTCCTTCTTACAAATAGTACATTAATAAATCCATTGATCCTGTTCACTACATCTGCACATGACTTTCTGATATTTTCCTGCGTGATCTATCATATGCTGTTATAAAGGGAATACACATGAGATACTAGGGATCTGCAGATGGCCTGGCAATGTCTTGTAATTTACATACTAGAAGAAATTGAAGAGCTCCAAGTGCGACCTCAATGATACCAAATTATATTGACACCTGTCTTGGTTGTTGCTAACAAGCATATCTCCAGTGAATAACAATTAAATCTGCTACTTATATACAAAGATATGACACAAATCATAGCAAATTAATTAATCCTCCTAATTGAGGAGTTCT